GCAGCAGGTCATCCACAAAAATCTGCTCTGTCCCCCATAAGCCAGCTGCTTATATTGGGAAGGACAAAGATTACATGGGGAAGCTGGAATCACAGGCATGGGGTAGGAGTGAAGGTGGACTGGGCCTGGGCAGGACTCCGTTGTTTGGGTAACAAGGTTATTAATCTTTCCATGATTATAATAGACAGTTCTTTTTAGCTATTGTAATAGGTCAGTCTTTAGTTTGACATTGTGTACCACGGACTGGCGTGTCTCTTTCTCTCATACTAATCATTGCTACTTTCAAACTCTACTAGGATGGATAACCACTTCTAATTTCCTATTCTCATTTTCCCAATTCTAGTTTTTCTATCACCATTGAGATCCTGTTGTCTGTAGCCACTATTCTCCCTATCAGGGCTCACTGAGAGAATGGGGAGGGACCACATTCCAAGGTTGACTCCCAGGTCCTGGGGGCAAATAACTCCCAGCCACATTAGAATGTGCTTTCTTTAATCCGAACAAAATAATCTCAGTTAACAGAGCACGATTAATATTTTAATAAATTAATATTTTTATTTTATTTCTTATAACTAATAGCGAGTCCACAATATTCTATTTCTGTCCCTAACAGGTCTTGCATCTTTTTTTGGGAATAGTCCTCCATTATCAGGCATAGCACCTCCCAACTAGGTAAGTTATACTATGACTTAACCTAATTATAGGCCTAGTGGCCAGAAGACCATAGATTTACGATGCACATAGAAAACCTTAAAAGAAATGTCATGTTGGCTTAGTGGAAGCATTTGGGCAGACTCAGATAAAGCAAGATGAAAAACTGGTGACCTTTGATGTCCAGTTGCAAGATGTTTGTAGCATGAAGGGAGATAATTGGAAAAATTTATAAACTTGGTATTTGCTGGCTTTTTCTTGCCACTTTTTGCAAAGTTCTATGAGAAATGAGGCCAGCACTAGCTGACCTGTAGGTAGATATGGAAAGGAATACAGTTTTGCTAAGATGGGTGCTTTGTCTATAACTAAGTGGGTGATTAAGAGTCTCAGGCTGGCCAGTATGGCTCAGTTGATTGAGTGTTATCCCATGCACCAAGAGGATTCCCAGTCAGAGCACATGCCTGGATTTTGGGCTTGATCGCAAGTAGGGGGCAAGCAGAAGGCAACTGATTGATGTTTCTCTCTGATGCTTCTTTCTCTCCCTCACCACCTCACCCCCCCCCCCCAAAAAAAAAAATAAACCAAAGAACTTACACTCATATAACTTATAGGCAAAACCTATGGACACAGATGATAATGCAGTGAAGGCCTGGGTAGGAAGTGGGAGCAGGGTAGAAAGGGTCAATAGGGGGGGGGGGGAGGGGAAGAGGGACATCTGTAATACTTTTAACAATAAATATAAATTTAAAAAAATATTGAACTTTAAAAAAACATATAAGAAAAAAAAAAAAAGAGTCCCAGAATTTGGAGTCTTAAAGGGCTGATCAAAACTAATTATTTCTCCACCTCCAAATCAAAGAAACCATGCCTGTGAACAGAAGCCTTGGAAGGAAATATGCCTGCCACTCAGCCACATAGAGCTGACAATATGGATTAACAAAATGCTATCAACCTGTTAAATCCCATTGTTTCAGATGCCCCAGGTTAGCTGTCATTAAGTGTGAGGTAGCTGCTTAGAACGAAGAAGCCAAAAAAGATAAGTCTTTGGGGCTTGCAACAATAAAGATTAAATAAACAAATAAATAGTCTTTGGGCTTAAAAACAATATCTAGGCAAGAACTGCAGTAGTAATTTCTCCCACACAGAACTGACTGAAAGCAAAGGGGTTAGAAAACCTTCAAATTTTTGTGTGAATTATAGTGCCAGAGATACACCAAGCCTGATATGCATCCATGGGCTCCTGCTGTTGCTGACAAGCAAGTTTGGTAATTCTGAAGCGACATTAGCAAAATCTAGGTATTCAGCCACTAGTTGTGTGGGCCTTGACGGGCAGGATTTAGGACATACTTGTGCTGGTGTAGCTCACAGTGGGCACAGCATTGGCAACACAAGCAGCTTTCTGACAGTGCTGGTTTCCAAGGCAATTGCAGGAGCAACATAAATCAGAAATTATCATTTCCCGGTCACAGGGAAGTCATTGTTCTCTTGGTGGCCTGGCTCTGTGAAGACTTTGGGACTCATTTCTGAACACCAAAACTTAGAGTTTATTTAATCAACACTCCCAGGTGCTCAATGCCCTTCATACTATGCCAGGTGGAATGGATTCTATTCTCTCGTGAGCCCTGATGGGGAGAACAGTGGCTGCAGACAACAGGATCTCAATGGTGATAGAAAAACTAGAAATTGGAAAATGAGAATAGGAAATTAGAATTGGTTATCCATCCTAGTAGAGTTTGAAAGTAGCAATGATTTTGCCAGTATGAGAGAAAGAGACACGCCAGTCCGTGGTACACACTGACTTGGGAATAATCCTCCATTACCAGTCATAGCACCTAAAGCATAACCTAAAGTCAGTCTTTAAACTAAAGACTGACTTATTACAGTAGTTAAGATCTGGAAACAGCCAGAGTGCCCATCAGTAGATGATTGGATAAAAACGCTGTGGTACATTTACACCATGGAATACTATGCAGCGACAGAAAAGAAGGATCTCTTACAGAGAGGAAGGGAGGGATAGAGAAAACATCCATCAGCTGCCTCCTGCACACCCACTATGGGGATGTGCCCGCAACCAAAGTACATGCCCTTGACCGGAATCAAACCTGGGACCCTTCAGTCCGCAGGCTGCTCTATCCACTGAGCCAAACTGTTTCACTGAGACAGCAGGAGGGACCTGGAGAGTATTATTCTAAGCGGAAATAAGCCAGCCAGCAAAAGACAAGAATCACACGATTTCATGCATAAGTGGAATCTAATGAAAATAAACTGAGGAACAAAATAGGTCCAAAGACACAGAAGTATAGAACAGATTGTGGAACCTCAGAGGGAAGGTGGGAGAGGGTAGGTGGGTGGGAAGAGATCAACATCCTTGTATGCATATATGCATAACCCATGGACACAGACAATAGTGTGGTGGTGGTGGGTGGGGAGCTAGGCGGGGCAGGCTAGAAGGGGCCAAGGGGTGGGGAAGAGACATTTGTAATACTTTCAACAATAAAGATTTTTTAAAAAGACTTATAGTTATATTTTCTAATTCTGTCCTTATCTATTTTGGGCATCACCATTATACTGGCCTCAAAATGAGTTGAGTTGCTTCTTCTCTCAAATCCCTTCAAAGTGTAGTAAAACACTAGTTTTGAGCCCATTTTACCATGTGATAGCAGAATTAACTTCTCTTTAGAAAGTTTAGAGATCACTGTGTGTGTGTTTTGTTTTTTGTTTTTTTTACAAAAAATATACAATTTTAAAATTTTCTTGTGGGGGGATGTGTAAGGTGGGTAAATTAAGGGGAAGTTATCTGGATTCAGGACTCGTGGCTTGGCAAGGGTAATCAATCTCTTGCAGATTTTTTAGGATGAATATTATAATTCTAAGTGATTTCTCCTAGTCTCACGGTTTAAAATACCATTTGGTCCTCCCAAATTTATATCTCCTGATCGAATCGATCCATTGAGCTCCAAAATTGGTATCAGCTAGCCGAAACCAGTTTGGCTCAAGTGGATAGAAACCAGTTTGGCTCAAGTGGATAGAGCGCTGGCCTGCGGACTGAATGGTTCCAGGTTTGATTCCGGTCTATGGCATGTACCTTCGTTGTGGGCTCATCCCCGGTAGGGGGTGTGCAGGAGGCAGCTGATTGACTTTTATAACTCTATCCCTCTCCCTTCCTCTCTGTAAAAATCAAAATCTTAAAAAAATAAAAAATATATATATATGGCACACAGTAAGCGCCAAGACCTGCTTGATTCAATGAATTGGGTCTGAACTTAACCCTGCACCTCACAAAGCACGCAAACACTGCCTCACCGTGTTTGGACCCTTCCGCAGGGGCTCCCGCAGAAGTCCTTTGCAGCCCTCCCAGCCAGAACCCAGACAGTAAATGCTATTTTAAGGGAAAGGTGTAAACAGGCAAAAAAAAAAATGAGTGGGGGAACTGAAGAAGGGGCTCTACGGTATCCTACTGAGGACGTACTGTTACCCACGTCAGCCCTTGTTTTTGCTGGACAGGCCTGGGCCCGGGCTGCGGGTGCAAAGAGAACGTGACGCCGGCGCTCACCGGAGAGCGAGCAGGGCGGCCATTTTCTGAAACTAGTTTCCCGGGGACCCCGCCCGGCGCGCACGCGGGAGGGGGCGGGGCCTGCGGGAGGGCCCGGCGCCGGAAGCCGCGCCCCCGGCGGCCGGGCGGGTCCACAAAGCGCGCAGCGAAACTTAACAGTCGGCGGAGGCGAAGCGCGCCCTCGAGCGCCAATGAGAGCGGGAGGAGGCGAGCGGCTCCTGAAAACACTCTGTACGTCCAGCAACGATTGGCTGGAGCCCTTCTTTTTTTTTTTAAGTTTTATTTTTATTGAATGTATTGGGGTGACATTGGTTAATCCTTTCTTCCCGGTATTGGCTGGACTCCCTCCCCCCCCCCCCCCCCCCGCCCACTCAGCGGGCTCTTTGTCCGGGCACTTCTGATTGGTTCCTTCCGACCGGAGGCTGGGGGCGGGGGGAGCCGGGTTGGGGGCTTGTTCACGGATTGGTGGATTTGAGCACCTGGCGGCTCCATCTCCGCGAAGGAGCCCGTCCCGTATCCTCTCTGTCCCGTCTCCCGACCCGTCGTCGTCCGCTTTCCAGGGGCTACTGGCGCGCACGAATGGTTAAAACAGGGCGGGGGCGGGAGGGCGGGGAGGTGTGAGGCTTCAGCGCGCCAGCCCGGCCCCCCGGCGCCTCGCGCGCGCCCTCCGCGAGGACCCGCGCGGGCTGCCCGCGCCGATGCCTGCGCTGTTTGAAACTGCGGAGCCCGTTACGGTCTTGGGGGGAAACTACCGTTCCAGCTGGTTCCGGTGCACGTGCGTGCCGGGGGGGGGGGGCTAGCGGAGGTCGCGGGGCGGCTCCTGTCTTCGGGGTCTGTGCCTCGAGGAGACTGGAACCGGCATTTCCGAAGGGCACCTCCGCCAATCGCAGCGCTGGCGCGGGCGGAGGCTGAAACACGGGGGTCCTGAGGCGGAGGAAAACGCGCCAAGTTCCCCTCGGTGGTGGAGTGGGGACGACCCTAGCGGCGGAGGCACTTCTCCAGAGGGACTTGTTCTCCGCGCTCCGTACCGTCCCGGGGCCGGCGGGCTCCGCTCCGGGGATGTAGTTGGTGCCGGCGCGAGGCAGGACCTAGCGGCGCCCCGGGCTCCCGCTCTTGAAAGCGAATGGTCACTCCCCCGCGGGGAGGGCGATCCGTATCCAGCTTTTTCTCGGACCGGGGACTCGCGGGCTCGGGACGAAGTCTCCTCGGGGTCGCACCCACACTTGTCCCGGTTGGACCGGCCGGCGTCACCGCCGCGGACCTCGCTGGGGGCCATGAGCAGGTAAGGAGGGCCTGGCGGGGAGAGGCCGTTGCCGGGGGCGACGCGAGTTGGGCCGGTTCCGGAGCCGGGCTTCCCTGGGACGCCGGCGCCGGTGCGCGGGGGGACCTCCCCGGGCCGTGTGGGTGCTGCGCCCGGGCGGAGCTGCCCCTGGGCACCGGCCGGGGCGCCCCCTCCCGCCGCGGCGGGACCCGGGAGAGCAGGTGCAGGCGGGCTGGGCGCGCACCGGCCGTCCGTCCGTCCGTCCCCACCGGCGTGGGCGCCGGGAGCCGCGGTTCCGGCCGCCGCCAGCCCCCGCCGGGCCCCGGGCTGGGACCCGCAGCGACCGCCGCGCAGTCTCCGCCTCTCCCCCTTGGCCGTGCGCTCGCGGAGGGGCTGGCTTCAGGAGCAACACTGACGTCGGTCGTCCTGTGTGCATAACTGCTCAGTGTTACACGCAGTTTGTTTTCATCTGTCTTAGAAGTATTTGGAACGCTACGTGCCTTACGCCTTTGTCGAAGGTGTTGTTGTTTTTTGCATTTTTCTTGGGAAAAATTGGAAATCGAGTCGCGTCATTTTATAGAGGAGAGAACTTTTAAAACTTAATGGGACTGAGTGGTCAACGCTGTCATTTGTTACGAGAGAGACTTTTTTTTTTTTTTTTTTTTTTTTTTTTACGTAATAACCCCCCAGTTTTAAGGGAAGCCAAGAGCAAGACATGTTCTAGTCTCGTTAATGTTCAAGGTTTAATCCTATTACTTGGAGGGAGCCAGGACTGGCTGATAATCCGTTATTCCAGCGGCTTGATCAGTTTTTCTAATATCTGCGTAAGTCCGGTTTCTCTGTTTCTTAGAGAGCCCAGTTCTGTCGTTTCTCAGAACTGGCTCCCGAGGAAACCCTCTGGAATGCCCGGAGACCCCTGACAACCGAGCGCGGCCGGCGTGTCACTCCCGGTAGCGTTTGTCAGTAGCGTTCAGTGGCCGGGCGAGCGGATTGCACTGGAGGCGGGGATGGGGATTGGTCGGCTTTCCACATTCCTGGGTCGAGTCTCAAAAATGTGGTTTCACTGCCGATTTCAGTGTTGTGAATCTCTAGATCAGAAGCATCCAGGGAAATGCTTAGTAAAGATGGAATGCGAGTGAATTTTGTTAGTTCGTAGTATTACTCTGTATTTGAAAGTTGTTGGCTGAGCTTTTGGTTCCTAATTAATTTAGATAATCTTCCCCACCCGTCCAGATATCCTAATGAAAAACAGGATTAATATATAAAGTAACTACACAAATAGTGCCTTTTAATTTATTTTTAAAAAATCTTTATTGTTGAAAGTATTACAGTTGTCCCCTTTCCCTCCCATTGATTCCTTCCTCCCCTTCCCGTCCCCACCCACCCTGCCCTCAGGCTTTCACTGCAGCAGTGCCATTTTTTTAACCTAAAAGTTTTACTTTAAAACTGGCAAGAAAAATAGCAAAAGGCAAGCCAAATCACGCCCCCCCCCCACCTAAAGCATTATTTTTAAAAATGTACTTTAACAAATGTTCGGAAAATTAGTAGTATATTGCTTCTAGTGCATAAGAATGTTTTATACACAAAGTTGCTCACTTATTCCAATTTTCATTTGTTCTCTTTTCACTCAAGTTTTTAGCTATAACACTACCAGGTTTTTGCCTTTTCTTCTATTCAAATTACATTTTAAAGGTACTTTTTAGAAACTTTATTTCATGTGTTCATATTAAGTAGAAAAGACCTTGGAAGGAAAATTTATTCTAGCATCCTTTGATTTTTCCATCCATCCCTCCTTTTCCCACTCTCTATTTTGCAAATTAGAGATGATAGTTGCTCAGTCAATATTTTTTGAGTGAATTAAAAAGTTAATAAAAATGTTTTTGTTAGTCTACTGTAGGTCTACTAAAATGAGGTCTTTTGTGAGGTGACCCTTACTCTAATGCAGGCTAAAAAAAATCATTTCCTCCACTACTTAAAAAAGAAAGTGTTTATTGATTTTAGGGAGAGATAGAAACATAAATGAGAGAATCATTGATTGGCTGCCTCCTGCACGCCCCCTACTGGGGAGTGAGCCCACAATCTGGGCTTATGCCCTTGACCAGGAATGGAACCAGGACCTGGCTGGTACATGGGTGGATGCTCAATCACTGAGCCACACCGGTGGAGCTATCTGATACTTTTTGTTTTGTAAGAAAACTAGGACAAATGGCAGGCAATAGAACACTGAGCATTTATTATTGCCAGACATTAGGCATATGAAGTCCTAATTAGTAATTATTCCTTATAAGTTTGTTTTTAAATGTTATTTTATTGACTGCAGCTGATAACTGAAAACTTTTTTGTGATTCACAGATATGATTGGTGATTATAGCGTCCATATGTAAATCAGTATTTGTAAACTCTTTGATATTTGAAGAAAAAATGCCTGGTGTCATACCTAATGAAAGTAATGGGCTTTCAAGAGGTAGTCCATCAAAGAAAAACAGACTTTCCTTGAAGTTTTTTCAGAAAAAGGAAACTAAGAGAGCCTTGGATTTCACAGATTCTCAGGAAAATGAAGAAAAGATTTCTTCTGATTATAGAGGATCTGAAATGTAGGTATCGTAAGTATATTTCTGTACTTAAAAAATTCTACATCAAGGAAAAACTGGTGAAATTAGATCAATATCTCCTACATCCCTACCAGATAATCCATAGAAGCAAAAAAAAAAAAAAAAACACAACACAACACACACAAAAACAAACACAAAAAACCACCCTCTTTGTGAGACAAGTCTAACAGTATATAGTCAAAACAGTAAAACTAGTGGTGGTTCCTCTAAGAATCACACCCATGTTAACTCATTTACATTGTGCTCAGCCAATTTGACTAACTTGCATAAATATTTATACACTGACACTGCTTTTAATGTAAACTTGTTTTGTAGTACAACACAGTGTATGGGTAAATAAATGATTTTTTTTAAAGAATACTGTACTTGACAGTTACCTGAGATACTTAAACTTTATTAACAGTCATACCTGATATATAAATTGCAAACCTATTAGAGATGTACAATGGCAAATTTATTTTAAATAAAATTAAAAACAAATGCTTTTGATAGTAATCCTTTGATGACTAAAAGGAAAGTAGAGCAAAATGAAATACTTTATTCTATCAATACTTGCTCCAGTTGGAGTCTACACTAGCTCCCTATTCAACAGATAGGTACTCTTCTATATGACTTCAGTAGATATGGTTTTATGTGTAATTTCCTAATATTAACCAATAATCAGCTTAGGAGGTTGTGTGTGAAGCTTTTGTTTACCAGCATTCATGCCTAGAAATACTTTGAGGTGTTAGGGAATAGCAGCCATAAAATAAAAATGCTACAATGACACTCTGCTTGTTAAAGTAATAAACTTAATTCATTTTAAGTGCAGGACAACTATGTAATTCTCTTCATAGACTCTTTTTTCCTCTTACTTTTTTTGGGGGGTGTGTGTTAATCCTCACCTGAGGATATTTTCCCATTGATTTTTAGAGAGAATGGAAGGGAGGGAGACAAAAAAACATCGATGTGAGAGAGAGACATTGATTGGTTGCATCCCACACATGCTGGAGATGGGGAATTGAGCCTGCAACCCAGGTACATGTGCCCTTGATTGGAATCAAACCCGGGACCCTTCACTCCCCAGGCCGACCCAGCTAAGATTCCTCTTATTTTATTAATAGAATCTAACTTAGTGAAGTTTCTCCCAAATATTGTCATAGTCAAGTTATTCCCAGGTTTCTATTCAGAGTTAAACTGCAATTGATCCTTGAATGTGGGTTTGAATTGTGTGAGTCTTTTTTTTTTTTTTCCAATAAATACCATAAATGTATTTTCTCAACATTTTTCTTTTCTCTAGTTTACTTTATTATAAAAATGCAGTTTATATATAATACACATAACATACAAAATATGTTGATTGACTAATTTTTTCCCTAGTAAGGCTTCTGGTAGGCTATGAGTAGTTAAGTTTTGGGGGAGTCAAAAGCTAAGCGAATTTTTAACCATGCGTTGTGGAGGTCAGAACCTTTACATGCCCCCTACACCTCCAAAAGCACACCCTGCATTGTTCAAGAGTCAGCTGTACTTGATAAAAGTGTTATGATGGCTTAACAAATCACTGTGAACTACTCAGTTTTCTGCTCTATAAAATAGGATTAATAGCCTCTTGATGGAATTAACTTTGAGGTATCTTAATTGTAATAATTTTAAAGTGCTTATAAAATTTGTATTCTGTGTGTAGAGCAGATTTTTCACTTTAAAATGTCATTTGAGAAAAATCCATATGGTTTTCAGATTATACAACTTTTGGGAAAAGACTAAATCTAGAGAAGTAATATTTCTGCTTTCTCTAAGATACTATTTCATTATATCTTCTCTGCTCTATACTTAATAGTGATCAAGTTGTTCCTGCGGCACAGTCCTCACCTATGAATTGTGAGAAGAGAGAAAACTTGTTACCATTTGTGGGGTTAAATAATCTCGGCAATACTTGTTATCTTAATAGCATACTTCAGGTAAGTTGACAATTTTGATATATAATAAAACCTTAGTAGGCAAAGAATGACAAAACGTTTAATGCTTCTGAGAATTTCAGATCGAGTATTTTAATTGTCCATAATATCTTTGCATTTGATTGTAAATAAACTAGAATGGGCTACAATAAGAATAATGATTCTTAAAAAGAATAAGGATTCTAAGTTATATGTTATACGTAACCTTCCTTTGGGGTAAGAGAAAGTGATGCATTAAAATTGGGAGAGCATAATTGAGTAGTCCTTAGTTAAGTGGAAGATGCCATACGTTTACTTTTTCTCAATTCCTGGTGCTATGGTGATAAGTATTTAACCCTTGGAACCATATGTTTTATGTTGTGTTCTTACCACCATAAGTCTTAGCAATATCTGCTCAGGCTCAGTGCTTTATTGCCAGTGAAGGAAGAGAGTGAGTGAGCTACAATGATGAAATAAATCCTCACCCTAGGATGTTTTTCCATTGGTTTTTAGAAAGTGGAAGAGAGAGGTAGAGACAGAGATAGAAACATTGATGTGAGAGAGACACATGGATTGGCTGCTGTCCGCAGGGCCCCAATCAGGGCCAGGGATTGAACCCACAACTGAGATATGTGGCCTTGACCAGAATCAAATCCGGGACCCTTCAGTCTGCAGATGACGCTCTTCCACTAAGCCAAACTGGCTAGGGCGAGAACAATTTTTTGACACAAATCATAATCTCAGAATTTTCACTAATGCACATTTTAAAGTACGTTACTTAAAAAGCATGATAGTGTTTGAATAACCTTAAATGCTATATATTGTTGTTTGTTCAGTAAACACTCAGACAGTTTCACTTTTTATAGGTATTATATTTTTGTCCTGGTTTTAAATCTGGAGTGAAGCACTTATTTAATATTATTTCAAGGAAGAAAGAAGCTCTTAAAGATGAAGCCAATCAAAAAGAAAAGGTAAAATATAAAAGTAACAAAATATAAAAATAAATGGAAACTCACTTGCTTCATAATAAAAAATGATTAGATGCACAGAGGATTTGGGAAGAGGATGACAAAGATTATTTCTTAGTTAAACTATAACTTAGAATTAAATTTCTTAGTAGTTTACAGTCAGAAAAGCAATTATTTGTCATTCTTGCAGGGTAGCTAACTAGATTATTCCCTTTTACTGAGTGTCTTCTCCAGGCCTTTAACTTATTGTTTACCAATAAACATTGTCATTTGTATACCCACCATCACAATTTATCATACCTTTGTATCACCTGTCACACTCATTTATTGTTTTTCCTATTGACTCACTTTAAAAATACAAATAACTTAGAGGAACTATTGACTTACATAATTAGAAAACCATTATCCACATAATAAAAAACCCAAATTTTAAAAGTTTATTTGTATACCTCCATAAAATTAGTGCTGTAATGAAATTAAATTAAAAAAAAGTAGTTTTGTCTAGTGAGACAAAAGTACTTAACTTGTTCATAAAACTGATTTGTGTGTTTCTTTCTTTACAGGGAAATTGTAAAGAAGATTCTTTGGCAAATTATGAACTAATATGCAGTTTACAGTCCTTAATCATTTCAGTTGAACAACTTCAAGCTAGTTTTCTTTTAAACCCAGAAAAATATACTGATGAACTTGCTACACAGCCAAGGCGATTACTTAACACACTCAGGTATAGCCTGTAATATAATTTTAGGATTCTATTTTAGCTACTACTTTTCCTTGGAGGGGTGCGATACATGAACAAATGGGGGTATAATAAAGGGCAAAAAAAATAGAAACTACATATAGTCCTTATCCTAGAGACTCAAAAAAATGGAAAACTTTTCATAAGTTTGGTATTAAACTCATTAAACCCAAATGTATGAGTTTATAGTCTTCCTTCGTATTACCTGTAATACGAAGATCCATACATTTTTAAAATAGAAATAGTAATGTGTTTGCTTGCAGTGTTTCCCAAAGTGTGGTATGTGTACCCCCAGGGGTACAGGAAGAGTTTGGTGGGAATATGCACTGCACCATGTTTAGCTGCGCCTAATTCTACGTTCTCATGAGTACGAGGGGTACTCAGCGTTATGAAAATTATAGAAGGGGTACACATGTCAAAAGGTTGGGAAACACTGGCTTAGAGGATAGTGTCCCTTATGTTGGTGATATATATATATTATGTGTCATATTGTCTTTTTTAATCTGATAAATTCTGAATTCCCAAACATATTTTGTCATAAAGATTTCAGATTATGAATTGTAGGTTTGTATTCAAAATATGCATAAGAATTCCAAATATTTTTTGTTGTGTGTACTTAGAGCCATTAACTGGATTAGGTTTCTTTGTAGTATTGTCTTTAAAAATAAAACTTTATCCTATATGTAAAATAGCTTTATTTAAAATGTTATAGGCTAAGTCTTTTAAAATAAAATTACTCATTTGGTTTAGGAATGGACCTAGGTGTAATACATTGCTGTATGTTTGGTAAGAGGCAGTGTAGCATGGTGACTAAGAGCAATTTTGAAAAAATAATTGTATTTGTTATTTAAAAAAATATATATTTGTATTGCACCAAGACCGGTTTGGCTCAATGGATAGAGCGTCGGCTTGGGGACTGAAGGGTCCCGGGTTCGATTCTGGTCAAGGGCATGTACCTTGGTTGCGGGCATATCCCCAGTAGGGGGTGTGCAAGAGGCAGCTGATCGATGACTCTCTCTCATCGATGTTTCTGGCTCTCTATCTCTCTCCCTTCCTCTCTGTACAGAATCAATAAAATATATTTTAAAAAAAAATAAAAAAATATATATTTGTATTGCCTTAAAAGAGGAAGGAAGAGAGAAACATCAATGATGAGAGAATCATTGATTGGCTGCCTCCTGCACACCACCCTACTGGGGATAGGGCCCACAATCTGGGCATGTACCATTGACTAGAATCGAACCCAGGACCCTTCTTTCTACTGAGCCAAACCAGCTAGATCTAAGAATAATTTGAAAGTTTCTCATTTATAACTGAATGTATGTTTTTAGATTTAAAAAATACAGTTATGGCCCTGGCTGGGTAGATCATTTGATTGGAGAGTCATTCCATACACCAAAAGGTTACAGGTTTGATTCCCAGTTGGGGTGCATATGAGAGTCAACTGATTAATGTTTCTCTCTCCCTTCCTCGCTCTAAAACTCAATGAAAGCATATTCTTGGGTGAGGAATTTTAAAAATAATAAAAATGAAAAAGTAAAGCTATGATATCCCTATAAATATTAAATCCTATATAATAAAAGGCTAATATGCAAGTCAACTGAATGGTGGAATGACCAGTCACTGTGATACGCACTGGCCACCAGAGGGCAGACACTCAATGCAGGAGCTGTCCCCTGGTGGTCATTGTGCTCCCACAGGCTCACGGCTGGTGAGTGTGGGAGCCTCTCCAATCTCTGGCAGCGCAAGGAACAGCAAGCAGGAGGGCGGTAAGGAGCAAAGGCTCTTGGACTACAAGAGGGTACAGGCCATTACCCCCCCCCCCCCCCGTGTGGGAATTTCATGCACCAGGCCTCTTGTTTTTATATAGGAAAGTTTTCTTATTTGTATTGTATTTTTAAAAGTACAATATATGAAATGGGAATTTTTTTTTTTTTTAATAGGGAACTCAACCCCATGTATGAAGGATATCTACAGCATGATGCACAGGAAGTGTTACAGTGTATTTTGGGAAACATTCAAGAAACATGCCAACTCCTAAAAAAAGAAGAAGTAAAAAATGTGGCAGAATTCTCTAACAAGGTAGAAGAAAATCCTCGTCAGAGAGAGGAAATTAATGGAGTTAATAGCACAGAGATGGACAATATGGGGCATTCTGAAGACTATAAAGAAAAACTCCCAAAAGGAAATGGGAAAAGAAAAAGTGACACTGAATTTAGTAATATGAAGAAAAAAGTTAAGGTATCCAAGGAACACCAGTCATTGGAAGAGAACCAGAGACAAACTAGATCAAAAAGAAAAGCTACAGGTGATATACTAGAGATTCCTCCTAAAATAGTCGCTAAGTACATTCCTGAAAATGAGAGTGCAAGACCCTCACAGAAAAAATCAAAAGTTAAAATAAGTTGGTTAAAGTCTGCAACTAAACAACCCAGCATCCTTTCTAAATTCTGTAGTCTGGGGAAAATAAACCAAGGATCCAAAGGACAATCTAAAGAAAATGAATATGATCTTGAAGAGGACTCTGGGAAGTGTAAAAATGATAACACAGTTAATGGCTGTGGACTTGAATCTCCAGGAAATAATGTTAAGTCCATTAATGATAATGAAGTTAAGCCCATAAACAAAGGTCAGTATAATTTATTCTTAGACATTGATAGCTTGGCAGGTTAACAGTTGAAGAATTAGAATTATTCTCTTAGATATATGTACAATATAATATAAATCTGGCTGATGTTTTGTTTAAAAAAAATTTAATACTTTGGTGTTTTAAGCACTGCTATGTGTTTGTATAAATCTCAATCTTAAGGTAATGTTAGTTTATTATAAACTAAGGGAGTTTAATAAATTTTAATGGAAAGAGGATATAAACCTTTATATAAGCAATATTTGCCATAAACACATGAAAAGTAATGCATTTAGTGAAATGCAGTTTTAAAGGAGAGAACCAAGCAGGTGCACCATACTTGGACTGAATTTCTACCTACCTTCTTCCAGATCTGCAGCTCTCAGGGAAACTATAATAGTATTGATGTGGTTATGGTTTTACTGTCATCCTTATTTTAGAGTTACTCTAGGGGGTAGCAATTATGAAGACATAGTTATGACTTCTTTTATTTAGAGACAACAGTAATTTGTATTATAAACTACCTTTACAGAATTTACATTAAATGAATAAGGCACCTTTCAATGCTAATAAGCAGGTTGAGATTTGAAAATCAGCTTTTTATTCACATGTGCTTTAAATGAATATTGGTTACTTGGGCTATGCTGAAAAACTAATATATACTTATATTTTCCTATTTTTCTTTTAGGCACAGAGCAAATTGGTTTTGAGCTTGTAGAGAAGTTATTTCAAGGTCAGCTGGTATTAAGGACTCGTTGCTTAGAATGTGAAAGTTTAACAGAAAGAAGAGAAGATTTTCAAGACATCAGTGTGCCAGTACAAGAAGATGAGCTTTCCAAAGTAGAGGAGAGTTCTGAAAGTAAGCAAAAACTGGAGTATTTGTAAGGACTGAAATAATTACAGCAATTTAATAGTTTGTATAATTATTGAGAAATTGTTTTTTAGTTTCTTTTGTATAATAAAATCTTTGCTTATATAGCTTCTTTTTTTTGATATGTAGAATGAGAAAATGAAATGTTTTGATAAGTTAACATTTAGGTACCTGAATTTCTCAGAGCTACTGAGGATTTAAGAAAATATATATTTTATTGATTTTACACAGAGAGGAATTAAGAGGGATAGAGAGTTAGAAACATCAATGAGAGAGAAACATCGACCAGCTGCCTCTTGCACACCCCTCACTGGGGACGTGCCCACAACCAAGGTACGCGCCCTTGACCGGAATTGAACCTGGGACTTTTCAGTCTGCAGGCCGATGCTCTATCCACTGAGCCAAACCGGTTTCAGTTACTGAGGATATTTTTAACACTATGTTTTGTCTAGTTTAAATGACAAAAAAGTATGGAAATGTTACAGGAAATGATCATGAGACTGATTTACCTGCTCAGATATTGGAAATTGGCTCTCTATAATAAAAAAAGCATAATATGCTAATTAGACCAGACAGTCGGACAATCTCCTGAACTAAGTGGGTCTGCAATGCTGAGGCAAGCTGCTGCAGTTGTGAGGACTGAGCCCCTTGCACAATTTTGTGCATCGGGCCTCTAGTAAAATATAAACTAAAGTCTGTCTTATACTGAGCCAGAGACTAGGTTTGTGTGACATTCTTTCTGACTAGCATCTAAATGTTTTTTGGCTGATCAAATACAAATATTTAAAAGACGTGCACTGCTAAGGGAGAACTTAATTTCTGAAACTAGTTATTGTCTTTATTATTGGAAGGATTAGTAAGTTGAAATTAGATGCTAATTTTGAACATAGAACTTCGTTTTATTTTTAAATGTTGGACAGATTTTTCATTTGTGAGTGAAAGGATTCTCTTATGTAGTTTCTCCAGAGCCAAAAACAGAAATGAAGACCCTGAGATGGGCAATTTCACAATTTGCTTCAGTGGAGAGGATTGTAGGAGAAGATAAATATTTCTGTGAAAATTGCCATCATTATACTGAAGCTGAACGAAGTCTTTTGTTTGACAAAATGCCTGAAGTTATAACCATTCATTTGAAGTGTTTTGCTGCTAGTGGCTTGGAGTAAGTATTATAAATAAAAGCTATCTGAAGAAAATGAGCTGCTATATAAGAGAAGTTTTGTTCAAAATAGTATAATATAAACTACTGAAATGAAGTAATTTATAAATATTGCCTTAGAAAAGTTTGTTTTTTTAAGTTTCCCTGTAAAAATATATCAGTATGAACATATATTCTGTGATTTCTTCACACCTTTTCATTCCTTATCAGATATAGTTGAATTGATTAAAGCAGAGAACAAATTTTATATACATTAAGGTTTTTTTAAGGGGAGAAGAAAGGCAAAATTAAAGTTAGCCAGGAAATCAAATGAATCTGAGCAATTAAATTCTTCTATAGTTAAAAATTTAAATATCTAAAAGCAATTTAAAAAGTATAAAATATCAGTTGCATTTTGAATAGTCTGAATTTTTCTGACATGTACACATGTGGATTTTATTCCTTTTTATATTAATGAATTTTTAAAATTACTATGAGAGCTTTCCAGAAGAAGAACATATGATCCTTTCATTTTCTTATTGCACAAAATCAGTATTTTTCTTCGGGGGAATATTTTAAATATATTAGTTGGGGTCTTTTTTTAATATTTTGTGTTTACTCTTAGGAACTCTAAATATTAAGGTTTCATTCAGACTCTTGGTTTCACATTGGGTATATAAAATATATATGTGTGTGAGCAAAAAACCTTATTTATTTTTTCTTCTTCCAAAGGTTTGATTGTTATGGTGGTGGACTTTCCAAGATCAACACTCCTTTACTGACACCTCTTAAATTGTCACTAGAAGAATGGAGTACAAAGCCAACCAATGACAGCTATGGATTATTTGCAGTTGTGATGCATAGTGGCATTACAATTAGTAGTGGGCACTACACTGCTTCTGTCAAAGTCACAGACCTTAACAGTTTAGAACTAGATAAGGGAAATTTTGTGCTTGACCAGTTGTGTGAAATGAGTAAGCCTGAACCACTGAATGAGGATGAAGCAAGGAGTGTGGTTGAAAATTATGATGATGAAGTGTCAATTAGAGTCAATGGAAACACACAGCCAAGTAAAGTTTTGAACAAAAAAAATGCAGAAGCTATTGGACTTCTTGGAGGACAAAAGAGCAAAGCAGATTATGAGCTATACAACAAAGTAGCTAATCCTGACAAAGGTACCAGCACAGCATTTGCTGAAAATAGAAATTCTGAGACTAACATTACTAATGGGACCCATGAGTCTGATAGGAACAAGGAATCCAGTGACCAAACAAGCATTAACATGAGTGGATTTGAGAACAAAATTTCAGATGTAGTGCAAAGCTTAAAGGAGTATGAGGGGAAGTGGTTGCTTTTTGATGATTCTGAAGTAAAAGTTACTGAAGAGAAAGACTTTTTGAATTCTCTTTCCCCTTCTACATCTCCCACATCTACTCCTTATTTGCTATTTTATAAGAAACTATAGTGTACATTTTCCTTATGTGTATGTGTGTATATATATGTATAAAAAGACAGACTCAGACAAACATTGATAAAGTTGATTACATCAAAAAGTCTAGCTTATCTTTTAAAGCTGTTGGATTACAATTGGTCTCTAGGTTTTTGTATAGTGAAATTTGAATTACTGAAAACCATGTTAATTTTTAGAATTCATTTTCCTTAGTAGAGACTAGTGATGTATTATCTCTGGGGAAAAACTTGTGTATAGGTTCTTAATTGAATTATCCAAAATGGAAGCATTTAAACACTTTTGAATTTACACCTTTTTTTGTGTTCGCTTTTAAAAATAAAGTGCTTGTATTTGTATCTCCAAATTTTGGAGTAATTACATGTTTATAGGTCCTGTGGTTTTTCAGCTAAGCAGAATATCATTTCAGTACATTTACTTTTATAAGTCAGGAAGCCAAATATTTGATGGGCTGTAATAAAGGCACAAAGTCTGGAATATGTATGTATTCACAATGGTGTGTACATTTTGTGCCTTGGGTCACTTTGAAAGTGTCACAGAAAACCTGGATAGTTCTATCTTCACAAGAATTTTATATGTATTTATGAAGGTGATTCTTCAGTAAATCTTTTTGGGCATGGACTAATTTGTATCTATCTCTTCATAGTCATATTCTGCACGATCTGTATATAGTATATCAAACTTAGAGGTGTGACCTTAAGTTTAACTTTTTTAAAAAATAAGGTCAATAAAATTTTAAATGCTTAAAAACTATGTATACAAATGCTCATTTTTTTTTTTTAAAAACTTGCTTATTTTTACCATAAATACACCTGGATTCTCATAATAGAATATGTGTGATATTGAAGAAAGCAAGTAGGCATAATTACCTTTAATAATACTTATATTTTTTACTGTTGTAATGAAGAAACTTTGAAGTATTCAAATTGTACTTAGTCCATCTAAGTTGTCATACTTAAAAGAAGTACAGTAAAAATTGTTAGTCCTTTAAAGTAGAAATACAACTATGGAATCTAGAACTGGAGAATTTAAGATGATGCCTCGGACACACACAAAAACTTGGTTAAATTTTCATTTTAAATATATTAAGTTGGTAAGTGGTCAATTATGCCTTGTTAAAATAATTTTTGGTATTTAAAAATAATTCTAAAGAATATACACTATTGGCTGAAACCGGTTTGGCTCAGTGGTAGAGCGTTGGTCTGCGGACTGAAAGGTCCCAGATTCGATTCCGGTCAGGGGCATGTATATTGGTTATGGGCACATCCCCGGTAGAGGGTGTGCAAGAGGCAGCTGGTCGGTGTTTCTTTCTCATCGATGTTTCTAGCTCGCTCTCTCCCTTCCTCTCTGTAAAAAATCAATAAAAAAAGAAAAAAGAATATACATTATTGGAATAACACCTTTATTCCATTTCAACAAATAAGAGTACCTATCAATTAGTTATATACACTGAGTGGCCAGATTATTATGATCTCTGAATGCATAATAATCTGGCCACTCAGTACTGGTATATATCCTATATAATAAAAGGCTAATATGCAAATTGCCCCCTTGGCCAGGAGTTTGACCAGCAGGCAGGCTGGCAACCACCCATGTCCCCATGTCCCCTCCCCCTGGCCAGGCTGGCTGGGTCCCACCCATGCACGAATTCATGCACTGGGCCTCATTTTATTTATATATATATATATATATATATATATATATATATATATATATATATATATATTTATATATATATATATATATGTGTGTGTGTGTGTGTGTGTGTATGTGTGTATGTATGTATATATGTTATACACATACACTGAGTGGTCAGATTACTATATGTTTAGAGATCATAATATAGCCACTCAGTGTAGTTAAATAATGTCTTACATACTTCATAAGATGGTATGATATAAAAACTCACGGCTCACCTCATTCTACATTCAGTATCACTAATAGAACTTTTTAAGAAACAGCTCTGAACATTATCCATCTGATGAAACAAGAATCACTAATAGAACTCTTAAAAAGAAATAGCCTGAACACCACTCAAGCTTCTGATGGAGCAGTTCAAGGCCTCCAATACTTAAGGGGCAGCCAAGGTTAAGAACCTCTAGTATAAATTCCTTACAGGAGAAAGTTTAAAGGAAATTGTGTTCATGGTAAGTTACCAAGTGTTGCTGTCTTAAGGGTAAGAAGTCAGAAAATAATCAGTAATGCAAGCTAATTAATTATATAAATACTAGAGGCCTGGTGCACAAAAATTTGTGCACACGGGGGATGGGGGTAGGTTGGGTGCAGCAGTGTGTGTCCCTCAGCCTGGACTGCTTCTGGGGATGTCCACCTGCCAGCTTAGGCCTGCTCCAGGATTGGACCTATCTGGCAGTCAGACATCCCTCTGGTAGCCTAGGAACCCTTGGGGGATGTCCACCTGCCAACTTAGGCCTGCTCCCTGGCTTATGCTGAGATGAGCTCCCCCTGTGGGAACACACTGACCACCAGAGAGCAGCTCCTGCATTGAGCATCTGCCCCCTGGTGGTCAGTGCATGTCAAAGTGTTGGGTCATTCATGGTTGTTTTGCCTTTAGGGTAAATTTGCATATTACCCTTTTATTACATAGGATTTAAGTTCTTGATATTGTCACAGATTCGTTTGAAACTATTCAAATTTTACATGAATGCAATTTAATGAGAAATGATCTAGGGGTTTAATATCCTCTCCCTTATATCTACCTACTTTTCATACCCATGGAAAAGTATATGTACCATTTTTTTGTTTTAAAGAATGTCCAATTCCAGCCTTTCCTTATTGTCCACCTGGATCCTTTGTCCCCAAATATATTTTTGAAGTTATACCTTGTTGACTTCTTGGTTAACCCCTTGTGGTCTAACATTGTAGACTTATCTGAAAAACTTTTTCATAATTCAGTCTTTGAATTGATGTAAATAAGAATTTGAGATGATACTGCCAGTTATAAAGGTAGGTTGGAGGCGGGTAGATACTCTGACCTCACCTATGCACTTAGGAGAATCAGATGTTTTGGAGATCTTATTAAGTGATTCATGTAACTGGTCAGATCAGAGGAATAGATTATAAATGATGACTTTCTGTAATCCATAATACTACACAAAGAAAACATTGTCAAAACACTTCCAGAAAGCATTAATGCATTTTCTTGGGAAAATCTGCCAAGTAATTGAAATACATTTCCCCCAAAATTGTTGAATTTCTTGTAAAGTTAAAATTTTAAATTAATTGGTTAACTTCAATTAAAACAACCAATATTACATATTTTTGTAAAATCTATACAAGTATCAAAAAATATAACTTCTTAGCTGGTAAATTAAAGTCATACAGCAGCTCTTCGTGTTTTTATGGTGTAATAGCATTATGATGTAATAGTTTTGGTCACGAAAAAACTGATGACTGGCTTGTTTAATTTGAAACCATTCATTTTAGTCACTGAGAGTCATTAAACTGATACCATTTCATTAGTATAATAAAGTTGAAAGTCAAAGATCAAGCTACTGTCACTGGTGTTAGCTTTCCCAGTACTTAAAGTTATTTCTGCAATTTATTCTAATTCCCCCCTTTTTTGGTGTCTAAATGCAAAATAGCTTAGAAGCCAGTTTTAAGACTTCACAAACCAGTTATCAATGTCTTCACCCATTCATTCAATTTGGAACTTTGGGGCCATAAAGTGACTGTCAATTTTTATTTTCATTATGCTAGTTCTTGAATCAACTCAACTTATTTTCTGTCTTTGTTAATAAAGTTTTTAAAAGTCCCACTCAATAAAATTAGTGTAAACGTTCACATATTTAATAGTACCTTTAAAATAATCATTTACTACATTTAAAATGGTTCCAAAATGAATTATAAATGGTCATATAAATTAAAAAATACAAACTTAAAGTAAATAAAATTAACATTAGCTATGGTATAAATAATGATAAATGTATAGTGTACCCTTGAGTCATTAAAATGTCTTTAAAAAGATAACAGCACATTACCAGAATATTAGAAGCTATAGCCATGATTCTCAAACTTCAACAATCTACATTTGATTTGGCCACTGCATTCTTCATTGAGTAAATTAATGCTACGATTTTCAGATTTAAGTCCCAAGTCTTATTTTTCAATAGATCTTAACTTCTTGTCACACTCAATGTTGAATATGTGGCTCTCTTCAAATTAATAAAAACAAGTGTTTATTTAGAGATCCATTTTGCGCAGGCTCATTCGACTGAAGGAATCTCTGGGAAGAAAAAGGATATAATTATAAGCAAGCAAACTTTGCAAACTTCTGTAGATTACGCTTCACTTTTTTGTTCTGCCAGAGTTACCTCAAAGTTTTGCCACCAAAAAGTTAATAACTTTTAAAACTTTTTGTACCAAAGTTGTATTAATGTTCAAATTAGTCTGCCTTACATATATTACCTCTTATAGGTTAAAGACCTCTATAGGTTAAAGTATATTGCAGTAAACACTTTAGCAAATGCATTGATCACTTAGTCATTTGTGCAATAGTAGCATTAGATATGATAAATAAGGAAATAAGGGGTAATGGGCGAAATTTCAGGACAAGATTTTTTTTTTTATATACAATTATTAAAAGGCAAAAGGCAAGGTGTGTTTAAAACATTAAATTTCAACTCTTAATCAGTGGTTCTTAAGCTTTTGAGTTTTAGAACTTTTTTACACTTAAAAATTGAGTACGCAGGAAGCTTTGTTTATGTGAATTATATTTACCATATTAGAAATTAAAACTAAGAAAAATTCAACTTATTCTTACAAAATAACCCATTACATAAATAGGTTTATAAAAATAACTCGGAATAAATTTTACAGTAGTGGCATGCTTACATATTTAATGTATGGCTTAATAAAAAGCCTAGGTTCTCAGGTCTTTTATAATATCACGTTGCATGTAGTCTGGAAAACCACTGTACTTTCTCAAGAGAATGACAGTGAGAAAGGCAAATCATATTTGGTTTTATATAAAATTAGTTTTTACTCTGGAACTTCCTGAAAGGGCCTCAGGGGCACCCTCCCAAAGAAGTTCCAAACCATACCTTAAGAACCACTATCTTAATACTGTATAAATAATTAATACTCTAGATTTTTTAAATCAGTAAAATAAAAGTTTCAAATTCTAAGGAAGCTTTATTTTCTAAGTTCTAAAGATTTAGTTAATAGTGAGGAGACTAATATTCTTCAATACCTCTTAATGTATTTTCCTTTATCCTGAATTTGTTTCACTTATCCTTCCTGCGATTAAGGTTAATCCTTTTTTTTTTATTAAATCTTTTTAATATATATATTTTATTGATTTTTTTACAGAGAGAAAGAGAGGAATAGAGTTAGAAATATCGATGAGAGAGAATCATCTATCAGCTGTCTACTGGGGATGTGCCCGCAACCAAGGTACATGCCCTTGACTTGGAATCGAACCCGGGACCTTTCAGTCCGCAGACTCTACCACTCTACCACTGAGCCAAACCAGTTTTGGCTATTAAGGTTAATCTTTGAGGTTTACAATCTCCAGGAAAGGAAAGGGCAGGTATAAAAAAGTCATGAGCTTTGAATTTCAAAGTGTGGGTTGTTGTTTTTTTTTTGGTTCCAGAGAAAATAGCAGTATTAAAAGCTAGATAATGTTCATAAGAGCTTTTCTAAATTCCAAAGAACTTCTGCAAATATTAAGAAATGAATCTTGAGGGACTGACCATAATCAGTTGAGAAAGCAAAAGCTCAGGATAACTGTAAGGGAGTTCCCTTCAAATAGGAAGAATACAGTCTTTCCATCGACAAGTGGGAGAGATTTGAAGGAAGTGAGACAAGCATTAGGAAACTGCCTGACAACCTCAGGGACCCAGCACCCTCATTCCAGGTCACTTAAACAGGGTGAAACTGGTGGGAGGAGGTTAGAGGCAGCAAGAAGAAAAACTCCAAAGTGACTGAAGGAGAAGCCAAAAGTGGAGGGGACTAGGGTTGCTTCCCTCTGACAATTTTAAGAAGCCGCCACCTTAAGTATTCACATCTGTATCGGATGGTGGAATCAAAATATTTGCCAGAGGAAGGATTTAAATCGGGCCCTCTGATCTCCCTCTGCTCCTGTAGATTGTGGAACAGATTCAAATAATATACATGCTTCCTGTAGGAGACATGACATATAGTAGCCAGATAGTCGGCATTTTTTGAATAAATGTTCCCCCCCCCCCCCCAGAGGACTAAAAGTACAGAAATAGATTACTGAAGAACAAGAACTAATTTCCAGATGATTAAATAATTTTCTTTTGCAATATATTATAGCATGCATTTACATTATGTTTTCTTATAAGCAACTTCAAAGGCCCTCTGAATATTAATTAGGCAAGTATAATTTAATGGCTTTACCCTTATTAATTCAGAAGGTGGTAACATATCGGTGCCACAATAATTCAAGTTGTATATATATTTAGGTTTCAAATTGCAAAAGCAGTTTACCTTATCATGTCTTGTCCAGAATTGAGGCACTAAGAAGTACAATGCTAAGTGCCATCCTTGGAAATGTGCATGCCATTTAATGTCCACAACACCATTTTCAAGGTAAGGGATTTCAGAGGAGAAATCTAAAGATTAGGTTAAATCACCTGCTCAAGTACAACTAGGATCAATTGTAGAAAATTCCAAGTTATTTCTATTTCTAACTTTTTGTGTCACACTTGGAAAGTAGAGAAAAATACTGAAGCCTTCTTGATACCCAATGTGGCTGTGTGTTTTAATACAAAAGAAGAAGAACACTGCATACTATTTACTGCCAGGGCTGAAGGAAACAAATACTTGGTTCCTGACATACTCCAGTGGATTCTCCCACAAAAATACTAGGAAGTGTGACAGGACTTTAATAAAAGGAGTAGTTTTAAGAGGCCAGACTTATATGTGGTCCTGGTTAGTATGAGTATTTAACACAACTTTGTGACTCTTGAATTACATACATAACTTGGAGGCTGATTCGTGCAGAGATATAAAAGGCTTATTATTAGTTGAACTTGTCAGGAGACAAAGTATCTAAAATCATGTAATAAAAGTTACACTAATTCATTATTAAAACAAATAATTCAACAGATTTTATTTTTCTGAACATATACCAAACAATAAAAAAATAAGCATACCTGTGGCAGGTGACAGGCAATACTACCTTGTATAACTGAGGGATCTTTCTGTTTATCAGAGGCTGTAGGGCCTCTTTAAGGCGATGATAGTTTCTCTCCAGTTCTCTTTGATACTCCTTTTGATCTGGCCCAATTAAGCTCTTATTTTTTCTTAAGGCATCTTCACACCTAGAAAAAACAGTGACGTCAAAACTTTCTTCTGGTATAGTTTGAGGGGTTAGTGCCATATACTGACTGTACACACACACACACACACACACACACACACTCTCCCCATGATGACATTCAAGTTTCTTGGTTGATTGTTAAATATTCTGTCTTATATTAGGTTTAAGAAAGGGAACAGATGATAAACTGTTTAAAATCATTCACTTCCAGTTTTCATTTAATTGAAAATTATTTTTATTCAATAAAAATTTAACAAGAAAAAAACTGTATTTTTTAATATTAATTCTGAAGCATTTTTCCTCCCTCCTATTACCACTAAACTTAAAGCTCTAAACTAAAAGAAATATAATAGCCATATTCACTTATGATGCAACAATGGCATCTGGTACACTGGTCTGCCTGCGTCCTAATGTTTCTAAATGAATAGCTCTTGAGAATAGTTTATTCAGATATTTGAGGAAAAAAATATCTGACTCTGATAGATAAATGAAAGGATATTAAAAGGCAATGTAGCCCTAGCTGGTTAGCTCAGTGGATAGAGCGTCAGCCTGCAGACTAAAGGGTCCCGGGTTCGATTCCAGTCAAGGGCATCTACCTTGGTTGGAGGCACATCCCCAATAGGGGGTGTGCAGGAGGCAGCTAATCGAAGTTTCTCTCTCATCTATGTTTCTAACTCTCTCCCTCTCCCTTCCTCTCTGGAAAAATCAATAAAATATATTAAAAAAAAAAAAAAAAAGGCAATGTATACAGATCACCACTTGCAGAATGTATCGAAAGTATTGCTCAGAGGAAAATATATAGCCCAAATGCTTACATTAGGAAAGAAGGCTAAAACTGAAGAGCTAAGCAACCTAAAAAGAACAGAATAAACTTGAAGTATAAGGAAGCAAATTAAAAGTATGACAGCTATATATGAATAAATAAAAAAATTGGTTCTTTCAAAGGAAAAAAAAAAAAGACTAAGCACTGGTAAGATTAAATAGAGAAGACTAAATAATTCCTATTAAAAATTAAAAATGAGACAAAGTCAAATACAGAAGTTTATAAAGGTATAGAGGATATTATGTATAATTTAATACAATAAATCTGGAATTATATTCTTCTAGATTAATATAATTTATCAAAACAGACTTAAGAAAAAAAACATGAATTATCCTAAAACCATCAGATACATAGAATCAGTCAAGTCACAAATCTATCCCCAAAGTAAACACTAATATGTAAATTCTACCAAACACTGTAAAGATGAATAATCCCAATGTGACAATTACAGATTATTAAAAAGAAAATCTGAAATATATAGGGTGGGAGGGGGGAAGAGGAGAACTATTCCTGAGAAGAGTTTCCAACTCATTTTTCAAGGTTGGGATAACAAAACCTAATGGGAACTACAAGAAAAAATTGTATTTCATTTTAAAAAATATATTTTATTGATTTTTTATAGAGAGAAAGGGAGAGGGATAGAGAGTTAGAAACATCGATGAGAGAGATTAGCTGCTTCTTGCACACTTCCTACTGGAGATTTGCCTGCAAACAAAGTACACGCCCTTGACCGAAATTGAACCTGGGACCTTTCAGTCCCTCTATCCACTAAGCCAAACTGGTTAGGCCAAAAAATTGTATTTCAATCTCATCCTTAAAAACAATTGCAGCCAAAACCAATACTGATTTCCTTCCTCTCTGAAATTAATAAAAATATATTTAAAACAAAACAAAAAATTCTTAGCATAAGTATAAATAGGTGGGAGCCTCTTTAGTTAAAACATCTACAAAAAACTTGAAGTAAACATTATACTCAACAGTGAAAACATTTCCTTTTAGATCAGGAATAAGAAAGGATGCCTCTATTCCTGTTACCATTTAACAGAGTGCTAACAATCCTAAACATCACTGTAAAAATATTCTACAAGTTAATTATTAGAATTAACAAGTTTGGCAATATTCTTATGTAAAATATATCAGTATATGCATTTCTGTATACCAATAAACAAAACATAATTTAAAAAGATACCATTAACAAAAATATACAAGTATTAAATATCAAGGAGTAAATAAAAAAAAAAATATAAGGTCTCTACGGAAAATTAAAATAATATTAAGAAAACAAAGAATCCAAGATGGCTACACAGGTAAACACCTAACCGAAGCCGCACACAACAATTTCAATAAAATATAACTAAAATATTAAATGGACATTATCCAGAACTACAGGAAAGTCAACTGACTGGAAATTCTACAACGAGAACCAAGGAGAAAACCAGAAGGAAGCGCAGAGGAGCGGTAAAAGCCTAAGGTATGGAGACACATGGCGCACACGCGCGGAGAGGAGGGAGCAGGAGAGGAAGGGCGGGGCGGCTGAGTGCCTGCCTGGTGTTCCCTAGGGGGAAGGAGATAAACGTTCCGACTGTGCTGGGCCCCAGTTCCGACTGCGCTGAACCCCAGTTCTAGGCCAGACCCCGCGGACCCAGGCTCATCCATAGGGAGCTGGGCTGTAAGGCGGAACCCTGGGGGAGTGGCGAAAGGAGGTCCCGGCAGCGTGCAGAGAAGGACGGTTGGCTGTGCCGCGGGATTGCTCTGGCGGGAAGGAGACAGGGGCTCCAGACTGCTCTGAACGCCACATCCAATCTCACTTCCAACTGAACTGAATCCCAGTTCCGGGCTCATTGGGGAAGAGCCTACACTGTTTGGTAGCAGGTGAAAATCGAGGGCACCTTTTTCTCAGAGGTGCTTGCAGCGAATACTGGAGGACCCTGAGACTCAGAAGCTGCATAGAGCGGGGCTGATGGAAGCCAAGGCTGCAGGCTCCACCCTGAAACTCCGCCCCATCAGGGAAGCTGCGAAAATGCGACAACGAAATAGATCACAAACGAAAGAAATGGAGGACAAAAAGCGACTGGATATAGAGTTCAAATCTACGCTTATAAGGTTTTTCAAGAATTTCCTAGAAAAGATGGATAAGACTTATGAGGATATGAAAAGACATCAACTAGAATTAATAAGGAGTCAACAAGAAATGATAAGGAATCAACAAGAAATAAAGAATACATTGTCTGAAATAAAAAATATTATACAGAGTCCTAAAAACAGAATAGAAGATCGCAAGAATCAAGTCAAAGATTTGGAACATAAAGAGCCAGAAGACACTCCTCCACAGAAGCTAGAAGGCAAGAGAATCCAGAAAATTGAAGATAATGTAAGAAACCTCTGGGACAACTTCAAGCGAACCAACATCAGAATTATGGGGGTCCCAGAAGATGAGAGAGAGCAAGATATCAAAAACATATTGAAAGAAATAGTGACAGAAAACTTCCCCCACCTGGTGAAAGAATTAGACTTACAAGTCCAGGAAGCGCACAGAACTCCAATCAAAAGGAATCCAAAGAGGACCACACCAAGACACATTATAATTAAAATTCCAAGAGCAAAAGACAAAGAGAGAATATTAAAAGCAGCAAGAGCTAAGCAGGTAGTTACTTATAAAGGAGCACCGATACGATTGTCAGCTGACTTCTCAACAGAAACCATGCAGGCCAGACGGGAATGGCAAGAAATATTCAAGGTGATGAATAGTAAGAACCTACAGCCAAAGATAATCTATCCAGCAAAGCTATCACTCAGAATCGAAGGTCAGATAAAGAGCTTCACTAATAAAAAAAAGCTAAAGGAGTTCATCAACACCAAACCAGAATTATATGAATTGCTGAAGGGGGTTCTTTCAGAAGAGAAAGTAAATAAAGATAAAAATTATGAACAACAAATATGTAACTATCAACTATTGAATCTAAAAACCAAGGAAATTAAAAAAAAATCTGATGAACAATATTAACTGGTGAATATAATAGAATCAGAGGTATGGAAGGGGAGTGAACTGACGATTCTTGGAGAAAAGGGGAGAGAGGGATATGGGAAGAGACTGAACATAAACTGTGCACCTATGGATGAGGACAATGGTGGGTGGGGAAAGGGCAGAGGGTGGGGTGGGAACCTGGTGGAGGAGAGCAATGGAGGGGGGGGGGGGGGGAGAGGAACATTTGTAATAATATGAACTATAAAAATTTACTTAAAAATAAAAAATTAAATTAAAAAAGAAAACATTTAAAAGATGTCAGTAAATGAAGAAATACGCAACTATTTTTTCATTATGAATCACTTTTCTATATTTTCTCTTTTCAATTATCCCTTAAGACACTTATTTTACAGTGTGGTTTTAGACATTCTCAATTTGAAGAGCTTTATGTAGGAAGCCTTGAATACCTTTTAGTAAAATCTTTAAAGCAGAGTCGCAGTTTATTATGATGTCTGAAGAGTTTTGGGTCACTGGGTATTTCAGATAGGAAAACCTGGGCAACTTCCAAAGGCCCCTGTAAAATAAAAACAAGAGGTGTGTTTTGTCTTCTCTAAAATCAAAGAGACAGAAGCTACCTGAATGATTTTCTTAGCACTAAAATGGCTGCATCTAAGCTTAATGCATATGTATATGTGACAGGGTCTGGTCACATGTTTTTAGTTTTTCCTAATGTCAAGTCTATATTCTTGCCGACAAAATTTAAATTAAATTCTTGGGCTACTAGCAATCAATTGTTAATTCAGATTATTAGACTTGATTTCCTGAAACATTTCCTCTATATTCAAAATCTGTTCCCAACACTGTAAATTAAAGAAGATAATCTTTTGCAAGTTATATTATTTGGAGCTAAGATCTCCAAATATTATGTTTTAGGGGGTTAAAGGTCTTAAAGTGTGTGCTTCTCGCTGAAACCGGTTTGGCTCAGTGGATAGAGTATCAGCCTGGGGACTGAAAGGTCCCAGGTTCGATTCCGGTCAAAGGGCATGTACCTTGGTTGTGGGCACATCTCCAGTAGGGGGTGTGCAGGAGGCAGCTGATCAATGATTCTCTCTCATCGATGTGTCTAACTCTCTATCCCTCTCTCTTCCTCTCTGTAAAAAAATCAATAAAAAATATATTTAAAAAAAAAAGTTTCCTTCTTTTTTGGCTTTATTCCTTAAACCTAAAAAATAGGGTAAGACAGCCCAACTGATGTGGCTAAGTGGTTAAGGATCAACTTATGAACCAGGAGGCCTTGGTTCAATTCCCGGTCAGGGTACATGACCAGGTTGTGGGCTCAATCCCCAGCAGGGTTGTGTAGGAGGCAGCTTATCAATGATTCTTTCTCATTATTGATGCTTCTATTTCTCTTTCCCTCTTCTTTCCATTCTGAAATCAGTAAAAATATAAAGAAAAAATAGTATAAGACATATTATATGAAATCTTACTTGAAGCCTCTTACCTTGGAATATTCCTTAATCATCATCAAAGAGACAATGGAATGCCTTCTAATCTACACGTGACAAACCAATAGCACACTGCCACCGGCCAAGCTCCCCCGGCCCCTCCTCCTAGATGGTCCGGCCCCCGATTGTCCCCCTCTATCCCTGATTGGGATGAGCTGGCCAGATCCCACATATGCACAAATTTATGCACCAGGCCTCTAGTATAATGATAAAATCACTCCAAATTGCATTCATAACTTAAACAGTGCCAGCAGAAAGCACCAACCTGATTCACAGTTGTGCCCACAGACCCCTGGAGTACCATCTGCAGCATTTTGGGATCTGCCGGATCCTGATGTGTTGCAAATGCCAACTCCTGTGTCTTTTTCTGCATGTCTTCAATAGCAACTTCAATTGGTGTTAAGATGATCTGGATGAAATAACATCTGTTAGGTCAGTGTACTGATAGAAAATTATTTAAAGAGGTTTATATATAATCAATTAAAATAAAAAAAGTGGAGACCAATTGTAAACTGTCATCCTATCTAATAAAAGAGTAATATGCAAATAAACCATCACTCTACTACACCCACAGCCATGTTCACCAGCCAATCAGAAGCAAGTATGCAAATTAACCCAACCACGATGGCTATGGCCACAGAGAGAGCAGGAGGGAAGGTTGGGTTTCCCCGGCGATGGAGGAAGCCAAGCTTTCTGTACACCCTGGCTGGCCCAGGCCTCTGCTTAAGGCTACAAAATTTCAACTATAGAAGATACATAAATCCCAACAGAAATGGCAGCAGCTATGGAGCCGGAGAAAGCAGGATGCAAGGGTTTCCCACGGCAATGGAGGAAGCCAAGCTTCTGTAGCCCTGGCTCTGCTCCTGACTACAAAGTTTCAATTGTAGAAGATAAATAAATCCCAGACACAGGGCTTTTGCTTGGGTCACTGGGGGGCATGACTGGCCTGCAAACCATCACAGGCCCCTTGCCCAGGCCACCCCACACTCCAAAGGAACCCCCACCCTGATCTGGGACACCCTTCAGGGCAAACCAGCTGGCCCCCATCTGTGCACCAGGCCTCTATCCTATCTAATAAAGGAGTAATATGCAGATTGACTATCACTACAACACACAAGATGGCTGCCCCCATGTGGACACAAGATGGCCAGCAGGGGAGGGCAGTTAGGAGGGACCAGGTCTGCAAGGAAAGGCAGTTGTGAGTGATCAGGCTAGCAAGGGAGAATAGTTGGGAGGGACCAGTCCTGCAAGGGAGGGCAGTTGTGGGCAATCATGCCTACAGGGGAGGGCCATTAGGGATAACCAGGCCAGCAGAGGAAGGAAGTTGGGAGCAGATTGGCAAGGGAGCAGTTAGACATCAATCAGGCTGGCAGGGGAGCAGTTAGACATCAATCAGGCTGACATCGGAGTGGTTAGGGGGTGATCAGGCTAGCAGGCAGAAGCGGTTAGGGGCAATCAGGAAGGCAGGCAGGTGAGCAGTTGGGAGCCAGCAGTCCTGAATTGTGAGAGGGACCCCAGATTTGAGAGGATGCAGGCTGGGCTAAGATACAGCCTCCCCACCCCGTGCACAAATTTCTTACACCAGGCCTCTAGTGTAATAATAAAATCCCAAACTTAGGATGCCTTAATAAAAAATCACCTAAGTAGCCAAAACCGGTTTGGCTCAGTGGATAGAGCGTCGGCCTGCAAACTGAAGGGTCCCAGGTTTGATTCCGGTCAAGGGCATGTACCTTGGTTGCGGGCACATCCCCAGTGGGGATGTGTAGGAGGCAGCTGGTCGATGACTCTCTCTCATCAATGTTTCTGACTCTCTATCTCTCTCCCTTCCTCTCTGTTAAAAAAAAAAATCAATAAAAATATATTTTTTTAAAAAAATCACCTAAGTAAAGGCTGAGTGTGAACGAGGGTCTTAGAAAAGAAGCTTGAAGTCATTTAAAAAATGGATCAAGTTCTAGTATGCTACCACATGAGGGGTGGTACACAAAGGCATATCCGCACTGTTCTCACATGGCTCCAATGTATTAGTTTCACCAATTCTGTTTCCTCATTTGTGAACTTACCTCCTCTTTGTGAGTAACATTGACCCTTGTCTTAATATAAGGAAAAGCATGAGAAGTGGTCAGTATGGTCTTCCGTTTGAATTGTTCATGAAGTTCCCCATGGGCACGACCATCTAAAGTGAAGGGTGTACAGTACATGAAACGGCGAAGATTATAATTTTTGTCAAAATATGTGATTCTGTCCTTCATCTCATATGTGTCAAAGTACGGTTCCACGTAGGTAATCTGAATATATGCCTGGGAAAGGAAAAAGTCATTTGTTTTCTCACTGATAAATCATTACACCGTCTCTCTCCAACAACATCACAGTCTCAAAAACATGTCTACATATCATACAGTTTAAGCAACCATACCTTGTTAGGATCTAATTTACACTTGTCTACAGGATTAGAATCCTTGATTACTTCAACCACATCCTCTCCAAATCTTTCTCCATAAAATCCCTACAATAAAGAAAACGAAATCTTTCACATGATGTTTACAGTATTAGAGACTAGAGAAGGCCTCTGAGGGAGCAAGATTAGGCCATTTAGTAAGCTTATGTACAACCATGTTAATAATTACAAAGGAAATTATATTTAGCCTACAAATTAGCCCAGTTTCAGTCCATATTTATGTGATATTATTTCCATTTACTTTTTAAAAATAACACAAAGCAGAAGAAAACAACAGTTTTTCTTCAATAAAAATACAGGTTTTCACAATAGGTCCTCAAGAAAAACAAAAAAGGACAGAAAGCAAAAACAAAAGAAACTCAGTATCTTTGATTTATAGATCTTACTTTTTTTTTTTTTTTTTTTTTACATTTTTTGTTAAATTATTATCTGTGTACATATTTTAACATTGCCCCCCTAGATCTTACTTTTATTGTATCTGATGTGGCCTGATTGACCCATGCAGACATGGGTCAATGAAGAAGCATTCAATTTTATGAATGATTACATGCAATGCTCTAGAATTTCAAATAAAAGCACTAAGTTGATGAAGTTTTACTTAGGTTTAGATTTTGAAAAGGCAACCCTGAGTCAAGAATGCAGTGACTTTTCCATATGACACTGAGTAGCAGCATGGGCAATGAATGGAGCTATTCAAAAGAAAAAATTAAATCTGAATCTTCAAAGGAGAAACCCTACTCTTCCTCCAAAGGTAATTTTTATGATTAAATTTGAGGAACACTGTCTCCATATTTCCCAAGACTTACCTAGCCTCTTAAAAATTAAGTCACAGTTTAAGCCTATTTACAGAAATCGAGACCAATAAAGTCATCAATAATCCCAACAGAAATGGCTACCGGAGCAAGCATAAAAAAAAATAAAACATTCAAAAAATTAACAATTTTGTTGAGAATAAAAACAAGCCACGAGCAATGTTTCTCAAACTCTTAAGTGAATACAAGTCACCTAGGGATCTGGTTAAAATGCAGATTTTTATTAGGAAGGTCTGGGGCAGAGCCTGAGACTCTGTCTTCCAAGCAATCTCCCAGCTGATGCCAGTGCTTCTGGTCGCTGAACCACACTTTGAGTGATAAGAATAGAGAAAGGTTGGAAAGCAAAATGATAGCAGAAAAGATAATTCCTTGTACTCTAAAGGACAGTTTATTTGGCACGATGTGTATTAACAGAAGATTAGATTTGGATCTGAAAGTCTACTCTCATTGGGAATTAAAGATGACATTGTATGAACCACGACAGCATTCACCTCCAGTCTGTGAGATATCTCTGCAAGTTTGGTTATTGCAGGCTCCTTGTAAACAAATTCCTGTTCATCCAAATCCCCGAACTTGGTTCCATAAAAACCAACACGAAAATAGGTGCCAAACATCCGCTTCCCATCCTAGGTTTAGGAAAATAAAGAAACTTTAATACAAAGTCTTTTTGTTTTTGACATTATGCTTAATTACTATAATATAAAATTCCCAAAACACTGCAAAAAGTTTTAATTAAAAATTACAATACTTTGTTATTTCCCAAATGAAGATAAAAACAAAGCAATAACTTTTCCTCTTTCAATATTTCTAACAAATAACATTATGGAACTGGCCTTTCACCAACTGAATAAATCACACATGATATATGCTTTTTAAGATTTGTACCAAGTGACTACTTCACATTGGTTTACGTTTTAAGTCCATACACTTGAAATAAATTCACTTATTTTCCTTATTGCAAGAAAAGATGTTCAGTATGACATGGATTGTGTCTTAACTGTTCTGAAATTAGAGCATACTTCATAGAAACACTAACATTTTTAGTTAACAGCCTTATATAATCTCTAAATATAATAAATTAGATAATAAAAGTTAGGAGCCAAGTATAGCACCTGGCATAGAGCAGTCAATCAGTAAATGCCAAGACCATCCAGAAGCATTAAAGCAAAACATTTATAATCAGTAGACCTGTGCTGATAAAAATATTTTTATTTGGGTGAGTAACTAAAAATGAAATAGAAAAGGAAAAATATAAAACGGAAAACTAAAAGGGGAAAAAAATTGATAGGAGTTACGTAGTTATTTGTCAGTCTTCAAACCACTCACTTCATACATTAACCACACATTAATTTCAGGTATGAAGTACATTACAGTCACTTTTACACAGTGCATTTGGAAACAAATTCCTTCAATAAAGATAAAATAGTTGGAAGCTTTCTATGCAATTCTTTCAATTTAGATACAAAGATATTTTAGAAGGATTTTGTGGTGGCTCCTACATACACAGCACACATAAATATTTAACCCTAATGTGTCCCATACTTATTTTTCCTATATTGAGTTCTTACTATAAAGGCAAAGGGCATGTAAAATAAATCACAAATGTCACAGATAATCAAGCAAAATGGAAAAGTCTGATCCTTAATTTACCAGTTTTATAATTTAAAAAAAGGTACATATTAAAATACCTCACATTTTTGTCAAGATTTAAAGTTTGTTTTTTTTTTAAAGTCTTTGGAGCCAAATAAATGTGAGGTTTCTAATTTAAATTTTTTCCACAAGTTATTTCATTTCAAAATTTAACAGACGTAAAAAATTAACTGATTTCTATACCAAAGGAAATCTTTCCAGATAAATTAAATGTATTCAACAAAAATTCTGATAAAAATTATCAACTTGCTAATGGAATAATATAATAATAGCAAATTTTGACATAATTAAGGAACAAAGAAAACAGTGCATGGGAAATAAAAATTATTTAAAAAAATGAATGACTGCCGAAACCGGTTTGGCTCAATGGTAGAGTGTCGGTCTGCAGACTGAAAGATCCCAGGTTCGATTCCGGTCAGGGGCATGTACGTTGGTTGTGGGCACATCCCCAGTGGGGGGTGTACAAGAGGCAGCTGGAGGATGTTTCTCTCTCATCAACGTTTCTAGCTCTCTGTCTCTCTCCCTTCCTCTCTGTAAAAATCAATAAAATATATTTTTAAAAAATGAATGACTTGTGATTATTTTTCAAAACATTATATACATGAAAATTCCAACAAATATTAAAATATTGTTATTCTAGCTGTACTCCTCTGAGAGGTTTCCAATTTAAGATACTATTTCAAATCTTCAATATGATGATTTTGGCCTTTTATATATTTGAAGACAGCTATTAAAATTTATTTCCTTTAGCTATACTTTCCATATGAGAGTAATCACTATCCTGTGTGCATTTTATTTGTTTTTTCAGTGCCATCTTTTTTAAAGCGTTGTGCCTCAGAAATAAATCTAATACTGCTATCAATGAGGCTCACTGCCTCCCTGGATCTGGACTTGAATATTATTAATGCTAACTTTAAAATTGAACTATGAGCAACCATTTAAACTCTTTCTTTACTTTCCATAATAAAATCTAGTTCAAAGAAAGACATTGAGTGCTTATGATGTGTTAGCCACTATTCATCAGTAACAGGAACATAAAAATATAATTTGGCTCAAGAGAGTAAAAAATGTATTCAAATAATTACAATATGAAGGGTTATGTGCTAAAAAGTTGTACCAAAAAATATTAATCCTATTGGAGCCAGGTCACAAAAGGGATAACACAGACAGGGTTCTACAATTTGAGAATGAACACTGGATGTGGGAGGAGAAAAGGACATGCTAGCGGAGAAAGAGGGAAAATCATGAAACAGAATGTCTGTAAGGGAAACCATCCATTCACATATTTGAGTGCCTCCTATGTGTCAATAAACTATACTAGACATTTATAATAAATCAATGAACAAAAGAGACAAAGAGGGTGGTCAGGATAGGTCTCATCATCAGGATGACATTTGAGCAAAGACATGAAGAAAGGGAGTTATTCATGTGGATCTCTGGGGGAAGTGTATTCCAGGCAGAGGAAAGAGCCAGTGCAAAGGCCCAAGGGCAGGTGCCTACCTAATGTGTTCAGAGAACAGGAAGGTGGCCAGTGTGACTGATGCAGAATTGAGGGCTAACTATATGGAGTTGCTGGAATTAAAAATGAATGAGTGCATACTAAAGTGAAGGAGGGAGCAACAGAAGTAGGAAAATTAAGAGTCTGAGTAAATTTACTTTCTTTCTGTTTAAAAAAATATATTGTTGAAAGTATTACCTAGATCCCTCTTTTCTTCCTCATTACCATCCCCCTGCACTCCCCAATCAGTAAATTTATTTTCAACTTAGAGTTCTCCAGTGTCAAACTACTGATGCTATCAGGCTCATGAAAACATTAACACATAGCTTTATCTTCAGGAAAAACGTCACTTCCATCTTTATTTTCTCTCCAGAGTTTTGGACCACAGAATGATAACTGTTTTCCTTTGAATTTGAAAAATAAAAATCCACTTTTCTTAAACCTAGCCTATGATTTTCTAACATAATCTTCCTTTACTGATATGAACTCTCTTGGACTTCCCACATACTACAACTTATTCTTTCTTAGCAGTTCTACTTATTGGCTTGCACAATCTTGTGGGTGATGAAACTATCCCAGACAAGGAAATCCATCTACTCATCTATCCATGTCTCTAATGGTTGGAATTTCTTATGAGAAATATATCTTTTTTTTTATACAGAAATTTTTGTTTTTAAAAAAATATATTTTATTGATTTTTTACAGAGAAGAAGAGAGATAGAGAGCTAGAAACATCGATGAGAGAGAATCATCGATCAGCTGCCTCTTGCACAGCCCCCACTGGGGATGTGCCCGCAACCAAGGTACATGCCCTTGTCCGCAGGCCAACGCTCTATCCATTGAGCCAAACCGGTCTTGGCGAGAAATATATCTTAAATCTGTATTTCATAAGAAAGATTCTGTTAGGCTGGTTATATATTTCTACAATGACATCACTTCTATAACTTCTTTTATCCTTACTCAATTGTTACCCCCTCTATTTCCTTCAAGTTAACTGATTTCCATCAAGGCATACCAGTATTTCACACAGTGGTTGTTCCCTTCTATTAGATCTATTCCTCTTAAGAGATCACACTGCCCTGGCCAGTGTGGCTCAGTTGGTTGAGCGTCATCCCATGTATCAAAAGATTGCCAGTTTGATTACCAGTTAGGGCACATGCCCGGATTGTGGCTTCAATCCCTACTAGGAGGTGTGCAGGAGGCAGCCAATCAATGTTATGTTCTAATTTCGATGTTTCTCTCTCTCTCTCTTTCTCTCTCTCTCTCTATCAATTTAAAAAACCTTTAAAAAAAAAAAAGTAACATTAAAGTAACATACTTAGAGAGAACACTTACATACTTTTATCAGTTTATTTAGTCACAGATCTCAATTTGGGGATATTAACACCTCTTAGATTTTATTAACCAAATTGTGTTAGGATTTCAAGTAATAGTACAAATAATGATGATAATAAATATAGTACAACAAAAACAATAATCTCCAACATTTTTGACTACTTAGTGTGTGCTAGACACTGGCTATCCACTTTATATGCAGTATGTCAATTTTTATCTCAATTTTGAGTAAGGTACCATTATTTCCTCCCTTATTTTAGGAAAAGGGAAAATAACTTGCCCAAGGTCACATTTGGAGACCATACTGTGGTGGAGTTGGGGGTTAAATCTCAATATATTTGACACCTTGGTCCAAGTTCTTAATTAGGCTATCTATTCCCCATACTCTATATATACTAGTATTCAAAAACTAGAACATAAAAAATATATATACCATTTGAGACTTCTCTTGTTTTCCCTGAGAATTTTTGAGAATTTCCTTGAGTAATTATGTGGTACTTCTCTTCCTATATTTTGTCGTTCTCTATCTTACAACTATATTCTACTATGAATACAAATGACCTATTTTTAATATAAATTGATCACTATTTGGTAAAGATATCTTTTAAAAATGAAATACACATATAATATATGAGGTGGTTATAAAAATATCCAAACAGAAACTCAACATTTCTCTTTTTAAATAAAAACAATTTAAAATGAAATAAGAAATGATTAAAGCACATTGTATTTCCTATTATTAAAAAAAAAAAAATAGATGTAAGAAAAGAAAAAATAAAAGTGAACAGCAAACAGCCAGCGAGGTACTGAAACTGGACAGCAGATTAACAGTCACCTTGATTCATAAAGGGTTTATGATTGGTTATTTTGCATGGTAAATACTTTACTAATAAGCGTCAAGTTTTAGAGTTATCATTTACATACATACACAAACCCGAACACACATCCCCCAAAAGCTTTACCAACTCAAACAATTTATACCAAATCAAGGAGAATAAGAAAAATGAAAACACAATGCATATATTTAAGTGCAAAAGGCTTTTCCTCTGAGTCAAAGAATCATTCTATAATGTATAAATTATCCTTACTGAATTTCAACCCAGTGAGAGTTCTTTGAAAATACTAGGAAATTAGCTAGAAAACACAGTTTTATAGAAAAAAAAATGAAATTACTGAATTTTTCTGAGTAAAAAAGAAAAATATTCACAAGATAGGAACTTACCACAATAGACAATAGTAAAAGTAGGGAGTAGGGTCAGCAACCAGGGGCAAGAGAGAAGAGAAAACAGAAGGCATTTTAATTAAGGAAATTTCAAAACAAATAAGCAGCAAATGGTAGCAAACACATTTTTTTTTAAATGCAAGCATTCATTTAAGTTTTATAAGGAAAAAGCAAAAAACAAGCGTGCAACAATTTTAGAAGCTACAAAGCTAAAGGTCCAGTGAAAGGCAGTAACAAGATATAAACAAGAAAATAAAGCCTGTGTGACTTTTACCATGCAATAAACATGATGACAGAATGATATTAATGTCATAACCAGTGAAAATTATACCTTTCAGGGGTCGATTTAGCATCAAGCTGACTAGTAAACTGCTCAGAGGTTTCTATATAGCCTTTTTGCTTACTTTTCAGCTAATTCCATTTCACAATAGGAAATCCATAAGGAACGTTATCATTCATAGATAACCATGGCAAGTCTCCATATGTATTAATTAAGCCACAGAAATGAGGGATTATGTACTAAATATTAATAAGGTCATACACATTTCATCTGGAGAATTAAGGTAGGTGCAAAAGTACAAAAAAAAAAGTTAGGAATCAATTCAGAAATGGAAGAAAATACAGTAATAACATTTATTGCTAAGGTTTTCTATTTGGGTCCCAAAACAAGGACTGCAATTCCAAAACCAAACAGAAAGCCTAAGATGTTTAGTCAACATGTACATAACTACGAAGTGAGAAGTTAAAGCAGACAACTTTGCAAATACACCTCGCTTTAAAGAAAATTGATTAATATTTTGCTTTTTACCTCATCAAAATAAATTAAAATGTATTTTATAGAATTCTTTCCTTTACATAAAAATTTAAAATGATGGCAATTAATTTCTTCCTGGCATTTAAGATTTGATATAGCTTTCATGAGCCTAACCAGTTAATACATAAAAGGCTGCACACATTGTTTTCATTAAACATTAATTATCAAACACTGTCAGAATATGAGGTCAATTAAATTTCAAGTTCTCCCAATCTCTTTAATCCCTCCCCCCAACAAAATTGAATTTCTTTCTTCAGGAGTGCTTATACTCAAGGTGAAGTGACTCAAGATCAAATTAACACATTCTTTCATCAACTCTAAGATGCACAATTGTTTTTGCATACATTTTCATAACTCTGTAGTTGGCATTAATCTTTCACCTGATAGGATTTTGTGGTTTAATACACAGGTTTCTTTTTTTTTCTTAAGTGCATGTAAATTAATGAGATGTCTTACAATTGATGGCATCTTAGATCAGATGAAATACAGTATTTTCTATTTACACCTCTGAGCAATAACACATAAATCGACCTCTGTAAAATGAGGTGAAACAATATGGTTAAAAAAAGAAATCTGTGTGTAAATGTTGATGAAAGAAAATGCTTCAAGGGATAAAAACAACTAAAGTGATGACAAAGTGGCTCATTTACCAAAGAATCTCATTAGTGTAATACAGATTTCCATGCACTACCTATACCTCTTAATAGTAAGTTAAAAAAACAACTTATAGTATTTTAACAAAATTTCTTTGGTTAATGAATTCAGTTGATAGCAGATAGCAACAGAATGCCCACAGCTAGCACATGTGGGCAAAGCATTGGCATAAGAAATCTGATCAAATCAATCTATTAGTGTCTTTAACTAACTAAAACATTACCTACCTCCCAGCCAGTACTCTGTATAATAAAAAGTAAAAAAGGGCAGGTCATAAAAAAATTGTTTAAAAAGAACAAAAAAAGCCCAAAGGAAGTTCAGTAGTATAAAGAAAGGCACCATATACCATAAATTCTTCTCCACTGATAGCACTAGGATATTTTTAAACACCACATTCTTTCACTTTTAAGACCTCTGATAATTTCATTAAGTTGCTTGTTTAAAACCCAATAGCTAAAATTTTGCCCTTTAAAAACTTTCAAAGTGAAAGTACATATTTTGGGAAAAGAAAGCCTACTGCTTATTCCATTTGTGTGTCTAAACTAGATCTCTAACTAAACTCAGCTGAACTACCTGGGGTAAATTGAAATAGAAATTGCAATTTTGCTCACTAGTCTTTGGTACACATGGATGAAAGTTTCTTAGAATCTACTAGCTCTAAATGTTCCAGACCTGACTTGTATAATTTGCAGTTTACAGCTCTAGAAGCTGGAATAAGGCTCCTAGACAGCATATGTATAATTGAATATAACCCTCCCCCCTTTATAGTCATGAATACTAGTAAATCTTTTGCAATTTCAATATTTTAGCAGACAACAATAAAATCCTGGTATAATAGTATATAGCAGCTCTATTTTAAGACTGTTAAAGCTTTTAGATTATATCATTTCATCTAGGACAGCTTAGTCAAGGGCAAGAAAGAAGAAGTCAAACTGATAGACAATAAAGAAGCAATACTGAATATAGAAGTGGATATTCAGATTCCACTTCCTTCTTAGATGATGGCAGTAGCAGATAACAGCATGGGTAGCACAGGAAAGTAACAGTAAAGTGGAAGAGGAAAAGGCTTAATAGGGTATTATGGAATATTTAAATAGAGCCAAGGATTTAGTTTTAGGGACAGCAATTGCTAATAGTCTAATTGTAAACTAAGTTTATTTTGATTTTAATATTTGTGACATATGGATTCCATGAACTATAAACAAGTATTGAAGTTATACTATTATTATTGAATACATGTAAGACAACCATTTTATTCATTATTTTCATACTAGAAATATATCAAAGAATGATTAAATGGAAATATCTAGGATAAAACAGTTAAGTCCAGTTGAAATCACAAAATATTAGGGGTTTATTAAATTTCTTACCATTTAATAAAAAATTAACTTAAAAACTTTTTTGGCAGCCTAGAAATAGAAATTAATTTAAAAATCAAATTCATAATTATAACTCACACAGTGAAACAGAAAATACCACACAATTTAAAACATTTGGCAACTAATCATCATTTTAAAAAGAAACACAAAAAAATAAAAAAACACGACAAAGACAAGCTATGTGGGAAGCTTATGATGATCTTAATCTACTTTAGGTAAACCCATTTTTTGTTAATGAGCCTTGCTTTGGTCCTGAACCTTCATTTTGACACCGTTCATTTGTAACCTGATTAAAATGGTCATTCCATGGGATCCAGTTTGCCATCAATTCAACGCAACACTAATGCTTTTAGACAGTTTTCTTCATTTATATAGAAGCTAGAAATTGCAATCATTACCTGATGAACAATTTTGCTGAATGCTTCTTGAAGTTTACCATGAATTGTGGATAGTTTCTTTGCATCCCGATTAGCTTCATGAATAGGAATAAGTACCTTGTACACCTCATTAACTGCTTCATACATGCCAGCCTGTAAGAATAAGATATTGCTTTCTTTTACATCAACAAGAAAGTAAATATTTACACTTTATGAATTCACAATATATCTGCAACAATACCAACTGAAGCTTTTCCAATAGGACATAAAAACAAACAATACTAGTTTTAATTTTACTAAACTTAATAGAGGAATTTTTCACCATGTATTATATTATCTTCTCTAGACGGATATAGATGCATATATATGTGTGTGCATTTAACATACACATGCATATTTATATTTCTATATAATTTGAATTGGACATTCTGCTTCTATTTACCCAATAATTACTTCACTAAGGTAAATATGTGTGTGTACTTGTATATGCAGATAAACTTTTTAAAAAATATATATTTTATTGATTTTTTTACAGAGAGGAAGAGAAAGGGATAGAGTTAGGAACATCGATGAGAGAGAATCATCGATCAATTTGCCTCTTGCAGACCCCCTACTGGGGATGTGCCCACAACCAACGTACATGCCCTTGACCGGAATAGAACCTGGGACCTTTTAGTCCACAGGCCGACATTCTATCCATTAAGCCAAACCGGTTTCGGCTGCAGATAAACTTTTGCAGAAACTAATTCTGAGCAGAGAAATAAAAAAAAATCCAATTATTACATTGGTCACAAATACATTACTATCAGATAACCTGTGGCCTCCAACGAAACTAAAATTATTTAACTTTTACAAAATATTAAATTGGCACAGGAAATCCCCTTTGGGAAAACAACTGATTTATAACAAAACATAAAAAAGTCATCAGATTTTCAGATTTTATTCCACTAGTGGCTAGTTGGCCAGCGGTTGGCCAAGGGTTACTCTGGTTATACTCAGTAAGGGACAAAATGTGTTTGTACTACTCTTCCATTCTCTTGTCCTTAATCATGGGTTGGTAGCTATGGGTTGGAAGGAAGAGAGATTTTCCAAGAGCTAAAGAGTTCCCATTGCCTCACAAATCAGCAAATATATTTTCCCAAGGAAATAAACATATGGTTCTTATATTTTCTAGTCAGTACACAGGAATATGTTTAAACAGTCACATAGCTATAAAAGTGAAATAGATTTAGTGTAACCCATGCCTCAGTAATTATTTTAATTAAGATTAAATAGATTAATTGAAAAAGACTGAAATTCAGCCGAAACCGGTTTGGCTCAGTGGTAGAGCATTGGTCTGTGGACTGAGAGGTCCCATGTTCGATTCCGGTCAAGGGCATGTACGTTGGTTGCGGGCACATCCCCCGTAGGGGGTGGGCAAGAGGCAGCTGGTTGATGTTTCTCTCTCATCGACGTTTCTAGCTCTTTAGCTCTCTCCCTTCCTCTCTGTAAAAAATCAATAAAAAATATATATTTAAAAAAAAAAGAATGAAATTCATTATTACATGCTATTTATTACAAAAGAAATTTTGTAATTAGGTCATTGTACCACAATCTGAATTCACTACTTGATTATTAAAATTACACACACACACACACACACACACACACACACACACACAAATACACACAGTGTATATTTATAAAAATATTCCATTAATAGCAAAAAAAAAAAACCTTCCTCCCCTGCTAGTTCAGGTCAATTATATTGAAACTCATGGAGCAGAGATCCAAGGTTCTCAAAGATAAAAAAATTTTTTTTAAATATATTTTATTGATTTTTTTACAGAGAGGAAGGGAGAGAGATAGAGAGCTAGAAACATCGATGAGAGAGAAACATCGACCAGCTGCCTCCTGCACACCCCCAACTGGAAATGTGACCGCAACCAATGGTACATGCCCTTGACCGGAATCGAACCTGGGACCTTTCAGTCCTCAGACCGACGCTCTACCACTGAGCCAAACCGGATTCGGAAAGATAAAAAAATTTTTAAAGTGGACCAACACCTAACATTCTTAAGAGTTATTTATTTATTTATTTAAATTCTTCTTCTTCTAAATCTTACCCAAGGACATGCTTAGAGAGGAAGGAAGGGTAGAGGAGGGAGAGAGGGAGAGAGGGTGAGAGGTAGAGAGAAGGGAAAGAGGGAGAGAGGGAGAGAGGGTGAGAGGTAGAGAGAAGGGAAAGGGGAAGAGAGGAGTGAGAGAGGGAGAGAGGGAGAGAGGAGAAAGGGAGAGAGGGAGAAAGAAGGGAGAGAGAGTTATCAGTTGCCTTCCATATGAGTCCTGACCAGGGATCAAATCTGAAACACAGGTATATGCCCTGATTGAGAATCTAACCAGCAACCTTTCCATGCACAGGATGATGCTCCAACCAACTGAGCCCCACTGGCTGAGCTAAGAATGATTATATTCAGACTACCTGGTTCTAAGAGCCATTACGATGCAGACAAGGATAGTCAGCCGGCTAGTGTTGCTTAGTGGTTCAGCACCCATTATTACTAATCTGGAGCAACATTACATATATTAATTCATTTAATACTGACAACATTCCTATGATGTAGGTACTAGTATTAGATGCATTCAATGGGTAAGAAATGTAAAGCACTGATAGGTTGAGTAATTAGTGCCCAAAGTGATTTAACTACTAAGGTGGCAGAGCCAGGACTTGAATTCTGGCTGTATGCCTTCTAAATCTATACCCTCAACCAATATATTGCAAGGTAAGGGTAAGGTCAAGAGAAGAAATAACCAATTCCTAATTGTGGTACAATGAGGAAGTTGGGGCAGCATTGTGTGTTATCTCAAGATACCATCTTACCCTAACATGTACCTCCCTGCCTCCTAAACCTTGATGCTGGGACACTAAGCACTCAGCAGAAAAGTCACAGGAAGTAGGTGACCCTATCACCATGGTTAAAGAAGGGATTCAGCTAGTTCTCTCAGCTTTCTTTGATAAACATCCCATCCTAGAACCATATGAATACTTAAATTTTTCACATACAGATGTGGAGGGACAGGATTGGGGTTAAAGTATGGTAGAGTAGGTCACACAGCGATCTAGAATGTAGTTCATGAAATTCCTGATATGTGAGCTCCAGGCCCCTAACACCTCCAGGCAACCAATAAGATGAGAAACCATAATCTTCCTGAGCACTCAACACACTCAAAAACAGATTCGCCCTTTCATCTAATCAGCAGGCCTTGTTAGTGTATCCACGCAGGAACTGAAATCATTTAGAGTCCTTGTTTTGTTCTGTTCTATTTTTTGTTTATAAAATTCTTTTCTGTTTGGTGGTGAAAGTTTTATAAACAACAACAAAAATCTGTTGTAGATTAAACGTTGGTCCATAAACAAGCAAATAGAGAACACTAAGAGTGACAGATTATTAAGACTGAAAAGGAGAGTAAGCAGTAATAAATTGATGAAGAAGATTTATTCCTAGATGGTTGTTAAGGTACTCAGAAAAGTATTGCAAAGGAAAAGCAGGATCATAAGCAGAGAGAATAAATATACACATCACTAATAATCCAGAGGTATGTATAATAACTGGGGAAAGAGAATGAGCACGTGTCATTTACCATAGAGAAAGAAGCAGCTGCTTGCTCTAGCAATCCCACAAGTCCTGACTCAGTGAAGTACTTTCCAGAGCAGATGCCTTCTTCGTCGGGAGATACGACGTCGTCTGAGACTGCAGACTCTTCTAAAACATTAGATGAAATATTCTAAAAAGAAAAAAAAAAATGAAAAAGGTTTGTGAAATGGAATTTCTTAGCATAAAAGATGTATATGAAGAAATGATTTAAGATAAAATATAGTTATCAGCTTAGGCTAAAAAAAAAAAGGGTAATTAGCCCGGCTAGTGTGGCTCAGTGGTTGAAAATTGACCTATGAACCAGGAGATTATGGTTGAATTCCTGGTCAGGGCACATGCCTGTGTTGTAGGCTTGATCCTGTAGATTGGTGCAAGAGGCGGCCAATCAATGATTCTCATCAATGATGTTTCTTTCTTTTCTTTTCTTTTTTTAAATATATTTTATTGATTTTTCACAGAGAGGAAGAGAGAGGGATAGAGAGTTAGAAACATCGATGAGAGAGAATCATCAATCAGCTGCCTCTTGCACACCCCCTACCGGAGATGTGCCCGCAACCAAGGTACATGCCCTTGACCGGAATCAAATCCGGGACCTTTCAGTCCGCAGGCTGACACTCTATCCACTGAGCCAAACCGATCCCGGCTCATCAATAATGTTTCTATCTTTCCCTCTTCTTCCCTCTCTGAAATCAATTTAAAAAAAAATTTTTTTAAGGATATTCTATACACAGATAAAGACAAATCTCCAAAACCTTTTTGTAATTTTGGAGATGACAATAAAATGACAAGGTGACGCCAAAACCGGTTTGGCTCAGCGATATAACATCGGTTTGCGGACTGAAAGGTCCCAGGTTCGATTCCGGTCACGGGCATGTACATTGGTTGCGGGCACATCCCCAATAGGGGGTGTGCAAGAGGCAGCTGGTCAATGTTTCTCTCATCGATGTTTCTAGCTCTCTATCCCTCTCTCCTCCTCTCTGTGAAAAATCAATAAAATATATATATTTTTAAAAATGACAGGGTGACAAAACTTTTCTATCAATAAAAATTGTGAGAAAGAAATTTTTAAAAAATCATAGGCTAAGGAAAATATTAATATGACACTATAGGCCTGGTGCACGAAATGGGGGTTCCTCAGCCTGGCCTGCACCCTCTCCAATCTGGAACCCCTCAGGGGATATCCTATTGCCGGTCTAACATCCCTGTCGCAACCCAGGACAACTGGCTCCTAACCATTCACCTGCCTGCCTGATCACCTCTAACCCCTGTCTGCCTAATCACTCCTATTTTGCCCCACTGCCAGCCTAATCGCCCCTACCTCACCCTCCTGTCTGCCTGATCACCCTAACCTCTCTGCTTGCCTACCTGAACGCCCCTAACTGCCTCTGCCTGCCTGCCTGATTGCCTCTAACTGGCCTCCCCTGTCGGCCTGATCTCACCCCTAACTGCTCTCCTCTGCTGGTCTGATTGCCCCTAATAGCCTCTGCCTGCCTAATCACCCCTAACTGCCCTTCCCTGAAAGCCTGACCTGCCCCCAACTGCCTTCCTCTGCCAGCCTGATCTCATTCCTAACTGCCCTCTCCTGCCAGCCTGATTGCCCCTAACTGCATCTGCCTCAGCCCCCACTACCATGGCTTTGTCTGGAAGGAAGTCAGACATCTGGAAGATGGTTGGTCAACCCGGTCTAATTAGCATATTACCCTTTTATTAGTATAAATAGATTATATAGGATAGGGTTGCTTAATTGGCGGGGGAAGCCTTTTTCATCAGAAGGAGATGCTCTTGGCAGACAAAAATACATAGTCTCTATATCTGGACTGATAGCCAGCTATATGCACTATACTGCCAAATCAGTCATTAAAAAATTGAATCACTTTCTTACACCTTACACCAAGCAACTGTTTCCCTTAAAACTCCTCCTGAGCCCCGACCTTAGGTTCTGCCTTTGCAGTTCACCCAGAGTAGGTTCTGATTAGTCAGTTTTTATGCCAGTCAGCATCAAAAGCTCTGCCTCCGAGGCAGCCATTGGCTCTTTGCAATTCAGCCAGATTTGGTTCTGATTGGTCGGTATCTATGCCAGTCAGCATCTCTGGGCCTATCTCCTGGCCTGATCATAGAGGCGGGGCTGATTAATAGCAGCCACAGGCTGCTGGCGAGTGGGCTGAACTGCTGACCTCTGGGAGAAAGAGAGCGGCTTGGCTGCTGGCAAGGCCCAGAGAGAGAAGCAAGGTCTTATCACCCTATTTCTTTCTCTGGGACAAGCCAGCAGCCACTCCCACTGATGCTCAGCCCTGCCCCCCCTCACCCCCTCTCTCCAAGAGGTCAGCAGTTCACCCATTTACCTGCTGCACACGCAGCCTAACATTTGGTTAAGTCTTTGGTCATTTTGGATGTTACGACCTGGCTCTTATATATATAGATATAAATAGGACATCCAAGGAGATTTAAATAGTATTTAATTTAATTGTTCTTGTCAAAATTCCCTTTGAGGGAAATTAAGATACAAAAAAATGTTCTCTTTGATTTACCCAACACAGAGTTAATAAAAAAAAAAAAAAAAAAAAAAAAAAAAAACCTTTACTCCCTAAGATTGGGATCAATCATTAGTTCTAAAAAGAAATGATGCATAAATACTTTAAATATTTTATTGTGATGTGAACACTTACAGGAGATACTCATTTGTCAATTTTTCAGGCAGGTCTAAGACCTGTTCTTTGAGTATATGCCTCCAGATCAGAGTTCCATGCACTTTCTCTTGACTACCCATAATGCAACCATAATTTGGTATTTCCAGTTTTGGTTTCTATAAAGATTTGAACTTAAAAAGTTTATTAAATTATCCTAGATTTTTAGGAGCTTTTCCTGCAATCTTTTATATCTATTTGATCCAAAATTAACTCAACAACTGTTCTGGAGACTCACTTTTATTAAGTCTTTGCAAATCATTCAACTGGTTTGCAAAGACTTGATAGTTTTCAAAGAAACTCACTTTCTTTTTGCATTTAGATTTCATCAGAGTTTATAATATTTAATCAAAATTAGAAAATTTCCAAACCTGGCATAACAGGTTTTTAAGAAAAGCAACACATAACTGACTCTTTGCAAGGAAAGAATTCAACTAGTGAATCAGAGGTATGTAACTCTAGTAAACTACCACTTATGAGCCAGGTATTAGCATATTTTATACAGAAGATGGAGAATGTTGGTTTATTCTCTAGTTAAGTAAAATGTTGGTTTTACCTCTAGTTAAGTAAAAGCCAAATAAAAGCTTCTACTGAATTTTGATCCTCAGTATTTTGAGTGTGTTCCATAAATGACATAAAAGTCCATAATACTTTAGGCAAAGAGAAAAAACATACCCGGCATTGGCAATTCAGAGGTAAAACCATGGGCAGGGAATGAGCAAGAAGTATTTTTAAAAAATATATTAACGACAGTGATATTGAAATGTTACTCCATCTTATGAAGCATACCTTCCATCTTTATGCTTTCCTTACCAGTCAAATTAATCTAAACACCAGGGAGAAAAATTAAAACCAAAAAAGGGCAGAAGTGGATTTAATTTAAGTCTGGCAGATTCCTACCTGAAATGTTACACAGCCCACAGGGAGATATTTGCGGTCCTCCAGCATGCTCAAATATTCTGCAACCAGTGCTGCTGAGTGGACGAGGCACTGCGCAGCCTCAGCGTGATTGCTGCGCTCCGAGTGCTTGCCAGCCATGTTCTGCAACCAGGTCAGACGCAGATCCGGAGAGGTCTGGTAGCCCTTGGCAATTCTAAATAGAACAGAAATTCTTCCCAATTAGCATTGGCTTCCTAAGCTGAAAGGGAGTTTAGATTGCCTTTTATGAGTAGTGTTTACCTACAAAGATTTCTGTTATCTAACACAACCCATTAAGACAAGTTTTTTAGGGGTATGGAAATGTCTTTGTGTATGCTTAGAGAAAGTGGGCCCATGGAATGGGCAATATCAGGTATTTTTTAAGGGGGGGAGAGGGAAATACTAAAAATAGCTGTGCCATATTAAAATTTGGCTATTAACCAAAACCGGTTTGGCTCAGTGGATAGAGCGTCAGTCTGTGGACTGAAAGGTCCCAGGATCGATTCTGGGTGTGTGCAAGAGGCAGCTGATTGATGATTCTCTCTCATCGATGTTTCTAACTCTCTATCCCTCTCTCTTCCTCTCTGTAAAAAAAAATCAATAAAATATATATTTAAAAAAATAAAATCTGGCTATTAAAGAAAACAATAAGGGAAAAACTATGAGAATTTATGTGTTCATTATGGAAAAACATAAAGATGTTTTATATTCAATAAAAAAAAAAACCTTATAAATATATTTGTCTTGAATGTGCCCTTTAAAGAACTCCAAAACTGAAAAGAGAGTCATGTGGCAAAGAAAAAGCCTCAAGTTTTACTTACATCTTTCTACATATAATAGGAATTACAAAATTCTCAAAACGTGTTCCTAGACATATTCTATAGCATAACCATATTTAAAGTCAGGAAATGGTTATGATAAATATCACTAAAGGACTGATTTTTACATTTAAAATATGGGTTCTTGAGCCTTCTTAGGAAGTCTAGGGTCCAGGATGCCAAGGTGTTAAATGTGTTCTGATTATTTTTTTAAACCCTCTTGTTTTTTATAATCAATATATATATACTGAACAATTATGCATAGTTCTTAAAAGGAGTATACAAGGGATGTGAAAAAGCTGCCTAAAAAAAGTGCATTTTGACTTTTCAATCTACCATTAGGAAATGACTTAATATTTGTGTGTTTATTTTTTTTTTTACCTGTTTCCTGTGTCTTACTAATTTAAGCCCTTAATATAGTATTATTATAAGTTAATCAAACAAATGGTACCTGTACATTAGATCAATCAGCATTTCAGGATCCTCCTGGTGCTCCTTCATTTTAACAGTATCAGAAAGGATCATATGAAGATTGAAAACCAAATCTTGAACCTGTAGCAGATAATTATACAAAAAACATTCTTCAATTGCCATTCATTCACAATTACTAAATTAGTTTGGAAGATATTTCCTAAGAGTACCTGAAGATTTCAAAACAAATAACTTATATAGTTAAGAGTGGGATTGCTGGAGTATCGTGGGTTAAGGGTACTAAACTTTCTACAGCAGACTGTTTTATGTTTTTCAGTTCTCTCACCTGGAAACAAGTAAAATTATAAGTAGAAATAAAATATAGGGACAGAATAGATATAAAAAAGAATACAAAATATAATTCTCTCCTATGTTTCTGATTCTCCCAAAAGGTAATTTGTAGAATTTGTTGTTAAGGCAAATTACTATTTCAATAATAATTGGAATATTTCATCATAAAACTTTTTGGTTGCCCATACTGCTTGACTACGGTTCTTTCTGTGACAAATACACAGAATTAAACCCTTCTTTTTTTAACCCAAGAAGGAAAAGTAGCTTATTGAAATAAAAAAATTCATCCCTGTATATGGCATATGATATGTGGATTGAAAGAAAAATTCAGGCTCCTCCAGTAAAAAAACAAAGATTGACTTAACAATTTGGAAAAGTAACTATTCTGCAATACTATTTTAATTAATGATCTAGAAAGTGGCATTTCTGACCTGATCAGGAAAGGTTGTTTCTCTCAATTCCAGATCTTCTTCAGCATAGGTCAATATAGTCTTCAGAGAACGTCTTAAGAATTCTTCATTAAAATTCTGAGATGTACCCACCAAGGAAGATAGTGACATGGTTACCTGCATTTTAACCCTGGCAAAGTTCTGTAACAGAGAAATTATCAGGTTACCATTCAATATAGGAGAGCTTAAAGAAACAGGCCAAAAGAAAAAGTTAATTAGTGAAAGAAATACCACTCTACGCAAAATACTTTTAAAAAGTAATGAGATATGCATATTGAAATCTTATTTTAAGAAGAACTTAGAACCGGGTTTTAAAAAGTGCCATGTGTTACAGTTAAATTAGAAATTGTGCCTAGACTTAACACTGACCTATTATAAAATACTAGAGGTCCGGTGCACAAATTCGTGCACAGATGGGGTCCCTCTGTGTGGCTTGCGAGGATTGGGCTGAAACCCACATCCAATGCTGCCTGCAGCTCCTACCTGCTGCTCCCACTCGTCCTGGCTCCACTGTGCCTGCCACAGGCTCGTGCCCTATCAGTCCCAATCGGGAGAGGCTTGTGCTACTGCAGCAGCGGTTGCCAGCCAGTGGTGAGTCCTGCAGCTGGCACCCTCTGAAGGGCGTGGCCTGTGGGAGTAGGCTGAAACCGGCTCTCCGACATCCCCCGAGGAGGTCCTGGATTGTGAGAGGGCACAGGCCAGGCTGAGGGACTTTACTGTGCATGGCTGGGCCAGGGAAGGGCTCCAAGGCATGTCTGAATTGGGATCTGTGAGCTGGGGATCCCAATGAGGGAGGTTGGCCAGCTGGGAAGGGACCATGGGAGAGCTCCAGGTGTGTTCGACCCGTCTTGCCCAGTCCCAATCAGCTGAACCCCAGCAGCAAACAAACCTACAAGTCAGAGGCTTTGCCCCCTGGTGGTCAGTGAACATCATAGTGACTGGTCAACTGCCCCCTGGTGATCAGTGCACGTCATAACGAGCAGTTGAGTTGCATTAGCATATCATTAGCATATTACACTTTGACTGGTTGAACAGACAACCAGACACTTAGCATATTAGGCTTTTATTATATACAATGTAATTAATAACTAGAGACCTGGCACATGAAATTCAGTCCCTAGACCTTGCCTGCAATCAGGGCTATCTTCTCCAGCTGCCCACAGCTGGCCCCGCCCCCTGCCGCTACTCACCCCCAAATCCCTGTCTGCCATTGGGTGATCAGTGCCTGACAGCCAAGGAAAGGAGCCAGGAGGTCGGTTGTTCTCACCTGCTCACTGGCCTTGCCCCTGCTGCAGGTGGCCATCAGGCAATCGGAGCCTGCCAGCCAGGGAAAGGAACCAAGCGGTGGTTAGTGCACCTCATAGTGACTGGTTCAGCAGTCATTCTGGTTGTTCTGCTGTTAGGGTCAATTTGCATATTACCCTTTTATTATATAAGGTAACACAATTTTTACAGACTAAAGAACTTAACCAACCATCAGAAAATTATTATTTTTATTTGTTAATCCTCAACTGAGGATATTTTTCCATTGACTTTTAGAGAGAGTGTAAGGGATGGGGAAAGAGAGAGAAACATCAATGTGAGAGAAACACGTGGATTGGTTGCCTCCCGCATATGCCCTGAGCAGGGCAGGTGATCAAGGCTGAAACTGAAGTACGGGTCCTTGACTGGAATTGAACCTGGGACCCTTAAATGCAGAGGCTGGAGGCCAACACTTTATCCACTGAACCAAATTGCCTAGGGCCATCACTAAATTCTTAAGTGGAAGATATGGCCTTTAAACTTTGGCCTATTTCATTAAGTCCATTATTATGAAATAAATAACAATCTTTAGAATAATGTCTATAAGAGAATTTACATTATTCCATTTTTAGTGTAAATTCATTTATTTCACCATTCCCCACTATGAAACTATTTTTAAGAGTTTATCAATAATAACATAGTAATTGTCAAACTGAAGATATTTTTGTCAAAATTCTATTTGATATCTTTGTATATGTAAATGTATTGATGATTTTTTCCTTTAAAATTTCCTATCTTATCTTCAGTGGTACCACTTTGTCCTGTTTTTCCTATTTTTTATCTGCTCTTTTGGTACCAAAGATTCTGTCAAGAAACTTTATAAAATACATATATTTTTATTGATTTCAGAGAGTAAGAGATAGAAGTATTAATGATGAGAAAGAATCATTGAGTGGCTGATTCCTGCATGCCCCCCACTGGGGAATGAATGGGAATAGAACTGTGACCTTCTGGTTCATAGGCAGACATTCAACCACTAAGCCATTTTAGCCTGGCAAGAAATTTTTTTACTTGTCATACTCTAAATAGTCTCATCCATTTCTTTGTTTTTGACTAGTACAGATACATACTTATGTCTTCATAGCTCCTATTTTTCTCTATAGAATTCTAGGCTATTATATTTTACTAGATAGCTCTATTTGGATGTGTCTCATAGGTACCACAATTTTAACATTAAAATACTTTCTCTTCCTATAGATTAAATGAATGGTGCTTCTATTCATGTACTTATTCATGCCAAAAATCTAGAAATCATTCTTCCCTTATTACTCATACTATAAATCCAATTCACAATTCCCTAATCTGTTCCAATCTGTTCTTTCTCCATTCCCAATGCCATTGCTTTAGTTTATATCCTTACCATTTCTTGCTTGAATTACTGTAATAACTTCCTAACTGATCCTTTTTGCCTTTTCTCTTATATCCCAAGTCTATCTTCTAAATAGCTTCAGAAAAGTTTTTGTCAAATGCAAATCTAAACACATCTCTCTTTAAAAAGCTTCAACTGCTGAGCATAGCTTTAAGGATAAAACACAAGTATCAACTCAGTCAATGTGTCAAACTATATGGTGGGAACTGAGTACAGTAATAAACAAAACAAATATCTGTCCTATGAAAGTTTAGTCTAGGCCTTTTCAATGACAACTTTATCTCTTATTACTCTCTCTTCCAGCATAATCATCAAGCAGTGCCAAAAAGTATCTTTTTCTTTTTCACTGTCTCCTTCTATTGTTTCCAGGCTTTTCTGATTATTATTATTTAAAAATATATTTTATTGATTTTTTACAGAGAAGAAAGGAGAGGAGAGACATAGAGAGCTAGAAACATCTATGAGAGAGACATCGACCAGCTGCCTCCTGCACACCCCACACCAGGGATGTGCCCCCTACCAATGTACATGCCCTTGACCGGAATCGAACCTGGGACCTTTCAGTTCGCAGACTGACGCTCTATCCACTGAGCCAATCCGGTTTTGGCAGCTTTTCTAATTATTTACAAAGCTCTATCCATCTACTTATCCTAAAGTACAGATGTCAGAAATAATGGGGGAAAATACTTCTTTTAAATGAAAGACTCATTTTTGAAGTAATAAAACTATTTTTCCTGAAAAGTAAATGAGTAAAAATCTGTGAGTGGACAGAAACAGATTGACCAGAAACTTAGAAAGTTAGACAAGATGTATGTATAATAGCAAAGTTCCAAGAGAAATTACATTCTTGAAGGAATTTCCTACAAACACCTGGGTCAAGAAAACCCAGCTTATTCTATATCTGTACTAATAAAAGGGTAATATGCAAATTGGTCACAATGCCCTCATAGTAACAACCAAAAAGCAAACTGCGTGGGGCGACCAGGCCAGCAGGGAGGTTAGCGAGGGACAACCAAATGACTGACCAGCAGGCTGCATGGGGCAACCAGACTGGCACGGTGGGCAGTAAGGGGCAACAAGGCTGGCAGGGAGGGCAGTTGGGGGCGATCAGGTTGGCAGGCAATGGTGTTTAGGGGTGATCAGGATGGCAGGGGGGGCAGTTAGAAGCGATCAGGCAGGTAGGCATGCAGGTGAACAGTTAGGAGACAATGGTTCCGGATTGTGAGAAGGATGTCTGACTGCCCAAAACTGGCAGTTGCACATCCCCTGAGGGGTCCTGGATTGCAGAGGGTCCATGCTGGGCTGAGGGCACCCTCCCCTCCCCAATGTGCACTGGGCCTCTAGTTGAGTAATAAAATAGTAAAGAAGATCAGTGAAATTCACCAGATAAAGAACACTTATTATAAAAATGCTGTCATGAAACAGATGAAAATTCTAATGAAATATTTTGCCTTACATTATTAAAAAAGTGTGTTTAGTCATTAACTTTAAAAGGGAATAAAGGCAGAAATAAAATAATTTAAGGAAAGATAGCAAGAATAAGAAAGTGATGATGAAATAGGAGTTCACATGTCAGTCTAAATAGAAACACAAATTTTGTGCACTGGGCCACTAGTTTGTTATAATAGCAAATATGAAAAGATTTACTTCAACTTAGAGAGTAGATTACATAGCACAACTCTATCTTGTATGTGAGAGGCACAACTAAAATAAATTGATTCTTAAAAGTACAAATAAAGAAATATACAAAGGTAACTGAAGAACACATAAGAGGTACAGGAAGAGAAAAGCACACAAAATGAACAGTAGGGTTCAAATTAAAAAGAAAGTGGAGGCATTTTAATACCATACAAGGTAGAATTTAGACCAATATAAATTTAAAATAAAGCCTCTTCACCCTTTTCAATTCTAAAGGGAATAATAATATAATTCATAAAAAGGATGTAATAGTTATGAATATCAATTCACCCAATAAGAGCTAAAGGAGAAAAATACACAATTTGTAGGCTTAAAATAATTTCTATCACTCCAGCAAATGGATCAAATATAAACAAGGATATAGAAAAACAGAATAATGTAATTAATAAGGTATTTTGTTTAACTCAATGCTCTAAAAATAAGAAATACCCATCTTGTGTAACATTTACAAAAACACTGCATATATGAGTCACAAAGGCACACAGTACAAAAGATATATGCTGTATGATCACACAGCAATAAAACTAACATCAAAACTTAAACATGCCTGACCAGCGTGGCTCAGTATACTGAGCATCGTCCTATGCACCAAGAGGTTGCTGGTTAGAATCTGGTCAGGACACATGACTGGGTTGCAGGCTCAATCCCTAGTAGGGAGCATGTAGAGGGCAGCCAATCCATGTTTCTATATCTCTCCCTTTCTCTCTTAATATAAAACCTATAAATACATTATTTAAAACAACAACAACCACCACCACCAAGAACTTTAAAACAAGCCCTACCTAGGTAGCTTAGCTGGTTACATCATTGTCATATAATGCCTAGGTTGTAGGTTTGATCCCAGGTCAGGGGACATATGAGAATCAAGCAATGAATGTATAAATAACATGATGCTTCTCTTTCTCTCTCCCTCCTTCCCCTCTCTTTTTCTCTCTAAAATCAATATTAAAAAAATAATAATAAAAAAAACTTTAAAACAAAAAGGACTATCAAATTCTTTGGGTTAAAAGAAAATACTACATATCAGACCCAATAAGATACCAAAAACAGTACTCAAAGAAAAATTATAAAATTTAATTTTTAAATACTTACCTGAGTGAATTAAACATCTGACTAAAAACAAACAAAAAAACTAAAATAAAAAATATAACACATGAATGCATTATCAAATAAATACTTAAATGAAAAAATGGAATTCCTCAAAGTCTGACATATAATCATAAAATATTAAATCAAAATACTTAAACCTTTAATTTTCTTTATTATTACTTTCATTTTACTAAATGGTAACAATTAAAATTTATAACACCTCAACATAGATTTATGTTCTAAGTTTACTATTGTATATTATTTTTTTTAAATATATTTTTATTGATTTCAGAGAAGAAGGTACAGGGAGAGAGAGACAGAAAAATATCTGTGATGAGGATCATGGATTGGCTGTCCCCCATTGGAGATCTAGCCCACAACCCAGGCACGTGCCCTTGATTGGCATTGAACCCAGGACCTTTCAGTTTGCAGGCTGACACTCTATCCACTGAGCCAAACTGGCTAAGTGCTGTATGTTATTTTTAATACAGAAAAAAAATTAAAGATTTGAATTTTTATAAGATATCCATAGAATGACATGCAGAAAACAAAATTAAAGACTTGAGTTTTTATAAGATATCTATAGAATGAGAAATATCAAGATAGTCTAGGATTAGGCTCAAAATATATAAAATAATTCTAAGCTTCCCCCTAAATCCATTTAATAGACAGTTGCAGGAGTTATATTTCATTATGAATCCAAAGACAAAATACTTACATTCCCTATTTCAAAGTTTTGTCTCATCAGTAGGTAAAGGGAGGCACTAGCATGTGACCGTATTGTACTGATGCTACTGCTACAGTGTCGGAGAAGCCGGAGGCATAAATCAGCACATTGTTCTGTCTCTTCTTCAAACAGGAGTTCAGGGAACTATAAAAAACAATACCAACATTGAAGTTACGTAGCCTGAACCAGAGATTTGTTAGTATAGCCAAGAATCAAAAGAATGTGAAAGGACAATATTTGCTAATTTATATATATAATCTCTATATATAAAGGCTAATATGCAAAGTGTCCCCTCAGGAGTTTGACTGCCCAGCAGTTCGATTGCTCGCTATGATGTATATTGACTACCGGGGAGTGGCGTGGAACAAAGGAAGGCCCCGGCTGGCAGCTGGGAAAGGGAGTCCCCAGCTGGTAGAACCCTATTGGTGCATGAATGTCATGTACTGGGCCTCTAATGGTTAATAATGTGGATCAGATTCAGTCAGACTGGGTTTGAATACTACCTAACTATGGCACTTACTAGCTAGTAGCAGCGTAAACTTGGACAAGTTTTCTTATCCATAAAATGAGCCTAATAATATTATCTACTTGGGGTTGTATGACTATCTTACATTAGATAATGCCCATAAAACACTTGGTATAGTACCCAACATGTAATAATTCTATATGTTTTTATTATTACAAGAATACTGAAAGTTATTTTCACTGGTTAAGTTTCATCAGTAGCTCTGTATTCCATCTTATAAGATGTATAAGATGAAATAGCTACCTTTGAATATGAACTCACTTATTTGTGGAATCTAATGAACAAAAGAAATTGACCAAAAAAATAAGACTTAAGCATGGAGGAACAGACTCGCATACCACAATGTGGGGTTGAGGGGACGAGAAGAGATAAACCAAATAATTTATATACTTATTAGAGGCCTGGTGCATGAAATTTGTGCACTCAGGGTGGGAGGAGGGGGGCTCCCTCAGCCCCACCTGCACCCTCTCACAGTCTGAGAGCCCTTGGGGGCCGTCTGGTTCCTATGGGGAGCGGGTCTAAGCCAGCAGCCGGACATCCTTAGCATTGCCACGGAGGTAGTAGAGGCTCGCCAGCTGTGAGCCAGGCTTCTGGCTGAGCAATGCTCCCACTGTGGGAGCACACTGACCACCAGGGGGTAGCTCCTGCGTTGAGTACCTGCCTCCTGATGGTCAGTGCATATCACAGTGACTGGCCATTCCACTGTTAGGTCAATTTGCATATTAGCCTTTTATTATATGGGATATGCATAGCCCATGGGCATGGGCAATAGGATAATGAAGATATGGGAATGTTAGGGAAGAGCTTTGAGGAGGGAAGTAAGGGATGGGCCAAATTTGAGGTATCTGTAATATTATCAAAAAAGAAAAAGAAATAGCTACCTTCGAGATTTAAGGATATACAAATTTTTAGAAGGAAACCAATGTAGGAAATAAATTTTGAAGTCGTTGAACAAATGCACATTATTTTCCATTCACCATACATTAAGTTAATTTAAATTGAATGGAATGAACTACTTATACATTGAATTCTTGATTTATCAAGTTAATAAGGAACAGGAAGAACAAGAAATAAGGAAAGCCCCAAATTTAAAATTAGCTATTAATTTTAGGCCTTTCTTCACATCAAAATTATTTTTTAAGCCAGAAACTGGTTAAAGGTGATCCAAATAAGAATTCCAAAAGGCAAACAATAGAAGAGAGACAAAGAAGAATCAAGGGTCTTGGGTTTCTATGAAAACTTTAAATATAAATACATTAACCAATGAACATGTCAAATGATCTTAGACAATGTTAATAAAGTCTGATAAGACTGAAGGGAAAAAAATTAACCTACCTTTGAAACCAGGGCCCTCTGTGTAGCAAAACAGTGTTGTAGATAAACTGCGCTTTGGTTACATGCCATACTATGTAGCAGTACTTTTAGTACCCCACCAAGGATGCTCTCTTTGGATTCTGTTACAGAAACAGTCTGTAATTTAAAGATTAAATAAAAAAGAGATGTACTTGCAATTTGGTTAAGGAGACAGAATATGTATACACAAAAAAACAATGTTTTCAAAATAGGAAAATGATAAGACCTAAGAGAACTTAAAAAAAAAAAAGTTTACCAGGATTTGGATAAAAGAAAAAAGGAAAAAATAGAATGGGCAGAATTTATTTATTTATTAAATATATTTTATTGATTTTTCACAGAGAGGAAGGGAGAGGATAGAGAGCTAGAAACATCAATGACAGAGAAACATTGACCAGCTGCCTCCTGCACACCCCCCACTGGGGATGTGCCCGCAAACAACGTATATACCCTTGACCGGAATCAAACCTGGGACCTTTCAGTCCGCAGACCAATGCTTTATCCACTGAGCCAAACAGGTTTTGTCCAGAATGGGCAGGATTTAAATGAAGGAGAGCAGGGAGAGCCAGGATATAGCTTTTAGGAACTACTTATACTTAAAATGTAATAAAATGGCTCAATAAATACCGTATTTTCCAGCGTATAGGACGACTTTTGAAATGAAAAAAAGCCTGCTCCGATTGGCCAGAGTTAGAGAGGCAGTCTATTAAAAAAAAAAAAAAAAAAAAAAAAAAAAAAAAAAAAAAAAAAAAAAAAAAACCTGGCCGAAACCGGTTTGGCTCAGTGGTAGAGCGTCGGTCTGCGGACTGAAAGGTCCCGGGTTCGATTCCGGTCAAGGGCATGTACCTTGGTTGCGGGCACATCCCCGGTAGGGGGTGTGCAAGAGGCAGCTGATTATTGTTACTCTCTCATCGACGTTTCTAGCTCTCTAACTCTCTCCCTTCCTCTCTGTAAAAAATCAATAATATATATTTTAAAATAAATAAAACAAAACAAACAAACAAAAAAAACTGGTGTTGCCTCGGAAGTGGGGGGTAGTCTTATAGTCAGCGAATATAGGCCTAAACCTATGTTTTAACTGTAAAATTAGTGGGTCGTCTTATACGCCGGAAAATACGGTACTTTTCCCCCAAACTCAATTTACCAAATCTATATATTTTTTCTTTTAAATATATTTTTATTGATTTCAGAGAGGAAGGGAGAAGGAGAGAGAGACAGAAACATCAATGATGAGAGAGAATCTTTGATCAGCTGCCTCCTGCATGCTCCCTCCTAGGGATGGAGCCCACACCCCGGCAAGTGCCCTTGACGGGAATCAAACCCAGGACCCTTCAGTCTACAGGCTGACACTCTATCCACTGAGCAAAACGAGCTAGTGAACCAAATCTATACTTTAAATTCCTGTTCTTTGCGTTCTTACCTGGACAACAATCTCTAGTGTATCCAAAATGATTAGGTTTGCTTCAGTAGCCAGATTTCCATCAATCAGTGCTTCATGTTCAATCTCTGCTCTTGACCTAATGTAAAATAGTATAAGAAATTATATTTATCTTAAAACAAAACAGCAAATCCACAATTCAAAAAAAGATTTAAAAGATTCATAGAAAAAACAAACAAAACTTGGAATCATTTTTCAGTATTTGGTGAATTGAAAATTATAAGACAATAAGGGAAAAGATAGTATTTTACATATCAATGTTTTGTTTTACCCTACATTTTGTTGACTATTCCTATATATACTTTATCACAATGCCAATGAAAGCAGAAATACTTAGCTTCCAGAGACACAGCAAACACAGAAAAAGTGTTTTATTCTGCATGGAATAGACACTAGGTGGTGCTATGTGGGCTTGCATTTTGGGCTGCTTCATGGCATTATTCAAAATGTTAAAGGATAAAAGTACTTTTTCCCCCGCTAAAGTTTAAAAAATTTTAAATTTTGATGCAGAAAATAAACTCTTCAATGAGACTCTGGATGGAATCACGCATTAGAAACAAAACATCTGATGCCAATCAAGTCATTTACTTGACTATCCAATATATACAAAAGTATTATTTAATAAAAATTTAAAAAACTATAGATGATTTATAGGTAAAGTTGACATTATTTTAATAGCAATACATATATAGAAATTATACATTATATCTAAATAGACAAAACAATACACATATCAAAGCAAAAGTATAAGGACATACATACTAAATACTAACTTATTGAAGTACTTAGATGTTTAAGTCTCTGAATCTTTATTACTACCATTAAAGAGAAAAATTTATGAGTTTATATTTTACAAATTAAATTTAAGAGAAAATACAGCATATTTAGAATTAAATTGAAAAAGAAAATAATGTATTGTTCAAACATAAAATCCAGAAAGACTTCTGTAAAGAAACATCATAAAAATATGGTTTAGCCCTAGTTGGTGTGGGTCAGTGAATAGAGCGTGGGTTGAAGGGTCCCATGTTCCATTCCAGTATAGGGCATATGAACAGTTGCCGGCTGATTCCCAATAGGGAGTGTGCAGGGGTGTGCCAATCAATGATTTTCTGTCATCACTGATGTTTCTCTCTCTCTCTCTCCCCCTCACTTTTCCTCTCTGAAATCAATAAAAAAAATAAAAAAATAAATATATGGTTTAAACAAAAAGAATCAGGAAAAAACTAAAAAAAACACACACAAAAACAGCTTCCTTAGAATACGGCAAGATAAGCAGAAAGAACATTACACAAATGCAGAAATAAAGCAATATATGCTGGCTGTTTTGTGAATTCCACCACACATGTGGAAAAGTAATCAAAGAAATGGACTTAGGCAGACAAGGAAGAGAGAAAAGTGAACACTCAAAGTTAAAAAATGTTAGCATATTAATTTTATACTCAGTATCTGCTTTGGTCTGAATATTTGTGTCCCCCTACATTCTTATGTTGAAAATCTAATGCCCAAGGTAATGAATGGTATTAGGTGAGGCAAAGGTCACGAGAGTAAGGGCCTTGGGAATGGGATTAGTGCTTTTATAAAAGAAGTCCCAGGGAATCTGTTTGCCTTTCTACCATATGAGAACGTAGCAAGAGAGAAGTCTGTAACCTGGGAGAGGGTCAGACACCAAATCTGCTGGTGCCATGATATTGAACTTCACAGCTCCCAGAACTGTGAGAAATAAATGTCTGTTGTTTATAAGTGGCCCAGCAAATGGTATTTTGTTATAGCAGCCTGAAGAGACTAATAATTTCTGATAATTTCAAATTTTCATCTATATGGTACTGAGCCTGCTGATACTGTTTTTTGTCTATAGGCTTGCATAGGGCCTTGCTTTCTGTGTTTTACGGTTTCACTATTGTGAACTAATATTTCTGGAAGTTTATTTTAAGAATCCTCTAACTCTTGGGCTGAAAATGGTTTCAGATAGAGTGACCAACAATCTTGGACAGGACTAAGGGGTTCCCTGGGATATGAAACATTCAGTGCTAAAAATTAGTAGTACTAGGCAAACCTGAATGAGCTGGTCACCATATACTAAAGTTTTTTGGGACAGTCAAGCTACTTCAGGGCTAACTTGTAATTACAAATTGTCAAGAGAAAATATTTAGCCCCTTAATTCAATGCTGAGTTTCAAGCCAAGCAATTTTACCTGCAGTCACCTAGGCAGTGAGAAGGGTTCATTTCTAGTTCTCTTTATACTGATGGTGTAGTCCTTTAGGCTCCTGGACTCATGGTAGTGCATTTCAGCTGTGTTTTTACCTGGCTTGTCTCCACGCTAGAATCAGAAGACCCAGAGTGTTTTGTCTTCCTTTAATTATATTTTAGGCTCCAAGAGGGCAAATAATAGTTTTCTAATTTTTTGTAATGCTTGAAATATTTAGTTTAAGTGTGATACCCAAAATATATTCTAAAATAGTTGTAAAATGCAACTTTCGAAGGGGGTGGGCTGCTGGGGAAAATGGGGTAACATTTAAAATATGTAACATTATCCTTTACTATACCACATTAAAAATTCTTCCCCCAAATCTTTTTGAATCTTCTATTTAAAAATTAAGTATAATATTTTTTCTTCTAAGATTTGAATGTCTAACATATACATAAAATAACATTAAAATTGTCATTTTCCTCTTGCAGCTGAAATTCAACAGGCCTATCATTTAACATAAAATAGAAGATTATATTACTTGTCAAGCTTCTCAGTGTTTTGCCGCCAGTGAGTCATATCCTTTCTCCACCTCAGATTTTCTTGACTGCCAAAGGCACTTCCAGATGGGCTTCGCTCTGTTAAGTACATTTCACAACCATTTTAAAAAATGTTATTTCAACTGGACCACTTATATATATACTTGCAAACATTTAAGAAATACTGCACAATGTTAATAATTTTTTACACAGCCATTTTATCCTAATAACAATGGAAAAACCTGACAACGATGTTTTTTATTCAAAGCTTTCATAACAGTTACAGAAGAAATATGCTTGCTACATGTATTATAACAACAACAACAACATCCTTTTAAATAAGCAACTTTTCTAACACTTATTTTCCCAAAATTTTAACCATGGCTTCTATGGCTCTACATGATATAACCTTATTTCCTACCCTTATTCCTCTTGCTTGCACCACTAAAGTTGTGTGTGTGTGTGTGCTTGTGTATATGTGGTGTATTCTGAATATATGCTTCTGACTTAGAGCCTAAAGGTTGTTTTTCCTTCTACCAGATTCTTCTTCCCAAATTTTCCCTGGCCAGTCATTTCTTACTTCCACAGATAGGCCTTTCCCAACTCTCCAACTTCTTTTCCTCTTAATCTGCTTTACTTTTCCATAGCACTTATAAACATAAGATTATAAATCACTAAGAACAGAGATTATGTTTATTAATGTCTGAAGCTGACAAAGTTTCTGGCACATTTTCAGTGCTCAATAAGTTTGTTTGATAAATAAAGAAAATAAGGATAATTCCTATAGTGATTCTTTTAGACAACAGAAAGCAGAACAAGAGAAAAACAAGGGCTTTCTCCCAAGGTTTCTAGGATGGAAGATGGACTAAATCACACAGACTCTTTTAAGGGACAGTAGCATTAGAACTGATTTATACAAATCCAGCAGAAGTGTGATACCCAAAATATATTTGGGAATTGTGCAGAAATATAAAAATACTTAAACAATAGAATGCCATGATTTAATCAATGAGAAAGTTAATGCTCCTTTTTTAAAAACATGAGACCTTAAATTGGTTGGGAAGATGGAAAGAAAAATGGAAATCAAAATTCAGAGTTCAAATACAAATTTTAAAAATATTGAGAAAAAATATAATTTGCCACACAATAAAGGACATGTCTGGATATATCATCTCTGTAGTGACCATATCTGTAAACATTTCACAAATTGTAACATATTGTTAGTAGTTCCACCTTTCCAACAATAAGCTACAGAAAGAGCTGTAATATAATATGAAGAACACTAAATTGGAAGCCAAAAGATCTTGCTTCTGTCACTTAGTTTATGATCTTAGGCAAGTTGTTTATCTCTATGAGTTTTATTTTCTTTATCTTAAAGATGAGGATAATATTCATTAGATTTTGGTAATAATTAAATGACCTACTTGAAAGTTAATTTTCATACCTTTCTTAAAGATTGTTGTACATAATAAATGAGTTAAAAGAAAATACATAGGTACATTGTGAATTGTATATAACTACAGTGAAAAAATTGGTGCTCTATTAATTCCATTAAAGGCAAAGACTTTATCTTATTCATTATTAAATTCCAAACATACATAGCATATAAAGAATATTTAAGTTCACTTAAATAAGTGACCACCGTGATGACAGCATTTTGAAAAACAATAAATAAAATATCTAAATATAAAAAACCCTAATATGCAAATAGACCTAATGACAGAACAACTGAACAACCTGTCCCTATTATGTGTGCTAACCACCAGGTGGCATGCATGGAACATGGTGGGTGTTGGCAGCAAGCAGCAGAGCATGGAACAGGAGGGTGTTTGCTGTGACAGGATTATGGAGCAGGTGAGCAGGGGTGTCAGACCAAGGCAGGGCGCTGGTCACTATCATCAGTGCAAGTCTCTGATGGTTACTGAAAATTCTTTACTCCCGCACACTGCAGTCCCACCTGGCGCTTGCACCAGCTGCCAGCATTGGAGCCACCACTCACACCCGCTGCCAGCACCTAGCACCGATCCCAACTGTTGGCGCTGTCAGCACGTGTGAGTGGCAGCTGCAGGCCTTGACCACCCCTGGGTTTCTCCACCTCTCCCTGCTCCTGAGGGGCTATTGGGGCAACTGCCACCACTTACACCCACTGATGGGGCCGGCCCTGCTCACACCCACTGCTGGTGCCGGCTCCAATTGCTCCATGCTGTCAGTGGGTGCAAGCAGGGCCGTTGGCAGAGAGGGGTCTGAGGGCCACGGTGGGAGGGCCTGGGTGGGAGTGCAGGGATGGGCCGATATCCACACCTGTGCCCACCGCAGCCTCGTGGAACCACAGTTCCTTTCAAGATGCATGAATTCATGCACTGGGCCCCTAGTATATTTATAAATGTATAGTCATATTTTAAGTCAACAAATATACATGGAACTATTAGCATGTGTCATGTACACAGATGACTAAGCCATGGCCCTGTCCTTAAGGAGTTGACAGCAACGATATCATTTACATGTCACTTTAGAATTTATGAAATGTTTATACATATGATCACTACAAAGATGATAAGCTCAGTTAGTTATACTACCTTTTAAATTCTCCAAACTATCACAAGTAGATAAGGAAAAAGAAAGTAGGGAGATTAAGTGACCTAGTCAAAGTTATATGGCTAATGTTTAGCCGACCTGGGATTAGAATCAGGCCTCTAAAGCTATTGCTTCTTCTCACTAATATTGGACTTTGATGGCCAATATCTTTGCCTTAGATACAGAGTATATTAATTCATTGTGCAAAATAGGTAACTTTTAAGAGTAAAAGGAAATGCTACAAAGAATGATACCAAGAGTGAACCCTATATAGACTCTGCGTGATTATGATGTGTCAGTGTAGGTTCATTAATGATGTTGATAATGGGAGAGTCTATACATACATGCAGGCAAGGAAATCTCTGTATCTTCAGTTCAATTTCGCTGTGTACCTAAAACTACTCCAAAACTAGAGTAGTTTTAGGATGCTACTAATAATCACACAAGGGTAACAGGAATAAACTAAGACTATCCAGAGCAAATCACAAAGAATGTTTTACCCTACTTCAATCAGAACTCTTAACTTGAGTTCCTACAGAGAAATGGTTATTTCAGTTAATTCAGTTACATTTAAAACACTTTTTTTTTAAAGGGTAGAACTGTCATTGAAGACATGCAACAATGAGGACTATAAAATAAACTTGAAGGAAAATGAAGAAATTCTCACCAGAAGGAGAAGACATTGTGTACATACCAAGCTGTCCTCGGCTTCGGCGCACCATTTCTTGCCTAGCACCTATGCTCCCAAGAATAGCTTCTTCAAGCTTAGCTCTCATGTCTTTTGATTTTTTAAAGGTCAAGCTATTCATTCTTTCAAACACTTTCTTTCCCTAAAATTTAAACATTAGAAAAGAAGAAGCGTTGAGAAAATTTTCTTCTTTCTCCACATAATTTCCTATCTTGTTCCTCTCTGCAATGGCATAATGATCACTTACTTTGTATTCAAAGCAAGATACACAGAGGTAAAGCAGATCTAACAGGCGGTTGAGCTGCAGGACTGAGAGATCTGTAAACCACTTTTGTAGAACTGACTCATCTGCATTCTTGAGAACCCAAAGGAGGCAGATCAAAAGGCTCCGACTTGATTCTGCTGAAAAGGTAGTGTGTTGCCTGCCACTCTGAAAATCAAGAACAGTAGAATGAATTAGAATGATCAATGACCATTTCCTTTTTGAGCAGTTGTCAACTGTTAACTTTTAAAAGCAAAAAAACAAAATTATTTAAAAATCAAATATTATAAAATGATCATTTGATTTAGATAATACTTGTATAAGTCATACACCTAACCTTAGACTTAAGGTCTTGAAGTTTATTGAACTTTTCCTGGCAATAGAAGACTGTTTTAGCTTGGGTAGGGCTTCCAGCAAATGTTAACAGAATTTATAAAGCAAAAAACTAAAGGTCTTACTATTAAAAACTAACATATCTACCACATAATATCAAACATGATGAAAGTAAAAAGAAACAGCTGATTCAAAAAATAAGAGAAGTATAAGAAAGTAATAACAAAAAGTTTATCAGGTTTAGAGAACCATTGTTTCCTGTCAGGAACAGTGACAAAAAAGAAGTCTTCGACATTTATACAACGTATTATAAAATGTATTAACTTTTCCACAAAATAAAGCTCAGAGTACTTCTGCGTCAGTTAATAGAACAAATAATCTGTTATTTAAGGGTACAAAAAACTTTTGTTTGAGGGTTGTTTTTACCGTTGATGTGAGAATAAAACTTCCAGGCCTTGTTAGTTGAGGAACTGATGTTCCTGCAATTGCCATGGCAACTGTCTGGCTTATCATGCTTCCACTCTCACTTTCATAATCATCAGTGGCTATACAAACTGGTCTTCCTCGTTGATTGTGAGTTTCTGAGGGAGGAAGGAGGGAAGAAATTCAAAATAAATACATACATACATACATACATACATACATAAAACTTCTGAATAGCTTAATAAACAGTTCTTAATAAACACGAGCAACTCAGTAAATGTTTGTTTTTGTTTTGATTGAACTGGAAGTATTTTATCTAGTTAATGGCTAGCTTAAATGCAACCTACAGTGTTTTTTTCAGAGCAAGTGAAAGAATTCAATTCTAATATGAAAAGCAAGAGCAATAAAACTTTGTAGGTCCTAATTTTTAAAAAGAAACAAAACTTCACCTCATTAACCCAATGTTAGCAATAAACCTAATTATTGATATTCAGGTGAATATTAATTTAAATTACATTTATATGAATAAAACTAATACGGAGGGTAGTAAACAGTTTTCAAGTTTTCTTGTGTTTTTTTAAGAGGGACAGTAAGTACACAAAAACCCTATTTTCTAACAAGTAGGAATAGAACTACTATACAATTATTACTTAAAATTTCATCATAAGAACTACTTACAGAAACCTTGCAGTGGATTCTCTCACAAAGTCAAAAGATTTTCAGTAATATAATTATTTACAGTTTACTTATATTAGTACATTTCTTTATATTTCTTTTCCTAAAATAAGATCTTTAATCTTGAGAAATTGTCTAACACTTTCATTATATATTGTGATTTGCCATTAAAATCTGTTTTACATATACTAAGTACCTGTAAAATCATACAGCTGAGGAACAGTTTCCATGATAATGCCAATCAAAGGTAGATATAACATAGCCACTCGAGCCTTTATCTGGGGGTCAGAGTACCGTGGGTCTGAGTCATGACTGGATAGTAAATTGTGTACCATATTGATGACTTTCTTATGCAATCCAAACAGTCTATTTAAAAAGAAGATGGAGAAGAAGCAATAAGGTCACAGATATTAGTTAATACCTTTATAGCAAACAGTCAGCAATGGTACTAAATCAATTTTGTTCAACTTCTTAATTTTGCCACGTATTTGCATCTATTCTTTTTTTTAAAATATATTTTATTGATTTTTTATAGAGAGGAAAAGAGAGGGATAGAGAGTCAGAAACATCAATGAAAGAGAATCATCAATCAGCTGCCTCTTGCACACCCCCACTCTGGATGTGCCCGCAACCAAGGTACATGCCCTTGAGTGGAATCGAACCCAGGACCTTTCAGTCCCCAAGCCGACACTCTATCCACTGAGCCAAACCGGTTTCGGCTGCATCTATTCTTATAAAAATACTTCTATTTTAAAATTAATGTCTTTCTGTATAAGTAAAAATTGAGGGAAAAGAAATGTTATATAATTCACTAAAGAGTAAACATGAATATTTTTACATTAACTCCTTCTTAGTGTATTTTAATGTTGAATAACGGAAGAGCTGTTATGGTGATATTTTAAAGCAAAAAAATAAAAAGTTAACAGCTACATTTTAAGTAATCTTCTATTTCCTTTCTCCAAAGAAAAATCCTCTACCTAATGGTTTATGTCGTTCACAGGCTGAGGTTGCCTTTAACATCTATTTGAACAGAACTTCCTTGCTCACATACCTCATAAGGGCCCTAATAACTTTTCTAGACTTCCACTCGCCTGCATTTCAACTGAGATAATAAACTAGCAAGGGTCGCTCTCATCTTCATAGTTTTGCCTTTCTTCTTAAATTGAAGATGCTTTGACTATGCAAACCATTCTAATTAAAAATTCATACAACTTCACCCGCCCCTTAATGCTGTACCTAGTACCAATTTCAGATCACATTATCTCTCCTTAAGCCTCTCACCATCAATATCAGTAAAAGACCTTATCTCCAATTTCTTTCTTTTAGGAAAGAAAGCCATTCCAAATTTGCTCTGGTCGCATCATTAAAAAAAAATTATATATATATATAGAAACATCAACAATGAGACAGAATCATTGAATGGCTGCCTCCTGGATGTCTCCTACTAGGAATCAAGCTTACAACTTGGGCATGTGCCCTGACCAGGAATCAAACCGTGACTTCCTGGTTCATGGGTTGATGCTCAACCACTGAACCACAATGGTGGCCAGGCTGGTCACATCTTTTAATATATCTCCATCTATATAGCTATAGGATCATCTTTCCTGTGTTTCAGAAAAAGCTGTATCTTCTCTGTGTGCAGATAATTTAATGAAAAAAAAATTAAAAAAAAAAGCTGTATCTTCTCTCAGAAAGTAATTCCTCCATATATTCAATAAACCCCATCTTTCTTCAATAGCCTAAATGTCCCCTTCATTTTTCTTTTCTACCTTGAAAATATATGTTCACTTGAAACTAGTTTACTCTAACTTATACAGTATTTCACTTAATAATAAACTATTACATGATGTCCCCAGTAATAAACTTCCTGAATATTTTAAGTCTACATCAAGTGTTTCCCCTTACTTCCTCTATTTACTTCCTTTGTTTGTAACTAACAGAATTTAAATGTTTATAATATGGTACTTACTAGCTTCAACGTTTAATAGCTAAATGATTTTTTGAAGATACTACTTAATCTCTGTTTCTTTATCTGTGGGTGTGGGTAATAACCTGCCTAAGGTGGTTTGAAATTAAGCTATGTAATTTATGCCAAATGCCTAATACAGTGCCTTGTATAATGCCTTCCTCAGTAAATAGTAACTTTTAAAAAAAAATTTGCAAGAGAACGTTTATTAGGTAAATTATAGAGGTAGAAGTAATTGCTAGAAGAAATGGGCTTAGGAACGAGTTACAGAGGTAAAGGAAGGGCCCTTGGAGCTTGGGAGTGAGGAAGCTACTGTGCCTGGGGGAGTGGGAGGGGAAGAGAGAGAAGGGAAGGGAAAGCGATGGACATGCTCCTGGCAGGGAGAGCGCCAATAAATATTACCTTTTATCTCTTAAGATCATATAGATTTAAAAGCTGAGATCTGAAACAAAGTAATCTTAACGCAGAACCCTTATCTGCCATTTTATATAGCTGCTTATGAAACCTAGCTGGAGATTCTTCTCTCTTCCAGATTTTTATTCAGAAAGTATATTTTTAAATATTGTCATGAACCACATCTAATGAACATATATCAGATTTCATTCTCTAGATTTCTACTTGACAATGTCATCTTGTAAATTCTTTTCTCAATATTTTCTCCAAATAGTTCCTCCTCTTCTGGTCATTTGCTTTTTATGTTTCCCCTATTTCCTGCATTACCAGCAATGATTCCCAAAACTCATTGTCTATTCCTTATCTTTCAACAGCTCCCAATTCCAGCCTGATCTCACCCCTATCTGCCCTCCCCTGCAGGCCTGATTGCCCCTAACCCTCCTAGTATATTGTATCTAAACTCAATCACACAGAGTAATTAAATATAAACTTATGTAGGACCTGCAATATTCTATTCTAGATGTTGGAGATAAGACATTGTCTCTGTTCTTAAACAGCTTATTTTGTAGTAAGAGAGGAACAGATAGCAAAGTAATAATTCATTGTTACAAATGCTATAATACAAGCGTTAATCTTCTACACAACTATGTCTGTACTACAAAATTACCATTTAATCATAGTATATCGTTTCAGTTTTAACTTTCTTCCTATAATGAGTTTCTAGAGAGCAAATCTGTGATCAGTATTAGAACATACTATTGCCCTCAAGGAATTTCTTGGTTACTTATCAAGCTGATGGAATAAAAAGAAAAGCGTTTCTCTCAAGTAGAAGAGTGGGAAAGATTAATCTTTTGATTATTAGGAAGTTTAAGTGGGATACATCTATCCTGTCATCAAAATCAAGCTAATATTCTACAACTCAAAAACTGGTTTACTTACCCGTCAGCCTCAGGGTCTAAAATGACAGCCAGCTCTGTTAATACAAGTCCTGCCAAATAATGCTGTTGGCGGAAAGGCACAGACAATTCAAACATATTTGCAATCTTCTGGTCCTGTACATTGGTGGAAAATCCAGAACTCTGTTTGGGAGTGAGATAGAACAAACTATAATAGTTGTGCAACAAAAAATTCCACAGACACACATTACAATGAACAGAATGTGAGAATTATCTAAAAGTGAGATAAACTTAGCCTAGAATAATTTATTGCCTAAGGTTTATTACTGATCATTATTATTAAAACTAGAGGCCCAGTGCACAAATTTGTGCATGGGTGGGGTCTGAGCCTGCAGGGAGTAGGGGCCATGGGTGGTTGGCTGCCCAGGGGGTGGGGGTGGTGGGAGGGCTGTGGGTGGTTGGGGCTGCAGTGTATGTCATAGTAACTGGTCATTCCGGTTGCTTGGCTTTCATATATATAGACTAGTCCTGAGCATGAAACTTGTGCGTGGGGGTGGGGGTGGGGGGTTATCTCAGCCCAGCCCGCATCCTATCCAATTGGACATTTCTCTGGCAATCTGGGATCATTGGCTCCTAAACACTTACGTGCCTGCTTGCCTGATTTCCTCAAACTGCCTCTGCCTGCCTGATTATCCCTAACTGCTTCTGCCTGCCCCAACCTCTCTACTTGCCTGCTTGATAGCCTCTAATTGCCCTCCCTGACCTGATCTCACCCCCAACTGCCCTCCCCTGCTGGCCTGATCGCCACTAACTGTCTCTGCCTTGGCCCCCACCACTATGGCTTTGTCTGGAAGGAAGTCAGATGTCCAGAAGATGGCCGGTCAATCTGGTCTAATTAGCATATTACCTCTTATTAGTATATATAGGTAATGCAGAATAGGACTGCTTAAATGAGGGGGGGGGGGGTCTTTTTCAGCAGGAGGCGATGCTCTTGGCAGAAAAAAAAATACATAATCCCTATATCTGGACTAATAGCCAGCCATTTGCACTATACTGCCAAACTGGTCATTAAAAAATTGAACTGCTTTCTTACACCTTACACCAAACAGCTGTTGCCCTTAAAAATCCCTCCTAAGACCCCACCTTGGTTTTGCCTTCACAGTTCACCCAGATTAGATTCTGATTGGTCAGTTTCTATACCACTCAGAAGGGTATAGAAAGCTCCGCCTCCTAGCAGTCATTAGCTCCTCGCAGTTCACCCAAATTTGGTCCTGATTAGTCAGTTTCTATGCCAGTCAGCATCTCCAGGCCTATCTCCAGGCCTGATCATAGAGGCAGGGCTGATCAGCAGCCACCCCAAGCTGTTGGCAAGCAGGCTGAACTGCTGACCTTCGGGGGCGGGGGGGGGAAGAGGAGAGAGAGAGAGAGAGAGAGAGAGAGAGAGAGAGAGAGAGAGAGAGAGGCTGGACTGCTGGCAAGGCCTGGAGAGAGAGAGGAAAGGGCTGACTGGTCATTCTGGTTGCTTGGCTTTTATAAATATATATATATTAGTGGCCCCAGTGCACAAAACAGCCCTTGCCTCTCTCTCTTCAGGCCTTGCCAGCAGCCTGGGGCAGCTGCTGATCAGCCCACTTCTTTCTCTCTCTGAGAGGTAAGCAGTTCAGCCCGCTTGCTAGTCCCCGCCCCAAGCCTGCTGCGTGCAAGCCTGGCATTTGATTGTCCCTTCGGTCATTTTGGATGTTATGGACTCTGGCTCTTTATATAGATTGGAGAAAGTAACTACTCTATTGGTATAAGAAACTATGGTGAAATATACTTTTGATTATTTTCAATTTATTTGTCTCATACTAAAAGTTTCCATCTGTTGTTTCTCTCCCGCCCCATCTGGTTTTTTTCTTTATTCCTTTTTGTTTGTTCTCTCTTTATAGATCAAAGTGTCACAGATGTCCCCTTTGTTTTTTTCCCCCACTGACCCTTTCCACCCTGCACCCGCCCCCCCTCCCAGGCCTTCACAACTCTATTGTCTATATTCATGGGCTATGCATATATACCTATAAGTTCCCCGGTTAATCACTTCCCCTACCCACTAACCCCACCTTTCCTCTGAAATTTGTCAGTCTGTTCCATGCTTTTATGTCTCTAGATCTATTTTGTTCACCAGTTTATTTTGTTCATTAGATTGAACATATGAGTAAGATACTGTTTTAATATGATACTCTGAATGGAAAAAAAAGCATAAGGAATATAATCAATAATATTGTAATAACTATGTACAGTGTCAGATAAGAACCAGACTAACAGGGGTGATGAATTGGTAAGGTATATAAATATCTAGTCACTATGTTGTATGCCTGAAACTAATATATTACATGTCATCTGTAACTGAAAAAGAAATTTAAAATAATGTCAACATGTGACTTGGTTCAAAGTATAGTTGTGCCATTTAACTATGTGACCTTGGGTAAGTTATTGACCTTAATGTGTTTCAGTTTTTTCATCTGTAAAATAGGGATAGTAATAGAATTTACCTTCTAGAGTTGCTTTGATAATTAAATGATTAATACTTATGAAGCACTTAATACAGAACCTATTACACAGCTTTTATTCAAGTGTTACCTATAATTTTTCCCCAGTGTTTAAAATGCTTTTTCACAGATGTGGACTTTCAGAATATTTCTTTCTTACACTTTGCATACCTGAGATGTTGCAGAAGAAACAGAAGGTGATGGTGATGCAGGCGGAGTAAGCAGGCTACAGGGCAAGTTTAATGTAACATAGTGCTCATGGCTGCAGATGATTCGCAGAAAATCCAACCTCAAGGACACCAGGACACTTGGAATTGGTAATGAGTAAAGCTTTGAAGACACCTTATAAGCATTGCATAAATAAGAGAAAAACCAATCGAATATATCATTCTCTAATGCCAACACCAGAAGGTCAGAATAAAGAATTAAAGAATAGTACTCAGTGGGCAGCTTTGGTTTTTGTGATTTAAGTAATAGTATCAGCTGTCTCTAAAATTACTGTTAAAATATAAAATTTTGAACTATAAGATTTATTGTAGAATTCCACTGATAGGCTAACAGCCACTTTCTTTAAAAATATATATATATATATTTTTAGTGATTTCAGAGAGGGAGAGGGAGAGAGAGAGAAATACCAATGAGAGAAAATCATTGATCAGTTGCCTTCTGCATGCCCCCGACTGGGGACAGAACCTGCAATCTGGGCATGTGCCCTTGACCAGAATCGAACCTGGTACCCTTCAGTTCACAGGCCGATGCTCTATCCACTGAGCCTAACTGGCTAAGACTAAGCCACATTCTTGTTTCTAATATAGCATTAATATTCTGCTTTTCAAAGATATACTTTATGAGGAAAAAATACACCACCAAATTAACTTCATAAAAGAAGTATCCATTCTTTTTACAATACTTCGTGTTAACCTATATTTATAATGATCTATTTGCCTATTTCCCCAGCAATACCATAAATTACTTGAGGACATATATGAACAGACTTAATAACTTTAGCAACCCTAGGATCTAGTTCAATGTTCAGCAAATGTAGGAGGTTAATACTTGATGAATAAAGACAGGAAAAGATTTTGGAAGCAGCAGAACATGAAATTTATAAGATAGAGTAAAAATAATGCATACTATAGCAAATAATTATAAGTGGTCAATGTCCACACACAGTTTTAACTTCTCTAATAAAAGAAACATACAGTAAAGGCATCCAATAGAACAGATCTTCAAAAGCCTAAATATTTCACTGCCAAATAGCATTCTTACCCAGTAGTTCCCCAAATCTAATCTGTGGACCAGCTCGGAAGTGCTTCACAAGCACCATGTCCTTCACTCCCTACGCCCACCATCAGGATTCAAACTCCTCAATAATACTGAGATGGGACCCGGAGGTCTATATATTTTAAAAACTTCTTAAAAAGGGATCTTTAGGATGAGTTACTAGCTTACTAGCAAAACTGCCCATTGAAAAATACTAATTTTTTCAAAAGTTAGATTTCACTAATAAGTTGATAAAAATTTAAAAAAAGAATCAGCTATTTGTGGAAAAGTTCCAGAATGCTTTTAGATTAATAAGAGCAAAATGAATGACATTTGGGACTTGGGTAAACATTTGTCTACAATTCTAAACTCCAAGGCTGTGTTAGGAGGAATACATAGCAAAATGCAGCTACTTTAAATATCAATGAAGACACAAAAAATGCAGTTAGTTCTTCATTTAGTATAAACATTATTTTTGAATGAAATCTCTGGGCTGTTTTACCTGATGGTATGCTCCAGAATGGGCCAGTGTAACCCAAGCAAAAGCCAGTTTTACTGATATCAGCTTGCCACAGTCTTGTGTTCTGATTAACAAATGTAACTTACTTTTGCCTTACTAATAAAACTATGCCATTAAAAACAGTATTAGTATATGCATGTATATGAAGGTCTCTTAGCTCTGGCTGTGAAAAGAGCAAACATTGTATTTAGGTTATTTGACTACTAATTATTACTAATTATAAATTACCTGTTTATAGAAGTTCTTTATAAGGCTAAAAACAAATCCTCTGTCCATAACAGACAATAGATCATTGAGAAAGAATGCAAGACTTGTGTTGAGTCTTTCAACCATTTCTGTATCCTGTGAAATGAAATCAAAAGCAAAAACAAATAAAGGTATGAGAGTTTAATGTGACTTGAAAAATATTTATTTATTTATTTAAAATATATTTTATTGAGTTTTTACAGAAAGGAAGAGAGAGGGATAGAGATTAGAAACATTGATGAGAGAAAATCATCAATCAGGTGCCTCTTGCACACCCCCTACTGGGGATGTGCCCGCAAGGTATATGCCCTTGACTGGAATCGAATCCGGGACCTTTCAGTCCACAGGCTGACGCTCTATCCATTAAGCCAAACCGGTTTCAGCTTAAAAAATATATTTTTTAAAAAGTCATCATTACCTTCTGAAATCGTGAAACTATATCACTGGCAATTGTACTGACAAGAGCAGCAATGTCATCCATGAAACGCTCTGGAAAACGAGATTTCCTTGCTGCATTTAGTTTATCATTAAAGTATAAATGATGCACCATGCTCTTCACCTGAAAAATAAATAAGCCATTAGTTTAATTTCTTACAGATGCAATTAATCATTATGGAGACTCTAAACAGTAGGGCTATTTGTTTCAATATAAAACGTGATTTATTACAAAGCTGAAAGACTTTTAGCTCTTCAAATATTTTGGTAAGTTCACTATAATATTTTGTATATTCCAAAGAAATGTTAAAAAAAAAAATGCAATCCAATACAGGATCATCTTCATAAAATTACCCTGGCTGTGAATAAGGAAAAAAAGTGTACGTGCTGAAACCGGTTTGGCTCAGTAGTAGAGCGTCGGTCTGCGGACTGAAAGGTCCCGGGTTCAATTCCGGTCAAGGGTATGTACCTTGGTTGCGGGCACATCCCCGGTAATCAAGAGGCAGTTGATCGATGTTACTCTCTCATCGATGTTTCTAGCTCTCTATCTCTTTCCCTTCCTCACTGCAAAAAATCAATAAAATATATATTTTTTAAAAAGTGTATGTATGCAAAAGAAAACAAAAATAGCACTCCTTAAAACTGTTTTAAATTAAATCTTTCCAAGACTCAACAATTTTGCCATTTCTTATCCCTGTGAGCTTTGAGAGATTAGGAACCTAGACTTCACTGTAGTGCCTCTTGTACCTAACACCTAGTATCAAATGGTGGATGTATATTAAATATGAATAACTAAATATTTTACCTAAATAAAATATTAGGTAAGCAATAACAAAGTGATTCAAGTTGATAAAATGTTTTTGGGTATATCCCCATGTGATAATGGTAAGAAATATTTTAGATTCAGAGAAATTGAAGCCAAAATTCTACATTTAGTAAATAGCAGATCTAAGTCTTAAACTATAAACTTTTGACTAATTTATATATAAGGAATCTAAACATACATTTACAACTATCAAAAAATAAGTCAAATTATAATTTTGAACTTATATTAAAAGTACATGAATTACAAATGTGGTGCTTATTTTCTAGGGAAAAAATAAGTTACCTATCATTTATGGATGATCCCTTTTCACTTATTTGGTGAAGAAATGGCTTTCTATTATCAATATCTGTAACATTCAATGCTGAGACTGACCTTATGATGTACTCTAGAAGTTCCTTTTGTGTTTCTTTTCTACCTTTCTGATTTCCTTTGTTTCTTATTTATTTTTTACATACTGCTTTTCCAGAAGAAAAAGTTTCAATGATTTCAACTTTCTAGAGGCTGAAGAGAAAGATCCCTAGTGCTAGAATGCCAGTGTTTGAAAAAACAGTTCGGCTATCTATAAGCAGTGTATATTTAAAAGTTACTTAATCTTTCTGTGCCTTGGTAATATTTAGCCCATGGAGACAGTGCTAACACAATGCACACATCTGATAACACATATATACACAAAAGCAATAAACAATGATGTATGTGCATAAATATTAAGCTCCTAATTGATTCCTTTGTTTTTAATATTATTTATTGAATGAAACAAAAAAGTTTTTTAAATGGCTTTAACTAAAATAAACTTTATCATTTCAACTAAATTGTGCTGAGTGTTCACAATGTTTATTTAGGGATATAATATATGTGGTTTTGTCTTGCAGGAACATGTAAAACTGTAAGACAACGGAAAAAGATTTCTAGTGTAAAATATGAGCTAACACAAAAGTGTTCACTAAGGAAAACAATATTTTAAAAATGTGTTTATTTTGCTCACCATTAACTCAAAAAAGAACCAGGCCTGTTGCAAAGCTGCCTCCCGAACGCTGCCACTGCAAACCACCCACTGCAAAGCCAGCTCCTCATGAAAAAGCTATCCAGAAGTAAATCCAAAGTTATTATCAAAGTCAAGTCTGTTAATAACACAAACCAAATAATAATGCAACTGCAAATGAAGATATAATGAGAATAAGCAAAATAAGGCATGTGAACCATTCAATGATGCAGTGAGGACACCCATTAACGAAACGGCTATTTATACATGTAAGACAGTGGCATGTTGAATAGCTGGAAAAATTACATGTTATCTTGTGGCAAAATGTAATTTTTAGGTGGGAAATAGCCTCCTAAATTGTACCTGCAAATAGAAACTAGACCAAAAACTCAAAATTGCAAATAAAATTTTGTTTGTGCCTTACATACATATTTCAACATATGCAAATACATTAGTGAACTTTGCTGGTACAACTTAGGAAATACCTTTAAAAATTTAAACTTTGACATTAATTTTCAAGTTTTCAGGTACTGAAAGTCTTTTTATAAAAACGGCAGAAATATCCTGCCTTGCAATGGATATGCATACAAAGCATTTGCAAAGTAGTGTATAAAACTAACAAAACTGTGCATAAGGAAAGCAAATCAACATATCTTACTAAGAGTGATAATTTTTCTAACTCATCTTCCTTTTCCTGGAGATTTAAAACACAAAACAGAAGCAGTTACAGAAACAGAATTAAGAATTGATACATTTTTTTGGCACTAAAATTTGATGATCAAATTTCAATTCACTGAAGTCCACAAGCAGCCAGACCTAAAGATGTACATTAAAATAATGTAAAAGAGCCTACACTGGGAAGGCATGCCCCAAAAGGCATCAGACAAGCAGAACTTGCTCAAATGTGTTTTAAAATGCAATGGAAATTCTGCAACAACTCATATTGATTAGGTAAATAAATCTTGTATCTATTTAATTGCTGAAATTATTTTCCCCCTATAAGGATTGTCTTCATATGAATCTACCTTTTTAGTTGGTAAGCGTCCCGTTAATGTTTGTAAGAAACTTGACGTCTCTGTGTGCGAAGACATACGATTACAACTTCGATCCATAGCCTATGGAGTGAAGATGAATGATGACGAGATAACATTAAAGTCTGCTGTGGATGACTTTGCAGCTCAAGGAATACATAGAATTTTTTAAATAGTGTTTTATTGTGGTTTCAGAAACTATTTTATTGCTCATCTCATTTTTACCATTTTAAGTTTTTTAATGCCTTAGGAATATCAAAATGGCTTCTAAAATTTTTAGTCTTAAAAAGATGAATATTTTAATAAATATATAAATTCAGAGTGCTGCAAAGAATGAAATTTTTATTTGTGTGACCTATACACATGCACATAACTAGTAAGAAAATGTAAAAACATACTTCTCAACTGATCTCAGACAAAAAAAACCCCACCAAACTTTTATATTCAATAAAAAATTATTAAAAGTTTAGAATGATTTCTTTCACTTTCCAGTATTATCAAAAATAGTATTCAGGCTTGCCATATACTACATGAAATATAAATCAATTCTAATATTAAAATATAATTAAATTGTTCCTACAAGAACAAAAACATTTCCCTCCAACATCAATAAACAGATGAGAAGTATATTTGAAGGTATCATGCAGTATAAGCCATCAAGCAATTAGACTTAAGTCAGCAAAACCTAATTCAACTAAGTTATAATATATTTCATACTTTGCAACACAGCACAAATTGAGAAAGTATTTGCTTCTGGTATTTAATCTTATAGGATGGGAAGCATACTGTATACTGTTCACATTTAATTTCTGCTTTATTACCAGTATTTTTAGTGATCATGAAAAAAACAACAAGATAGTAAATGCTAAACGATACAATAGCTACACTTTAAACCAAAAGCAAATGGAAAACTGTCAGGTTTTCCACTCAAAATATTTTAAAATTCCTACTAAAGATACGCTACCCCTAAAATAGAAACTGTTATCAAAGTCATCAATCGCATAAGCAACAGGAACTGATATAATGACAGAGTGTATAAGGAGGGAGGGAGAAGAAAACAGGAAAGCAGAACAATACTGGTGCAACTGGTGGTATTCATGCATAGTAGTTGAAAAATGTGCTAAGTAAACAAAAATACACACTTTTTAATAATTAAAAAAGCAAGCCACTGAAATCATAGTATAGACTAAAAAGTAATGTTCTAGAGGGAAACATCAGCAGCCAATAAAGAAACCTCTAATATAAACACCACCTGTGTTGATTCTGCACTTGGACTGGGGTTGGATCCCCATGGGGCAGCTTTTGGACCACCAGTGTTAACCCAGGAATTGGAGCGATCTAAACCCTAAGCATATAATAGAAAGCAGTTGGAAAGGAAAGAAATATTACATGTGGCATGCTGTAAATTATTCTTAAAGAAATCCAGAATTTCCAATGCAAACATTTTTTAAATTAGTACTGTTAAAGCAACCAAAAATTTTAGGCACCTATAGAGTTTTATTAGTTTACCAAAGTTAACTTATTACATACATTTTTAAAAATCACCAAGACCATGAAGAATACCATTTAAAGGTGATTTCTTTTTATGTAAAGGGATCACCTTGAAGTACCAACAACTAAAATTCCCACAGCACCCCCTCCCATTTTCTTTAAAGACAGTATGAGTTAGCAACAGTTAATTTACTCTGAACATAACTAAGGTCTCAAAAATAAATAAATAAATAAATAAATAAATAAATAAATAAATAAATAGAAGAAAAAATACTCCATTCTTTTTTAAAAGAATTTAATTTCATTCCATATGTCATCATTGAAAACTTTTGTGCAGTAATATTCGATAATTCTATTTGATCCTGCTTCTTATTTTCTTTCAGGGACTGACAGGAGAAATTAAGTAGAAAAAAATTTTTTTAATGCCTAATATTTGTTCCTTCCTAAAAATAATGGTAAATTTGGGGTTGTGCTCAGTTTTATTGTACTTACTGTAATTAAATCTAATGAGCTACTATATATTAAGAAAAAAACATTCTGGAACTATTTATAGTAATTATTATCTTCATTATTACAACCAATAATTTAAAGTTAAATATGCTACTAATGTGTATAACCAGAAGTGAATTATGTCTATCTGTCTCTAAAAGAGGTCATTATGATCCCAGGTGAAGGAAACTGGGGCTTTAGTTCAATGTCTTAAACCTGACTGATGATTATAATTAATTGGGAAGGTTTGTAAAATCAGATTCTAGGCCCTACTCCCAAAAATCCTGACCCAGCAATCTGGGCCTGGGAATCTGCTAACAGAACTGGAGCAAGTTATAACAAGTTTTTAGAGAATTGTTGGAGTAAGATTTATGAAGACAACCCAAAAGAAACTGACTAAAAATATCAGAAAACATCAAAGGAAGAACAGGTAAAAGAAAAGAATAGTCACAATGTTAAGCAATTCTATATAGACAGTATCACCTAGGGAAATGGATAGTCATCTACAGCACAGTATTAAGTATTCAGTAATAATAGATGGTAATCAGCAGATAGATGCAATGATAAAAGGTTACTAAAGTTTTCTTCTGATGGCTTCAATTTTCACAATGAAATAGAAGATAAAGTCAGAAGGAGGGTTGCTGAGGAGCTTTTATGAGGTTTGAGGTAACAAAAAGTGGAATGAAACATTTTTCTTGGAGAATGGGAAGTTAAGTGAAATACAGAAATATATATAATTGCTTGATAACATTAGGGCTCAGTGGTTTATGGTCTTTAATTTCAACTGAGACCAGCTATCATGGTATTTCTCAAGTCTTATTCAGTGGCACAGGTAGTGACAAGGCAAAGGAAGTCAACTGGGTTGAACTATGGTTTGAGGGTTGGTTAAGCAAGTAAAATGAAGTGAGAGAAGGGTAAGGGAATTGAGTTTGATATAATGGGCATAATTAAAGTGATTATGATATTTTAGCTGGCTAAATTGAAAGAAATAATATTAGGGGGGTAATACACAGTACAAAGGTCACTGAATCAATTAATTGGAGGTTGTAGAGAAATAAAGAAATTGTTAGAATGGGGGTACTGAAGAGAAAATTAACTCTTAATGGTTAAAGAACAAAATGCATGAAATTGAGATTAAGAGAATTAAAGTTATTGGTAATGAGAAGATCTAGGTTATGACCATGGCTGAGGCAAAGTGAAAGGCAAAATCATTAAAGAAGAGTCACTTAATGTCTAAGCCAATAAAATCAGACTAAATGAAAAGCAGCTATAAATAAACTTCAAGTTTCCTTACAATTTTTCAATAAAATAAAATTATATACAATTATAAGGAATTATGACTAAAGGATACTCCAAAATAAAGAGAGTTAGCAAAAATTTTACAACAAAGAGAAAACATAAAAAGCATTTAAATAAAAATTCATACAAGACTGTATTATCATAAAAAACTTCTCATTTTATGATGGCTTGCTCAAAAGTTGATGTTTATCATTTTATATAATCAAAAGTAAGTTTATGTTATAGGTCCTATTTTATAAACTACTTGAAAAAAAGGCAACTAATCATTGCAATATTTGTAAATCTTGTTCTAAATCTTAGATGTTGTAAGTTATCAAATACATCATATGAAAGAAAACTCTAGAATCATACTAAATGAGGCATAACGCAAATCTTATAGAAACAAACATTTTAAAAGTATAGCCTTAAAGAAAATGGTGTCTATAGTTTATAGAAGAATTTATTATAATTCACAAATCAGATTCATTCTACAAAGTATTGTGTTTTATAAATATGTAAATAATGCTAAGTATTATTAACAAATATATAAAGAACTTGAGTATTTTTCCTAAACACGGAAAGTATCTGGGGTAAGGCTAAAAAATGTATTTTTGTTCTGTGAGAAATTACTTCAAAATTGTTTAAGTTATTTTATGCCCTAGCCAGTTTGGCTCAATGGACAGAGTGTTGGCCTGTGGATTTAAGGGTCCCGGGTTTGATTCTGGTCAAGAGCACATGCCCCGGTTGCAGGCTCTATATTTAGTAAGGGGTATGCAAGAGGCAGCCAATCAATGATTCTCTCTCATCATTGATGTTTCTATCTCTCCCACTCCCTTTCTCTCTGATATCAATAAAAATATTTTTTAAAGTTATTTTACAATGAAGGATGCATAATGCTTCTGAAAATGTAAAATTTCTGTAACTATATGAATAGATATTAGTAATTCTGATTTTTTTAATCAATATTCAAGTATTTCACCTAACCAACCCAAATCTTAAATATATTCCATTATAGTTCAGACTAAGTGTTAAACACAGACCCTAGAACATGTTTATTAATTCTTCCTCATATCATTATTATGAAATGCCAAATAAAAGTTGCTATGATTCCATAACAATAACATCTTCCTCTTTTCCAACAGGAAATGTATTTACATTTGCAATGGTTTGGTCAAAACACAACGTGACGTGATTTCTTGGACTTACTGTTCTTTTGTCCAGCTTGTCTAAACTCTGAAATATTTTTGTACTTTAAATATAAAAAGGGAATTAACTATTTGTTCCTTAAGCATATTTCTTTGGGTAATAAAGATTAAAGTTTTAAAAAAAATATAGCTAGATCTTAGATTAGCTGGCATCTCCCTTATTATCTGGGGTAAACATTAACTATCATTAAATAGATCATATAATTCTAATCCTGGTGCATCTTACATAGAGTTTTTCATAAAAAATGTAGCTCAATTACCAATCTAGATTTTTTTGGAGAAGGACTTACATTTTGTATCATTGATGATAAAGTCCTTCTACCCAGCAGCTACATAAGTCTGTTCTGATTCTATATAAAAATCATTTTTCACATGATGAAAGGCAGACAAAAGTGAGTAATATATGATTGGTCATCCTGGACAAATTTTAGAATTTGGCAGATTTTTTTTTTTTTAGCAGAAGGCACAAACCAGTTTGCAATAGCAAGCATATTTAATAGAAACACAAAACACTTAGTGTTTACTGGCAAAATGGAAATGTACAATTTCTTGTTTGTTATTAACTCAAACACATTTAAAAATTCAAAATAAATTAAAACATTTGGACATCTCTCATTTGTTCATGAACTGAAAATCAAATTTACAGGCGCATATCTTCAGTTTACCTTACTGCCGATGATTGACCGTACTTCATCATCTGGTGACGTGGGTGTCCCAGATATATCTGGATTACTATTACTAAGACTCCGAGAACGATTTAAATTAAGGCTCGCAGGTCTCACAGCAGATCTAGCCATTGTGGCATAATGCACTGATCCTCCTAAACCCCCAGGACCTAGAGTTGAATATAAAACAGCACATAATTATACAAAGAAAATTAGTCAAGAAAGGACATGAAATTAATCTGTCACTTGACAGAATTTCACCAAGACCATGAATTGCTTTTGTTTCTGAATCAAAAATACTATAAATAAGAAAAAGACTAAAGACTTAATAATAAATACACGAAGATATTCTATTTCACAGAAGTTGGCAATTTCGTATGAATTATAAATACAATTCTTTTCAATGTTTCTTTTTTTCATTTTTTTATTACGGTATTACAATATATGTGTACATAATTTTACCATTGCTCTCCCATCCCACTCCCATATATGCCCTCACCCCCTCTCTTCAATGTTTCTATGATTATAGATTATGTGTACAATACAACAAAACAGAAAACACTCACATACATTATCTAGGTACACACATTATATCTAACACCCAAAATACTTCAGTTTGTGTCTCTTCTTTTTCCTCTGTCCCTCCTTGCTTTGCCCCTTGATACAATCAATAGAGGGACAGCCAATTTACTGTCATAATCTCTTGAAAGAGATTATGCTTTACTCCTCTATCTTCATCAGTGACAATCTGAACTATAACAAAATGGCACCTGTGTGATATCCATATAAAAAATCTAAAGAAAGCTCTTCTAAGAGCCCACCTTATATAAAAGAACTCTTTTCATCTAAAATCAGGTCTGACACCATTATTCAACCATGTTCTATGAACATAAATATACCCAGCGACTGTATTCATAATTTATCTCCATTTTTCTTATTTAAAGAAATCTTTCTGAATGTCATATTTGTAAATAACAAATACCTGTCAACTATTTATTTGTCTTTCACATCAGCATATAAAAATGTTTTGCATAATCTGTGGTATTCTAACAGATACTGAATGAAAGAGTAAATGGAGCCAGGACCGGTTTGGCTCAATGGATAGAGCGTCGGCTTGGGGACTGAAGGGTCCTGGGTTCGATTCCGGTCAAGGGCATGTACCTTGGTTGCGGGCATATCCCCAGTAGGGGGTGTGCAAGAGGCAGCTGATCGATGACTCTCTCTCATCGATGTTTCTAACTCTCTATCTCTCTCCCTTCCTCTCTGTACAAAATCAATAAAATATATATTTTTAAAAAAAGAGTAAATGGAGGAGTATTATATATAGTCCACAATCACTTCCATACTTGGAGCCTCAAATACTATAATTTTAAAAACCAAGAGAGGAAATTATGAACCATATGTGATATGAAACAATTACTACTACTTTTGCAATTAAGAAAAACAAGGAGCTAAATTCATGTACTATTATCCTAAGTTTTCATAATGAATGCCATAATTAATTTTCACCATTATTAATCTTAACCTTGTCAATTGCTGGAAAGGGCACTTACCATTATCACTAGTGATAAATGATGATTCACACAGACAAATATATGAGCAAGTTGAGAGATATACATGATATATTCATTAACTAACTGAACATCTAATGAGTTATTCAAATTAAGATACATCCACCACCTCCACCACCATCATGAAAAACAAATAGCTACTTTGGGCTCTAGTATTCTGAAAAGTTATATTACTTTATTAATAATGGAGAAATCAGAACTTTTCTAGAAAATAATCTTTTGTATTATTATAGGTTTCACACGGTTATCAGGGTTATTTCTTCTTTAAAGTCCAATAGGACTCCAATGACAAATACAACATTCTCTTTATCTTAACAGGAAATAAAATGCTTCCTGTTATTTTCAGGGCTCATTCCCAAGAATTAATTCAACCAAGATCTACTAAAGGAAGCTGTGTAAATAATGGTGCTTTAAAATGTAAATTTATTTTACTCCAGCACTTAGTATAGTCTATGCCACTTAGTAGGCATTCAATAAATATTTGCTGTTCATGGTAAAAAGAATAAAATACCTGGTGATGGTGAATTAGGGGAAGTATTTGGTAAGCGAAAAACGTAATAGATATATGATGCAAGAAGACTGTTCCTGCCGTGCTGGTCATGATTTCCATCCAGATTTCTGTGAAGCCGATTTATAATTGATGACATAGCTTCAAAAGATGCTTGACCTAGATTAACTTTTAAGAAGGAGAAAAATATTTTTGCATTAACTTTTATAGACTATCACTTCCAAAAAGGTCAAAGTTTTGTCATCTCTATATACATTAAGTATAGTGATTACACATAGTAATTGTATAAAGATATTTGATGTTCATTTTAAAAATTTATTTTTCAATTACAGTTGACATACAATAATATATTAGTTTCAGGTATACCACACAGTGATTAAACAATTTGATGTTGATATTAAAGATTTTCTTGTATTAGATAAACCAAATTACTTTTCTAAACAAAATGGAAATTTTTTTTTTACTAATTTAACATAAAAATTGTATGGGTTTGTTTAGTCAAAAACAAACTTCATCCCACAGGTACCTAAATTTTATAAACAATGCAAAGCACTTATGGAAAAAAATCTATCTTGGAGAAGTATATTCTCTTTTTATTCATTTAATATTTCATTTTTTAAAAACTTATCTTTATTGTTGAAAGTACTACAGCTGTCCCCTTTGATTTTTGTTCTACTGAACTCCTCCGCTTTGCACCTGCCCCTCCCAAGCTTTCACCACACTAACCTATATAGCACACAATGAGCATGTAACTTTTGTTTTTAAAAAATGAAAGTAGATTATTAAAAATACCAATATAATAAGAAAAGAAAATAGTGAACAAGCAACTTGATAGAAATGAGTGAATTTATAAAAGGACTAGAGGCTCAGCGTGCAAAATAGCATGAGACCTAGAGTCCCACCGCACCATGGGACCCATCGATGCACCTCCTGGTGACCGGTCATTTGGTCATTCCAGCATTACAGCCACTGGCCTTTTATATATTAGATTAGGAGGGGAAAAGACTAGAAAACCAGGTTGAGGTAAGACTGTACAGCATTTTATATGATATTCAATTCAGTATGTAAGAAGAATTTTGCGCCCTGACCAGTTTGGCTCAGTGGGGTCCCAGGTTCAATTCCGGTCAAGGGCATGTACCTTGGTTGTGGGCACATCCCCAGTAGGGGGTGTGCAGGAGGCAACTGTTTGAGGTTTCTCTCTCATCGATGTTTCTCTCTATCCCTCTCTCTTCCTCTCTGTAAAAAATCAATAAAATATATTTACTAAAAAAAAATTCCCCCCCCCCCAAAACTAAGAAATACTGGTATCACACTGAATAAACAGGTAAACCAAACAGCCATCTTAAGCAATAGAGTCTCAGATACTTCTGTACAGCAAAGAAACCAGCACCAAAATGACAAGGGAACCTACTGTATGGGAGAACATATTTGTCAATGATACATCTGATAAGGGGTTAATTTCCAACTCATATAACTCTATAAAAGAATGACAAACAACCCAATAAATAACAAACAGGAATCATGGTTGTACTTTGCAAAAGTTAGAAATACCAAATTATAAATGCTATGATTCCTCAAACAAAAGTAAATTACCTATTTGGCCAGCAATGACTGGAGGTCTAACAACTAAAAGTATCAGTTTATCAAGCAGAAGATGAAGAAATCGAACCACTGGTTCCAACTGAGATAAATTCAATGCTGAAATACTGCTCTTCAATTCATTTTCTAAGTTATTTTCCATGATTCGCATGTCTCCAATTCGGACAGGGAACATGTGTTCATCCAGAGCATTGACCAGAGCAAAAAACTTGTCAAGATAAGGATCCTAAAACAAAGAATGAACAAAAGCACTAAGCAAATGTAAAGATATGTCCACATATAATATCTTAATAAACAAATAAATAAATAAATAAAGCACTAAGCAAGTATAGCTCTATAAATTCTTCAAACTATAAAACACTAAAAAAAATCTCTTAACTAATAATACAAAAAGTACATACCAGTATATATAAACATTGTTTCCAATTGAACACTAAATCTACAAGGTGGGTTAATATAAAATCTGCATAAATAGGTCTATAGTTATTAATATAAAAAATAGCAATAGCCCGGCCAGCTGAACGTCGACCTATGAACGAGGAGGTCACAGGTGGATACCCCATAAGGGAAAATGCCCCGGGTTCTGGACTTTATCCCCAATAGGGGGCATGCAAGAGGCAGCTGAACAATGATTCTCTCATTATTGATGTTTCTATCTCCCTCTTCCTCCCTTTCTGGAAAAAAAAAAAAAAAATACATTTAAAAAATACAATAATAAATAATAGTACAAGAAAAAACACTGTTTTGTGTATTTACAATTATAAACCTACTTTTGCCCCACCCTATATTTTCACTTACTATTATAAAGTAGCCACTTCAAATACTACTAATTACTCAAGAAATGTATTGATATTTATTCAGAATATTTTCCCCAGTGAGTCTGCCTTATTGTTTTAGAGCTCAATTATAGTGATAGATTGTTAGTAGATTATTACTAATTTACTAGATGCCCAGTGCATAAAATTCGTGCGCGGGAGGGGAGGGGGGAGAGGGGGGAGAGGGAGGGAGAGGGGGGGAGGCGGAGAGGCGGGGAGGCCCTCAGCCCAGCCTGCAGCCTCTCCAATATGGGACCCCTCAAGGGATGTCTGACTCCCTGATTAGGCCCAATCCTGTTAGAATCAGGCCAAATGGGCAGTCGGACATCCTTCTCACAAACCAGGACTGCTGGCTCCCAACTGCTTGTCTGCCTGCTTTCCTGATTGCCCCTAACCACTTCTAGCCTGATCACCCCCTAACCAATCCCCTGCCAGCCTGATTGATGCCTAACTGCTTCCCTACCAGCCTTTTTGCCCCTAACTGCCCTCCTCTGCAGGCCTGTTCACCCATAACTGCCCTCGCCTGAAGGCCTGGAACCATCCAAACTGCCCTCCCCTTCAGCCTTGTTCCCCTCCTCTCCCCGAATTGCTCTCTACTGCAAGTCTGGGTCCTCCCCAACTGCCCTTCCTTGCAGGCTCGGTCACCTCCAACATCCCTCCTATGCTGGCCTGGTCATCCCCTGCAGGCTTGATCGCCCCAAACTGCCCTCCCTTGCAGGCCCGGTGCCTCCCAACTGCCCTCCCCTGCTGGCCATCTTGTGGAGGCCATCTTCTGTCCACATGGGGGTAGGATCTTTACCCACATAGGGGCAGCCATCTTGTGTGTTGGAGTGATGGTCAATTTGCATATTACTTTTTTATTAGATAGGCTAGAGGCCTGATGCATGGGAGGGGGCTGGCTGGTTTGCCCTGAAGGGTGTCCCAGATCAAGATGGGGGTTCCCTTGGGATGTGTGGCAGCTTGGGCAAGAGGCCTGTGGTGGTTTGCAGGCCGGCCATGCCCTCCGGTCACCCAAGCGGAGGCCCTGGTATCTGGGATTTATTTATCTTCTACAAGGGTGTCCCAGATCAAGATGGGGGTTCCCTTGTGGCAGCTTGGGCAAGAGGCCTGTGGTGGTTTGCAGGCCGGCCATGCCCTCCGGTCACCCAAGCGGAGGCCCTGGTATCTGGGATTTATTTATCTTCTGGAGCGGAACTAAGCCTACTGCTTGCTCCATGGCCGCAGCCATTTTTGCTGGGATTTATTTATCTTCCATAATTGAAACTTTGTAGCCTTTAGTGGAGGCCTAGGCCGGCCAGGGTGTGCAGAAAGCTTGGCTTCCTCCATTGCCAGAGAAACCCAAGCCTCCTGCTTGATCCGTGGCAACAGCTATATTGTTTGGGTTAGTTTGCATACTCACTCCCAATTGGCTGATGGGCATGGCTTGTGAGTGTAGCGAAGTGATGTTTAATTTGCATATTACTCTTTTATTAGACAGGATTGCTCTCAGCTCCATTTACACTCACTACCTATTTACTCTATTATCTCCAATCCTGAACAGCAAACAAACTACAAGTGCCTATAGGACATTGTCATCTAAATTGCATAGGCATGTCAAACTCAACAAGATAAAAAATAAACTCACTGTAGCTTCACAATTGCTTCCCCTTAATGTTCTCCCAAATTTACTTCTCTCATGTTTCCTATATTTAGGTCAGAAATCACCATCTATCTGGACTCCAAACTATAAAGATTCAAATTCCTTCATAATCTGTTACCAGCCTGGTCTTCCATCTTTATCTATCACAATTTCCCATGCACTTTACATTGCCTGCCTGTCCTTAAACAGATTACTGTCTCTTTGCCAGTCGTTTTTATCTTCTGAGTTGTCCACCTTTCTCTGTATGGCAAATGCCTACTTATTAGTGAAACACCTCAGTTTCCCGCAAAACAGACAACTCCTCTGTACTTGATTTAGTTCATATGTCTAACATAGTATATATTTTATTGTATTGTAATTATTTTTACATTTCTCCCTATTGTAAGGTCGTTGAAGGAAAGCCTCTTTTCTTGACAAGTAAGGACATCCCTGATCTCATGAAGTTTATAGTCTAATGGGAAAAAGAACCAATAAACAAATGCATATTATGTTAAGTATACGTATGTACATGCAAACACACATGGACACACAGTGAAAGTGCCAGAATGCATGAGAGCAAAAGGCAGTAGTAAATGTAAGGTAAGATGACACAGAATAATGGAGCTGCTGTTTAAGTCACCAGAAAAGTCCTCTCTGATATAAACAGAAGCCTTAATGAAGAGAGGTCAAATGAATGTCAGGAGGAAAAGCCTTCCAGCTAAAAAAAATAGTTAATGTAAAGGCTTTAAGGAGAACATGGCATATTCAAGAAGTACAGTGAAGAATGTGGAGTAAATGATCCCTAAGAACACTTTCCATTTGAAATATCTAAGTCTATGATAAAAGTTAGGGACAAAAGTTACTTAATTGTTCAAAATGAAGTCAATAATATTTTGAAAAGTAAAATATTTGCTTTGGTTGACATTAACATTTTGTTGATAAAAAGAAATTTATAAATCCTTACATTTTTAACTGACTTATATTCCTAAGTCTAACAGCAGGCAACAAAACTGATTTAAGTACTAGGCAATATGTTCAATTCATTAAAGTGAAATTTGATCATAAAAATTATTAACATTCACTTACTTGTGTATGGATAGATGAAACAGCAACAACTTCAACATTAAAAACACCTTTGTGGTTATCTACCCATTTCATGCCAGGTAAAGGTACCTATAAAATATAAAATACAACAATCACAGATGTTTAAGTCGGTTATAAACTCTGAAAACAGATTTTAAAATTACAATATCTTGATGAGAAAAAAATCTGTGAAATATATTTTTATGCACTGTAAATGAATGTAAAATTTATGCTTAATTCTTATTATAAAAATCAATGCTTTCTAAATGAAGAGGCTCAAAAAGCCAAAAGCAGAAAATATACTTTCAAAATTGTATCTTCCCAGAGACATATCCCTTTATGTAATCCCAAATCTTCCTCTTGGAAAATAAGTGATTTTTTTAGTTTTTTTTTTTTTTAAATATATTTTATTGATTTTTTACAGAGAGGAAGAGAGATAGATAGTTGGAAACATCGATGAGAGAGAATCATCGATCAGCTGCCTCCTGCACACCCCCTACTGGGGACGTACTTGCAACCAAGGTACATGCCCTTGACCGGAATCGAACCTGGGACTTCTCAGTCTGCAGACCGACGCTCTATCCATTGAGCCAAACCGGTTTCGGCTAGGAAAATAAGTTTTATACACACCCTTACATAGGTGATATCAAAGATATTTTATAACCTGTTTTTCACATATTACATTGTGAATCTGTTTTCATGTCCACAGTATCATTTTAATGGTTTATAATATTCTATTTTTTTATTTTTATTTTTAGGCATTATTTTTAATTAAATTATTATCTGTGTACATATTTTTTTATTTTAAACACTCTTCTTTTTAGTGGGTTTAAAATATTCATAAACCAAGGAATTCTGTTTTACAGATGAGAAAACTTTTCTTTGCTAGAAATTAATTAAAATTATATAATAAAATCTTATTTTTAAAAGTGAGTACATCTGCCGAAACCAGTTTGGCTCAGTGGATAGAGCGTCGGCCTGCAGACTGAAGGGTCCCAGGTTCGATTCTGGTCAAGGGCATGTACCTTGGTTGTGGGTACATCCCCAGTAGGGGGTGTGCAGAAGGTAGCTGATCATGTTTCTCTCTCATCGCTGTTTCTACCTCTCTATCTTTCTCCCTTCGTCTCTGTAAAATAAATCAATAAAATATATTTTAAAAATTAAAAAATAAAAAATAAATAAAAGAGAGTACATCTGTTCTATTTCTCCTGCTAAGTCCTGCCAAAAAATAGAAGCATTGATATAGGAATGCAGACAGGCTAAAACTTCAGGAGGGAGGAATTATAAGGTAGTGTTTCCTAGGTTTTATTTTTGCCTGATATATCCTAGACTAGGTGCTAGAGACGCTGTCTAGCCAGAAACATCAAAAGGAGCAAACAATCAAAATTTCAAGAAAGGTCTACTCTCTCTCTTTTTAAAAATATTTTTATTGATTTTTTACAGAGAAGAACTGAGAGGGATAGAGTTAGAAACATCAATGAGAGAAACATCGATCAGCTGCTTCCTGCACACCCCCTACTGGGTATGTGCCTGCAATCAAGGGCATGACCTTGACAGGAATACAACCTAGGACCCTTCAGTCCGAAGGAAGGCCAACGAGCTATCCACTGAGCCAAACCGGTTAGGGCAAGGTCTGCTCTCTTAGGTCAAAGCCAATATTTGCCCTACTTTGGCAAAAACAAATTGCAGTCCCATGCCACCTCCACAAGCTGAGTGGGGAGCCTGGGTCTCTACCCTCAGCTGGCTATAGAAGGTGCACATCTCCAGCACTCCCCACACACAGTGGGTGGTATCAGAAAAGACAGACCAGTGTTACCCCACCAACCACGGTGTCAGTGGATGCCAAGAGGATAGCAGTAACAAGGTGCCCCTCCCCACTCATAGCCAGGGAGGTGTTAGCACAGCCTAGTGAGGAGCCTGAAATATAGGCCCTCGCATCAACACATTGCTATGTGAGGAATGTGGAACTTTCCCTAAAAACAGCCCCTTCCCCCACTGTTAAAACACAGACATAAATAAGAACTAGAGTCATAATCTAAAATGCTCATATCTAATAAAAATCATCCATCCTAACCAGAACCAGGTCAATCTCAACTTAAATGAGAAAAAGACAACTGATACCAATACTAAGATGATATCATTGTTGGACAGATTTGACAGAATTTTAAAACAGCCATCATTAAAAACAAACAACAACAAAAAAAACACTACAACAAGCAATGATGAATACCTGTGAAACTAATGACAAAATTATACACTCAGAAATAAATAAGTAAATAAATAAATAAATAAATAAATAAATGGGTTTCTTTTTCATGGTTTCATATTTTTATGTGCAGAAAAGAAAATCAAATAAAATTAATTTCCTGTTAAATAATTCAACATAAATAGGTATACATGCAATGTCTCTATTGAGGCAAATAGTATAGATTTAGAAATATTTCTGGGGAAAAAAGAAAAAGCAGTGAATTTAAGTGGCTCAAAGCAAAAATCAGTACTAGCTCCATCAACCCAAAATACTTTTTTTCAGTTACAAAAAAAAAGGGTGGGGGACACAGAAATAAAATGTGAACATCTACTTCTTTAAAAATAGCAGTTCTCAAAGCTTGAACTAAGGATCAGCAACACAAACAACATCTGGGCACTTGTTTGAAATGTAAATAATTAACACCCATCCCAGATCTACTGCATCAGAAACTGGGGTGAGGGGGTGGAGGAGTAAGGTTCAATAACTGGTGTTACAACAAAGTCTCCAGGTGATTTTGATGTTTGCTGAAGTAAGAATTGCTGTCTTAAAAAATTCTAACAAGCAGTGTGGTAAAAGCTATGGTGTAATAGTAGCAAATATTAGTTTAATACTTTTTATGTGCTTGACTTCATTCTAAATGCTCTGCATACCATTAAATCATACAATTATCAACACAACTCTTTATTATAAGCATTAATTACTCTCTCAATTTACAGACGAGAAAATTCAGACACAGAGAGTGTAGTGTCTTAGCTAGAGTGCTATTATAAAACACCATATGCTGTGTGGCTTAAAACAACAGAAATTTATTTTCTCACAGATTGGAGACCTCCAGTCCAAGATCAAGGCACCAGTGTCTGGTGAGAACCTCCTCCAAGCATGCAGATGGTCACCATCTCACTGTGTCTTCAAGAGAAAGCAAGCTCTCTGGGTCTCCTTATAACTATTGATAATTCTATCATGAGGCCCTACTCTCATGACTTCATGTAAACTTAATTCCTCTCAAAAGGCAAATCTCTAAATACTATCACATGTGGGAGTTAGGGCTTCAAAACATGAGCTGGGAATGGGGCCACAACTCAGTCCATAACAGATAAATTAAAGACACTTGCCCAAGATCACACAGCTGGAAGTGGTGGAGCCAAGAGTACTAGCAAAACCCTGGTAATTACACCACACCGCCTTTCAAAGTATGCGAGGTTTAAAACAACAAAATATCTCACAATTCCACACCCCTTCAATAACTAACTTTGCTAAATTTGATGTATATTTTCCAAACTATTTCCCACACAATTACTGATGTACACTTACATATTTAGTTTGGTTGTCACTATTTGTTTTTATGTTTTATTCTAAATATCCTATTGGGATATTACAATCTATATCATTCCTCTTACTACCATACTATTCATTGTATGGATATACAAAAATTTAATTAAGTATTAAACTCTTTGTAAATATCCAGATTATTTCCATGTTTTGTTTTTTGCTAATACCAATAATTCTATAATTTTTTCTATTTAATTCATACAACAAATATTTATTAAAGTCTCTATTTTTCTAGGTTTTGGGGTTTCATGGTAAGGTCTACATAAGGTCTACATAGGTAGACATAAGGTGTACTCTCAGGCAGCTGACATGAATAGAGAAAAACAAGTATGTGATTTCAGATAGTGATAAGTAATAAGTAAATAAAATTTGATTAATATGATAGAGTATATCAGCTATGTGGAGGAGGAAAGGGTTGAAAGTTCATGAAGTGAAGAAAGATTTTTCTGAGGAGGTGCTATTTTACATACAATTCAGAGAATGATAAGAATCTAGCCGTGTGAAGAACAGGAAGAGAAGTAAGATGATTCAAAGACTTGGAGGCAGGAAAATTTTTGGAAGAAATTCTAAGTACAGAGACAGGCTGCTGTTATAGCAAAAGACAATGCTAGAGATGAGGGCACATCCTCAGATCATTCAGAGATTTGAAGGTCATGAGGAAAAAATCTGGACTAAATTTTAAGGACAACAAAAGGCCAGAGGAATATTTTATTTTAATCAAAAGAAATACTAAATCTTGGTAATACAATGCTGAATGGAAAAAGCAAGTTCCAGCCTGGCTGGCACAGTTCAGTGGTTGAGCATCAACCTATGAACCAGAAGATCATGGTTCGATCCAGGTCAGGACACACGCCCAGGTTGCAGGTTCATCTCCGGTGTGGAGTGTGCAGGAGGCAGCCAATCAATGATTCTTATTCATTGTTGATGTTTCTATCTCTCTCCATCTCCCTTCCTCTCTGAAATCAATGAAATACTAGTATCTTTAAAAACAGAAGAAAAAAAGTCCCAATAGCATACATAAAATTATAAATTTTGGTTTAATTCATAACATAAGCAAATTTTAAAAATGTATTCTTTAGTCACACACAAAGTTGTTTTATGAGGCTAGTTTTCAAGATAATATGAACATACTTAATGCCATAGAACTGCATACTTTAAAATGGTAAATTTTATGTTATGTATATTTACCATAATTTTTTAAAAAGAAAGCTAGCTTTTTATAGAGGAAAAAGAGTATGGGATGGAGAGGAACAAGTAAATGATGCAAGTTATTCTAGTTCTTGAATTGCATGGTGGATACATCACTGTTTATTATATTAGTAAATAAAATAACCATAAATTGAAAAATGTAATTATCCATATATAGATTTAACCACTGCTAAGTTTAGAAATATGCTATCTGTGGATCTTTGCATACTTATGCAATTATATCTATAGAATAAATATTTAGAAGTATAATTCATGAGATAAAGGTTATGTATATTTTTCATTGTGACATGTATCAGGCAAAAACAATAAAATAAAATAAAAAACTATTTTAAGGTCCAAGTGACTATGATGAGTGCTGAATACCATAATCCTACAGAGAGAAAAAATCTGCTGACCATGCTGGTCTCTACTAATACGTCTATCTTCCACGAATTTTGTAAATATGAATCTGCTTCTAAGACCCCAATAAACACTGATCCTTAAAAGCTAATGACACTGAAGTGAGGTAAATTCACCAAAGTACCAACAGTCTGTTGAGGTTTATTGGTGGCCAAGGTTTTTCCCTCAGCATAAGGTTCCAAAAGTTATTTAACAAGAATAAATCTAATGTTAGACATGTTATGCTCGAGGTATCTGTGGAATATCCTGGTAAAGAAAAATAACTGGCAAAATATGGATGAGCAGAGATGCAGATTTAGGATTCATCAACTAACAGTAAGAGTCAAGAGCATCTTGGTTTTTGTACAAGTTATACACTTTGGAAGTACTGTTCACATGAACTGCAGCCAGTGGTCCTGTCTCGGAAGAGAACTTACAGGTCCAGAGTGAAAGGAACATGAAAACTTAAGGGGAAAATAGCTAACAATCAAGAAGAAGAGGCAAAACAAAGTCACATAAAGTTCACCTTCCTTTCTACCCAGTATTAAAAAGGAAACAATCCACTGATCACTAGAAATGGTCAGTCAAGTATCAAAAACAACAGTTCATTGGTTACAGAAATTAGTTTACCAGTATCAAAGCATGCATATATAACAACCTCATATTCTAAGCCCAAAGAACTACTGGAGTTACACATATCAAAAAGTCTCTGACCTTTAAACAAAGCTCAACTTCAGCCAGGAAAGTAAATAAAAAATTGCATTAAGCAATGACCTATAAAAGTTCAATGTTGAAATATTTATCTCTCACATATTTTAAATTAAACAGTAAAACCAGTAATATTTACTATTCTTTAAATAAAAGCTAAGAATATATACTGTTATTTTAATATATTAATTAAAATATGCAAAAGTGTAAGCACTTTCAATCAGGTGCTTTCCTCAGTATCAATCAGCCATACTACATGTCTATAGTCAAATCCAAATCTTCATCGTATTTTTTATATGTGAGCATACACAACATAGTAAAAGAAGCCACCAGCCTTGCTTTAGAAAACTGACCTTGCATTTGCAAATCATAGAAAATCAAATACATAACTTCCATAAAATCATATTTTCTTTCAAAATACTTCCTCTTGAAATATAATGCCCCCCTTGGCAGAAGACTAAGTTATTTACTGAAGAAATGTGTTCCTGAAAAACTAAATGACAGATTAGGGAAGGAGGGGAAGAGTCATATTTTTAATATCTACTATCTTTATTTATTCATTTAATAAATATTGATTTCCTACTATGAGCCACGCAGTATTCTAAGTACTTCTAGATACAGTAATGCACAAGAAAACTCCTACCCTCACAGTTTATAGCCTAGAGACAATAAATATATAAAGATACATAATCTATAAAGTCAGTGATAAATATTATGAGAATGTAGCAAAGTAATGGGATAAAAAGTGGTGAAGGCTGTTACTTGAAACAATTGTCATAGACAACCTCTCCGAAGAGATGGCATGTAAGTGGCTATCTGAATGAAACGGAGAAGCAGGCCTTGTGATAAAGCATTGCCAGCAGACAGAAGTGCAAAGTGCCTGGGATGAAATGCTCTTTTCATGTTTGAGAACAGCTAAAGTGACTGTGCTATGAGACAAGAGCACAGTGAGATAATGGTGAAAAATGAGGTCAAAGCAGTAAGTAGCATTATATTGTTTCTTCTTCTGTTTTAAAAAAATAAAAACAATACTAATTTACTTCCGAATACTTTCTGAGTTCTATTCTGAAAATAATTCCACCAGGACAACATTAACAATACATATTTCAGACATATGTAAACATATTTATGTTTATATTGATGATCAAAGCAATAAATGGATTGGTAATCATCACATAGTAGTTCTCTTAAAGGGCACTTTGGTTTTTGAACAGTGGCTACTGATTCTCGAGTGAGATTTTTCCAATGTTTTTGTTTCTTTCAAGTCGCATATAATCATCAAAGTTGCTAATGTCTCTTAAAATAAAGGAGTATGTTTATAGCATATTTACAGGCACTTTATTTTCACATATATAATCAGCAATTATAAAAAATTTCTTTTAAAATAATTTAAATCTGTTCTCCCTCTAGCCTTTTAGTTAAATACTAGAGGCCCAGTGCATAAAAATTCATGCACTGGACGGGGGGAACCCTCAGCTTGGCCTGCCCCCTCTCACAGTCCATGAGCTCTGAGGGGCAGGAGGTGACCCTGAGATCAGGGGAAGATGATGCCTCTCATCACACCTCTGCTGCTACCACTACTGGCAGTGCAAGCCTCAACTGGCCCTGGTTACTTGAGCCTCGGGTGGGCCCTAAGCGGCTGGGCAGCTACCATTCCAAGGCTTGCTTGTGCTTCGGCCGGCTCTGTGTGCCTGAGCCTGTCAAGGGAGATGCAGGAGAATCCAAGACCCCCAACGGAGGTGACTTCGGCAGCCTGCAAACAGAGCAGCTGGCCCCGCCCCCAGTGTGGGTGCTGCCATCTTATAATGGCATGATGGTCAATTTGGATATTACCTCTTTATAATATAGGATTATCTACTAAAAGAAAGACTTATTTATTTAAAGAAACTTCTCATGCTATAATATAAAAATTTTCCAAATGTATCTTTTCTTTGAGTTTATATTTCATGTGCTATTATTTTTAAATGAATAAACTTATATTTTAAAAAACAGTATGAAAGCTTCTTAGTATTCTGTAATTTTAATTATAAGAGGAAAATAATATTATTTATTATCAACATACTTATAGACAGAATCGCGAGGTCTTGTTTGAGAAAAACACCTTTGTAATGAAAACCCATTTTGTTCAATCTGGAGAATTTCAATGTGAAGAGATACTGACCTCAGGAGACAGTACAGAATAAGCCTGTGGTGGTTTTTCCAGTGAGACCGGTAGGCAAAATTGCCCAGTCTTTAATCGTCCATTCTGAAGCATTGGTATCCACTTTTAAATAAAAAGAAGACAATATTCATTTAAATATGTTTGTTACAAAAATAATTGCATCTGAATATGAGCCACATTTGTCTCACATCTCCAAACACCGAAGGGGTTTTAATTATGTAATTATGAGCTTTCTTAATTTCTCCAAAGTTTCCCTGACAATATTTTATTAAGGATGATCTGTCAGATATTATTAGTCCAATCATACAATTTTTAAATCTATACAAGGTCCTTATTAGCTAAGGGAAAATTGGTAGTAGAAAAAGGTCAGAGTGTTTCAATACTAAACTGGGATAGCAGTGTCAATATAAAAAGAAAAAAAAGAATTTAATTAGATATGACTGTTGAAATAAAAATTTAAAGTGTGAACATTAATTTATATTCTTACACTTAGCAAAATTCATGTCATAAACTGCAAAGGATAATAAAATAAATCAAATGTTGACTTTTCTCTTTTGGGTGGAGGCATGAATTTTCTAACAAAGTAGTAATAGCATATTATGATGTCCTTCACCTTAGATTTGCTTTTGCAATTCAATCATAATGATTTTCAAAAAGTACTCAAGTTTTTTAATTGCCTTTAATTGAAGTAAAAATATATTTAACTGACAAAAGTCCTTTTTAATCACTTTACATTCAAACTACTCTTTTCTGAAGAACCCTTAAAATTATATTTATATATTGTATAGTTGAATAAACATAATAATTAGGACCAACAACTAATGGTTAGACTTGTTAGTCAATTAATTACAACAATGAGCATTTTATTATTATAGTGGTCCTTCCTAACCAATGTGGGGAATCAGATAAGAATTATTATACCAACTACATATATCTTAAATATTGTATTAGTTTTAAGATTAAAGAGCTAACTATTTTTTTTTCAAAGAGCTAACTATTTAACAAAAATATACTTACTGTATATCCAACAGGAGTTTCAAGAGGAGTATTTTGTTTTTGTTGACAACTAACATGATAAAAAGTAAAAAGCAAGTGATGATGGTCAGTTAAGGTAGCAGGGAGTTTAACCTTGATTTCTTCATGAAAATCAGGAGACCTTCATACAAAAACAACAAAACAAATCAATAGTCAGTAATTTCTTCAAAATAAAGAACTACTGCATTTGTATAGTTGAATAATTTTAAAATTAATTTCAGGATTCATGTTTAATTTTTCTTCTAGTCCAAATATTTTTTATTCCCAAATAAGTAACTAACTCCTACTTCTAGATGAAGGAACTGTCACTGTTTCTAAAATTTCTCTTTCCATTTTTATTAATAGGCTGAGTAATTCTATTATTTGAAAATTCATTAATAATTACCATCTTGATATTGAGACCTTCATTAGATTGGAAACTATAAAAGAGGAGACTATGTTAAGACTTTCTATTATATTTATACTAATTCTTATACACATCAGATAAAAAATAACAGAATTTTATAAGAGTATATTTTAAAATCATACCACAGAAAAACGTTTTTCTGTTATAAGAGTATAGCTTCAAATTAAGACTAATTTGTATTATCCTTTTGTTAAAAAAAGAAAAAAAAGAAAAAGGTAATCTTTAGACAACTTAGTAACAAGTGGGCTCTCTATGAAATGTCTTACATCAATTATCCCATTGCTAAAAAAAAAAAAAAATGATGTTACTAAAACACTAACAGCTCAAAGAAAAAAAATCAGGGAATACCCACAAATTGCATTTGTTTAACATTTTAGAAGTGTTTCCAGTCACTATAAAGAATACAGCAAATATATTTGATCAAACCAATGAAATTTTCATCTCAATATCCATTGAGAATTTTTATAGAAAACCATAGCTATTATTTATTATATAGACTTGAAAGGGATAGAATCTTAGCATCCCAATCTTCCAGGTTGATGAGTATCTCTCAGAGTTATCTTCAATGAAAATGCATCCAAACTACAGAGCTCCAACTACCTTTAAAGTGAAGGCTGTTCATCCAAAACCAATTAGGTTTTTTTCTCTCTCTGACACTTATAGGTCAAATATTCTTTTCAGATAAACCTCAAAATGCTAAGGGGTGTAGATTTGATCACAGAAATAGTAAGTGGAATGAGATTTTTAATACCCATAAGAAAGACAGCCAATGCTAGCCATCTGAGAATTTGATGACTTTGGTGAGTAAAAAGATGCTACACATTTTACTACTGATCTTCCTAGTCATCCCTGAATTAATGAGAAGTTTAATTTACTAGAATGTTTGACTATACTGTCATTTAAATACTACTAATTATAAGAACAACAAAAATAAAGACTTAGGCATAAACTGAGATATTTTTAGAAATTACTACTTTATCAAAATTTTTCCTTGTATGGAGTGTTTTAGTTACTGTCTTTCTTTAAATTGTATTTCTGTGAAGACTTACAGAAAATTAAACATCTTCTAATTATTCATCAGCGAGTGAATTGCCCACCTTTAGGTTAGGCATTGTATTACTTTTGGTGGGTTTAAAGATGAACATAAAAAATAATTACCCTCAAAAATATATAATTTAGTAGAAATATAAATAGAATGGGGGTTGGCAAACTATTGCACACAGACCAAATCCAGTCAACTGCCTGGTTTTGTTCAAACTATAAACTAAGAATGGTTTTTATATTTTTACACGGTTGAAAAAAACAAAAGTATACTGGTTCACTTTAAATATTACATGAAATTCAAATTTTAGTGCTCATAAATAAAATTTTATTGGAAGACAGTCATGCCCATTGATTTGCAACTTTACTTACTGGCAATTGCTGCTTTTGAACTAAAAAATATCGATAGCAAGACTAAGTAGTTGCAACAAAGACCACGTGGCCTACAGGGCCTAATATATACTATTTGGCCCTTTGTGGAAAAAGTTTGCCAACTCCTGGGATAGAGCATATAAAGTTAAATGCTTTAAGAACAGAGTTCAACAGATTTCTTACAACTTTAGGTCAGGGAATTTTATTTAGGAAGAGATATAATATAGGACTTAAAGAATGAGTAAAAGCTCAGTAGGTAGAGGGAATATGTATATAATAGAAATGAAGATCCAAGAAAGGCCCATAAATAGGACAGCACATATTATGTCTGGTGATGAGATAGAAAGAAAATCATCAAGATGTAAAAGAAAGATACTTGAATATTAGAGAAAAGAAAAAAGAAGGTGAGAAAGTTTGAGTCAAACTAACTGAAAAACAGATAGGGTCAGGAAGAGGGCCAGGAGAAAATAGATGGAAATTGAAAAAGCAGCAGAGAATCCAAAAGAATATGCCCAATAGGCCACCGAAAATACACATTAGAAAGAAGGCACTGTCTAAAAATAAAAGTTGTGAACAAACCACATAAAGGTAAAAGTAGTAGCATTTTCATTGAATGTAAGTCTGAGAAATACATAAAATTATTTAGGAAGAGAATGGTATAGTAATAGAGGGTTAAGAACAAAACGTTAGTGTTTTGTATGGAATGTCTGTACTTAAAAGAAAAGAAAAATTGAGAATAATTTCTATAGAAGAAAAAAGTGTTCAAAGAGATAGAGGCCATAAAAAAAAAAAGGTGATTAATTCTAAATTTCTTTTCAACTATGGACCCATCTAACATTCAAACATTCAGAAAATTTCTATCCAAGAAAGTTTTAAGGAGGTCGGGGGAAACATGCTGTACAACAGCAGTGCAGAAAGACATGTTTTGTTTGTTTTTTAAGAACAGGAAACAAGCTTCTTTTTGAAGTAAAAGATGGAGCTAATGAAACAGAAGATTGATGATGCAAGAGAGGGGATAACTTATGAAGTCATATTCTGAAAGAAGCTGGATAAGATTGAGAGCAGATTCACATTGAGCAGGATGTGGCCCATTACTGCCTTTGAAACAGAAGGAAGGCGGATCACTGCAAAGATATTTGAGGTGAAGGGCAGAAAAGCTGATGGATCTCAAGTGGGGTGGACTCAATCAACTTAATAAAATAGAAAAGCTAAGAATAAAAGCAAACAGAAAAAAGGTAGCAGCTAGAGGAAGAGGAAGAAAACTTAAAATAGCTACTGCATAGTGAGAGAGTAAAAAGTGATGACCAAAAAATTAACAAAAAATTATCTTTTGGGGCGAAAAGAAGATAAAATAACCTATGAGAGTACTGATTGGTACTCCCACAGCATTCAATTAAAAAAGAAATAACAAGTCCTAACTGGTTTGGCTCATTGAATAGAGCATCGGCCTGTGGTCCCAGGTTCGATTCTGGTCAAGGGCATGTACCTTGATTGCAGGCACATAACTAATAGGGAGTGTGCAGAAGGCAGCTGATCGATGTTTCTCTCTCATCGATGTTTCTAACTCTCTATCCCTCTCCCTTCCTCCCTGTAAAAAAATCAATAAAATAATTTTTTAAAAGAAAAAGAACAAAAGCAAAAATTAAAGGTTATCCAAAGTTAATTTCTCAAAAGAGTAAAATGGAAAGGTACCAAATCAAAGGATTATTGGTTGGTGAAAATATCATCAATTTAATTGACTAGTGGTTTCAAGCTTAGTAAAGAGTTAAATAAAGCTGCAAAATGTTAGGGGAATACCATAGGAAAAGACTGAAAAACCAGAAGCCACAAAGATAATCAATCGTAATATAATAAAAATGAAAGGATCTGAGAATTTGATAGAAAAGATGTTTTGTGTATAAAGTCTTATATTTGAGATGTATATAGAAAATATGGATCCACATGTTGAAAATTATAACTATGATGTCAGCTGTCTTGAATTTGCACATTCAGTGCAGCAAAGCATTTGGGAAACACACTAACGTGAGTGCTAACAATGCCACTGAGAAGTGAGTAATTTTGAAAGAAATATTTGAATTCAGTACCTGTTATGATATACTACGGCTGTATAGGCTTCCTTTGAAAATTCTGAACAGCTAGATTTACCAAAGATTACCTGTAACAAATAACAGCATGTTGAAACTTTGTTGTAATAAATGTTGGATGTTTCATATCTATGTAAGAATTTGTCTGATTTAATAACTATTTGAGAAAAATGGGCAAAATTAGCCCAATGAAGAACAATGTGCCTACAACGATCATTAATAAGTTCAATTGATTAATTCTAAATTTCTTTTCAACTATGGACCCATCTAACATTCAAACATTCAGAAAATTTCTATCCATTATATTTATATATATTGGGGGAAAATTTCTTTCTTTTTTGAAAAAAGATAATTCATCTTATAATCTGGATACAGCACATCATTTGAAATTTATATAAGAAATATGGCCCTAACATGGTGGCATATATCTACTATACAAATTGGTGGCTTCGCCACTAAGACAGCAGTCATTCTGAAAGTCAAATATGTATTATTTATAAATGATATTTAAAAATCCTATTTTAGATATCCTTTTGCTTCCAGTACTCCCTGCAAGCTACCCTAAAATGGAGGAGCGCTCCATTTTATATTCTTTTAAATTTTTATCTTTATTGCTGAACGTTATACAGACCCATTTTATATTCTAATATGTATTTTAAAAATCCACCACATAAAAAAAATACAATACTACTTTTGAAGAAATTTTAGCAGTAAAATAATACAGTCTTATTATACATCTGCCTCTTGAATTCTAACAGCAAGTGGTGGTTAATTAGGGCAGCTAATTAGAATGTTGGCTTAATGATGTCAAGGTCACAGCTATGATTCCAGGGGGTGACAGGTAGGCTTGCAATGTTATCTAGCCACAAGTCATTCAGCACACTTTCATCAACAAAACTGGTAAAACGACTCAAATTTATTCCTATACAAAGGAACTAATTGGCATCATTCCCCCAAAAAAGAACATATTAATAGGTATTTTGTTTCTTTTTGCAGTATCTCAAGCAGGCCCTTTTATTTTAAGTGTAATAATTATGGCTCTCCTAGAAAACTCTAACCCATTTACTAAACATCCTTCACTATATTTTTATAAAAGGTTGTTCTAGCCTTGGCCCGGGTGGCTCAAGTGGTTGGAGTGTCTTCCCTTACACCAAAAGAGAGTGGGTTTGATTCCTGGTCAGGGCACATACCAAGGTTGTGGGTTCAGTCCCCAATTGGAGGCATATTCGAGCCAACAGATTGATATTTCTCTCTCACATTGATGTTTCTCTCTCTTCCTTTCTCTCTCTCAAATCAATATCCTTGGGTAAGGATTAAAAAACATTTTTAAAGATTGTTCCAGTGCCAGAATTAGAGTTTATGGTTTTATCATACTGACATCATATAATCAAAAATTATCTTAGTCTTTTCAATAAGCAAACAAAATGTGTCTGTTCATATACTCTTTCAAAACAACTATTGACATAAATATAAAAAAACATTATATTTTCATATGACTAATAATATACAAATAAAGGAATGTGGTACCTTTGTTTCCCCATTGAGAAGTTATCATTTTTTACAGAATAACTCATTTATTTTCATAACATGAATGATATACAGTGGAATAAATGTGTTCCTTTTTTGACTCTCGATATGTATGTTTAAGCATTCATCAATATGAACGAAGCATCAATTATGTACATTAAGATAGGCATCAAAATATAATTATGAGTAAGACATGGTCCCTGCCCTCAAGGAGCTCACAGTCTAGTGGACATGATGAAGAAATCAACATGTAGTCATAAAGATATAAGGTCCATAACAGAGGTAAGAAGATGCTTGGTAGCACAAAAAGGGAGAGGGGTCTAACTGCAATGTGGCTGGATGCAGCTAGGTTTCTGTAGAGGAGGCCATATACATGGTAAGACAAGGAAGAGTTTGTTAGGAAAACGATAAAACAGACTAGTTTACATGTATTGCATTTGTCATAAACTCAAATGCATATGACAATTCACATAAGATGCCAACACATGTATTTTTACAATCCAGTATCTTTTTATGAACTGATAGCATGTTCATCCCTTCAGCAGAAATAAAGAGCTAGTAAAGAACATGAAATGCTAATTTGAATCTAAAAAATAAATTCTACATATTTAACAAATATTTATTCAATATGTATCGATATTATATGCAAGGATCTGAAACAGCTGCCACAGAATACAAAGATGAATAATTTGTGCCTCTGCTACCAAGTTCTAAAAATGCTGATGAAATTGAGGCAACAGGGAAGAAGAAAATATACAGCTTTCCTAGCTGGTAGAAAATCAGAACTTGATTCAAATGACTGATACAAAAGACTAAAATAAAATTGTTAACAATGCACCTATTCTTAGCTCATTTGCATTCCACTATAGTTGTCAGAAGTTGAACATCTACAGTGACAGTTGTGCCTCTATTTTATATATTACTAACTTCAAGTTCAGTAAAAAAATCTACTTGTATTTATTCATGTTCCACATATACTAAATCATAATTTGGTCAGTTTCCTGTCTGGCCTCAATCTACTATTTCTACTTTCCACTGCTCTGGCTGGCTTACTGGCAACTCACCTCAGGTGAAGGATATTCTCCAACCTGAATTGCTTTCCTACCCCCACCCATCTAGACCTATTGCCATTAACATTTCACCATCTTTAAGACATTCTCTCCTACCACTGAGCACCTATGCCTTCTATAATCTTCTATAATTAGCACAGACCTTGGTTCTCAATAATGGCTGCAAAATGTAATCCCTAAGGCAGATTTTAAAATACTGACATCTGCCTGGTTCCCACACTCAGAGATTATAATTTAATTGGAATTAGATTCAGTCTGGGCATTGATATTTTTTAAATCTCCCCAGGTGGGTATAATATACAGCCAAGGTTGAGATCTACAGCCAGAGTTTAAAAAAAAAGGGGGAGAGGGGGAAGAACCATACATATTAAAATCAGCTGGAGAACATTTTTAAACTATACCACAACCCATTACCCTCCACCTCGGTTGCCTGGCCTTTCATTCTAAAGGAGAAGAATAATCCAGATGCCAAGACAGAGAAAGGAATCTGTGCTTTGTTAGAATAGCCAGAGTAAATATGATCTGACCCTCTTTTGAAAGTCATTATTTTAGAATTTTATGTATTTGTCTGATATCCTCCAGATTACAAGTCGTATTCATCTTTGTATCTCTGGGAGTGCCTTGCATATACCAAATCCACAAAAATTAAGACTGCAAATAAATTTATGATTACCTGTACAGTAAGTAATGCAGTTTGAAATTTGGTTTACATTAATTTCCAGGTTAGACCTGCCAACCAAGTGATACCCCAAAGGTGTCTATTTGAGCTATGTATGAAGAATAGGAAAAGTAAAGAACATTTATTACCGGCATGGCATTGCTTGGATCCTCCCCATACATAAACTGCACTTTCACTGTTATATTTCTGGCAGAACCTTGACGATTGGCAAAATTGAGGCTTTGAGGGTATACGTAGAGAAGATTTCTGTGAAGGCAACAGTATACAAAAAGTGAATACATATCTAAAAACAATATCAAATATGTCATAAAAAGATAGAATTATTAATATTTATTAGCCACTATACTAAGTATTTTCACGTACAATGTTTTATTTGATCATTAGAGTAATCATTCAAATAAATGTATCCCAATTTTGCAGACAAATTGCGGCCCCAGAAAATTAAGGAATTTTCATATACAACCAAGTATGTGGCAGAGATGAAATCAGAATACAGTTCAGACTTCTAAACACAAGTTCTTTCGCCTACAAGAGGCTTTTGGGAAATAAAGGAGTATGGGCTGAAACATTAAGAAATTAAAAGACAGTTCTAATATTCTCTTAAGTTCTCCACGCAAATATAAATAGGATGACGTTTTTAAATGAGGCTTTTGTATAAATGTGATCAAAGATTTAAGAGGTATAATATTCAATATTATTGTTAAAAACATATACGACAATTATGGTAAGTATAACGAGCAGCAATGGGTAGTTACTATGAGATAATCACACATTATTCTGCATTTGATTTCATGTCCAGTTTATGATCTTGTATCTTACACAATTTTAACAGTTCCTGCTATAAACACAGAGGAGAAATAATTCGCCAAAAGAAAGAGCTAAAATAGAAGATGGCTGCTCGGGTAGACACCTAACCGCAGCAGCACACAACAATTTCAATGGAGTACAACTAAAATGTAGAGTGGACATTGCCCAGAGCTACAGGTAGTTGACTGACTGAAAATTCTACAACAAGAAGGAAAGAGAAAACCAGAAGGAAAATCAGAGGAGCTGAAAAAAAGCCTAAGGTATGGAGACATGCTGCGCGCCCTCCTGAATGCGCATGCGGAGAGGTCGCAGCCGGAGAGGAGGAGAGGGCTGGGTGCTCCCTGGCATTCCCTAGCAGGAAGGAAATAAAACCCCCAGCCCGAGCTGAACCCCCGAACCGGCAGCGCTGAGCCCCAGTTATGGGGCCAGACCCTGGGGACTCAGACTCCAGCAGCGCAGAGGACTGAATGTTGTCTCTGATGCTGGATTACCCTAGCTGGAAGAAACAAAGCCTCAGGCGGCGCTGAGCCTCAGTCCGGACTGCTCCGAACCCCAGTTCTGGGCCAATCCCTGGGGACCTAGACTCAGGCAGAGGGAGACGGGGCTGTGAGGTGGAGTCCGGAGAGAGCGGCGAAAGGCCGGCCCCCGGACTTGCGCACACTGCGCGCAGAGGACAGTCTGTTGACTCTGATGCTAGACTCCCCTAGTGGGAAGGAGAAACGCAAGGAGGAGCAGGAGCCCCTGCCAGACACTGGCCAGCCGGGCACCAGCAAGGAGCCGGGCGACGGGGCCGCCAGGGCGGGGGGGTGCCCCTGAGCCTTCGACCGCTGAGCGCAGGCAACGGAGCCAAGGCCGGGGGCTGCTTCCTGGGCGGCGCCGACCCCAGCAACAGGCTGAAGCAGCCCAGGAGCCCGCAGAGAACAAAGCGGTGCCACAGGCCAACCTGCTGAGCTCCCAGGACAAGGAGGAAGAAACCAAAGAAGTTCTCAATGTGAAGAAATCAAGTGAGAGCAAAAGATAGTAAAATTACTTAAGAAAGAATACAAAGAAGATCTTGAAAAATCAAAGACTAAGTCAAAACTCAACTCACCAGCCAACATTGCAACATAAATGTGTTTTTTATAAAAAAAAGAAAGAAGGAAAAAAAAAAAAGGACAGAATGTTGGAACAGCGGCGACCAGGCCTAGAGTGGCCAGGCACAAGGCAGTGGCAGCTGGGCCCGGAGCAGCAACGGCCAGGCCCCAGAGCAGCAGCAGCCAGAACCAGAGCATCAACAGCCAGCACTGGAGCAGCCAGACCTGGGGCAGTGGCAGCCAGGCCTGAGGCGGAGGCAGCCAAGCCCGGGGTGGCCAGTCCAGGAACAACCAGACCCGGAGTGGCCGGGCCCAGAGAAGCCGGGCCCAGAGCAGCCGGGCCCAGAGCAGCCGGGGTGGGAGCAGCCAGACCCAGAACAGCAGTAGCCAAGCCCAGAGTATCCAGGCCGGGAGCATCCAGGCCGGGAGCAGCCGGGCCCGGGGCAGCCGGGCCCAGAGCAGCCGGGTCGGGTGTGGCCAGGCCCGGGGCAGCGGCTGCCAGGCTGGGAGCGGCCAGGCCTGGAGCAGCAGGGTCTGGTGCGGCCAGGCCCGGAGCAGCGGCTGCCAGGCTGGGAGCGGCCAGGCCCAGAGCAGCAGCAGCCAAGTCCAGAGCAACTAGGTCGGGAGCGACAGTGACCAGACCTGGAGCAGCTGGTTGTGGAATGAACCAGAGCAACAGAGGCCAGGCCCTGAGCAGCCAGGCCCAGAACAGCTCGCTCCTCGTCTGCCCCTGCCCCATGGCTGCTTCTCAGACATGGCTGAAAACTTTCGCGGGAACTTGAGGGTCTGCTGAATCAAGTGATGAAGGCTTAGATATGGATGTGTTGAGTTAGTATAGGGCTGGGGTGTTGATCTGTGAGTGCCTTAGGTGGAATCTGGATGAGGCTAGTTGACCTATTTGGAAATGTCTTTTGTGTGAAGTGTATCATTGGGCATGTGGAGGTATTATTGATTTGAGAAAATGCTAAGTAACTGATTTACTATCTGAAAAGGGATTTACTATCGGGGAAAGGGAGGGAGGAAAAGACTGTACATAAACTGTGCACCTATGGATGAGGACAATGGGGGATGGGGAGGGGGCGGAGGGTGGGGTGGGAACCTGGTGGAGGGGGGAAGAAATGAGGAACCTTTGTAATAATATGAACAATAAAGATTGATTTTTAAAAAAAAAAAAAAGAAAGAGCTAAAATAAAAAAATTAGAGATACTTTATCTGAAGACTAGTGATAACAGCTGATAAAACTTCAATAATAAAAAAACCCTGCTAATGGACTGCTAGGGCAACAAAAACAGGTCTAAATTTTCTGGAAGGTGCTAAGGTAATATAAAAATTTTAAGCGAATACACCCTTTGATCCAACAAACCCACCTCTAGTCTAAGGAGAAAACTACACATTTATACAATGAGTGTGTTCAAAGAAATTCACTATAACATTTCTTATAATAGGATATAGTTACAAATAATTGTTAAGAAACTAGAGGCCCAGTGCACAAATTCATGCATGGGTGGGGTCAGGGCAGCCCCATCCTTGGCTGAACTCCAGTCAATCTCCCTGTCAAGGAGATGAGGGGACAATCTGCATATTAGCCTTTTATTGTATAGGATATAATGCTCATCAGCCCTGGATAAATTAATACAGCATGACAATGTACAGTAGTATTTATTCATGTAGAAGGAGATATCCACCATGTTGGATGAAAAAATGCAGGATCCAGAGCAGGATATAGTGGCATTACACTACTGGCAGAAATTTGGAGTGGGAGTTACGGAAATGAGTAAAAAGAATATTTCTGAAATAGTGGTTAAAAGTGATGGGTCTAATTTCTTTTTTATAATTTTATTTGAAAAATTTTTACAGTGAGAATATATGATCTTTATAATTAGAAGAAGCAATAAAGTAGTTTCCATGGTAGGAATATGGGTGTGTATGACAATAAGCATCCAATCTGAAAATCACTAAAGAAATGAAGAAGAGTCAGTTGTGCTCAAAATAGTTAAAAGTGCCCTGGCAGGTTGCTCAGTTGGTTGGAGTGTCATCCCATACTCCAAAATGTTAATAGAATTCAGGATTTTGTACTTTTTGTTGTTGTTAATCCTCACTGGAGGATATTTTTCCATTGATTTTTAGAGAGAATGGAGAGAAGAAGAGAGAGAGGGAGAGAAACATGGATTGGCTGCCTCCTGCATGCACCCTGACAAGGCCGATATGGCGCCCTTGACCACAATCAAACCTGGGACCCCTCAGTTGAAGGGCTGATGCTCTATCCACTAAGCCAAACCATCCAGGGCAAGAATTTTTACTTTTTACAGGTTTTTGAAATATCTGAGTTTCCACAGTATTTTCAACATAAAGCATTTAACATTTATTAATAGTGAAAGCAAGTAAGATAAATAAAATTATTCCTAGAAAAGTCACTCATCTTCTAGACCAGCACTATCCAATAAAATAGTCTAGGCCAGTGGTCAGCAACACTAAGTCTAGGTCATTAGTCAACAGAGCCAAATATCAACAGTACAATGACTGAAATTTTTTTTTGAGAGCCACATTTTTTAAACTTAAACTTCTTCTAACGCCACTTCTTTAAAACAGACTCACTCAGGCCGTGGTATTTTGTGAAAGAGCCACACTGAAGGGGCCAAAGAGCTGCAATGTGGCTCATGAGCCACAGTTTGCTGACCATGGATCTAGGAGACTATCAAGCACTTGTTGTGTGCCTGTTCTGAGATATCCTAAAAGATAAAATATACACCAGACTCAGTATCTATTTGGGGGACTTAAATTAATTTTACCAGTTTCTTTTTCTTTTTTACATGTATAATTCACCATATTTGCACTAGACAATGCGAACAAAGAGAGGAAATGGGAGCTAATGAATAAATCTGGCATTATTCTTTAAGTTAATATAAACATTTCTACTTATACATGTTTTTCTCAGTTATTTTCAGATTCTTTCTACCAAATACATTAATTAAAAACCAAATTATCACATTTAAAAGGGGAAAATTTAACAAGATACTATATTCAAAAGATCCAAAATGCCTCGTATTTTATTCAGAAGTTGTATCTCCAAAAGATTACACAACCTGAGGGAGGATAAGAGTCTTTGCTTTGCTTGGAATTCAAACAAGGCTTCTAAATGTACTAAATTTCTATGTTGCTAAAAATTTTGTATATTAGTTATTAGAAACTAGAAATCCTTAAATTGGGGCCTGATTTTGCTTAGTTCCTCTTATTTTCTTTGGCATAAAATTTTTAATTTTTATAACATTACTGTTTATATTTGATCAGGGTTCTATTTAAATAGGCACGAGTTCAAACAAAGTTTATATTCTGCCTTTAATAATGTGTACTCAGGCAGGAGACACT